AAATTGTAGTCGGGCAACTTTCTGGCTGGGTTGATTAGAATAAAGTCTCGACAATTATGACTTGTTGAGTTATTCAATCGGCGAGCTTCCCAAGTGCAAAAAAGTGAGTTATATACACATAAAAAAATCTAAAGTCTGTTGATTAAATAGTGACTGCTTTCTTTTTTTTACTTCATGTGGTGGTACTCGATCATAAATCATGATAATTTACTCTTGTGAAATCTGATTGGATTCTTCATCAGACAAAAACCTTTAGATACTCATGTTCAACAACATAAATTCTATCATTTTTCCTCCTTGATAAACTACAAACCTCATGAAAAAAAAAAAGTGAAATTGATTTTAATTCGAGTGGCACTGGCACACAATTGTGAGGCCGTGTTTACTGATGTTGTGATTTTTTGTAATTACTTTTTTTTTTAATATTGAGAATGATTATATTTTTTTGAAGGAGTCAGACACAAAGAAACATAAACATCCAATCTGTTAATTAGTGCAAATATGTGTTTTGCTCGCAATTATGTATCTCTTGGTTTTATTTCTTTTCCTTTCATTTGTATATGTCATTTGGAATAAGTTTAATTGTTTTATTTTGGTAATATGTTGTATATTGTGGTAGATCAAATATCATGACAAATAAAGGAGGGTCTAACATGCTTGAAGATGAGATGTCCACATGTTGGTTGTCTTACTGTCGTTGGTCGAGACATGATCAATATGTTGGCTTTTGAAGAAGATAATTGCCAGTATTCTCGTTATCTTCTTAGGTTTTATTAAGAAAGCAGCAACGAGATATATGTGGCTTTTGATTATAATATATGCAACATTAATCATCTATCAATTCTTTTGGGCTACACATTAAAATGGTAAAAATTGTAGTCCGACAACTTTCTAGCTGGGTTGATTAGAATTAAGTTCCGACAATTACTGACTGATTGAGATATTCAGTCGGTGAGCTTCCCAGATCCCAAAAAGTGAGTTATATTCACATTAAAAAATCTGAAGTCTTTTGATTAAATAGTAACTGCTTTCTTTTTTTCACTTCATGTGGTGGTACTCAATTATAAATCCACATAATTTATTTGGCAGCTCACCTTTCAAATCTAATCAAATGCTTCAGCGAGCAAAAACCCTTAGATACTCCCGTTCAACAACATAAGTTCTATCTTTTTTCCCCCTTTGATAAACTACAAACCTAATAAAAAAGAAAGTGAAATTGATTTTAATTCAAGTGGCACACAATTGTGAGGTCATATCTACTGATGTTGTGATTTTTGTAATAATTTTTTTTATTTTGAGAAAGATTATATTTTCTTGAAGAAGTCAAACATAAAGAAACATAAATATCCAATCTTTTAATCAGTGCAAATATGTGCTTTGCACATAGTTACGTATCTCTTGGTTTTATTTATTTTCCTTTCATTTGCATATGCATGAACATTCGGAATAAGTTTTTTTTATTTTTTGCAACATGTTGTATCGTGGTATATCATATATCATGACAAATGAAGGAGGGTCTAACATGCTTGAAGATGAAATGTCCACATATTAGTTGTCTTGCTGTTGTTGGTCAAGACATGATCAATATGTTGGCTTCTGAAGAAGATAATCGCCGGTATTTTCGATATCTTCTTAGGTCTTATAGAGAAAGCAGCAATGAGATATATGTAGATTTTGATTATAATCTATACAGCAATAATCATCTATCAATTGTTTTAGGCTAGACATTAAGATGGTAAAAATTGTAGATGGGGAACTTTCTAGCTGGGTTGATTAGAATTAAGTCCCGACAATTACTAACTTGTTGAGGTATTCAGTCGGCAAGCTTCCCAAGCCCGAAAAAGTGAGTTATACACATTTAAAAAAAAAAAGTATGTTGATTAAATAGTAATTGCTTTTGTTTTTTTTCACTTCATATGGTGGTACTTGATCATAAATCCACATAATTTATTTGGCAGCTTACCTTTCAAATATGATTGGATGCTTCAGCGAGCAAAAACCTTTAGATACTCCCGTTCAACAACATAAGTTCTATCATTCTTTTCTCCTTGATAAACTAGAAACCTAATGAAAAAGAAAGTGAAATTAATTTTAATTCGAGTGGCACACAACTGTGAGGCCATGATGTTGTGATTTTTTGTAATTACGTTTTTTTTTGTCTTGAGAAGGATTATATTTTCTTGAAGGAGTCTGCCATAAAGAAATATAAACATTCAGTCTTTTAATTAGTGCAAATATGTGCACACAGTTATGTATCTCTTGGTTTTATTTCTTTTTTTTTCTTATCATTTTCATATGCATTAACATTCGGAATAGGCTTAATTGTTTCGTTTTGCAATATGTTGTATATTGTGGTGGAGCACATATCATGAAAAATAAAGGAGTGTTTAACATGTTTGAAGATGAGATGTCTCTTATTGGTTGTCTTGCTGTCATTGGTTGAGACATGATCAATATGTTAGCTTCTGAAGAAGATAAGCACGGGTATTCTCGATATGTTCTTAGGTCTTATAGAGAAAGCATCAATGAGATATATGTGGCTTTTGATTATAGTGTATGCAACATTAATCATCTATCAATTCTTTTGGGCTACGCATTAATATGGTAAAAATTGTAGTCAGGCAACTTTTTGGCTGGGTTGAATAGAATCAAGTCCCGATAATTATTGACTTAACTGAGTTATATGAACATTAAAAAATTTGAAGTATGTAGATTAAATGTAATGGTATGAAATTCTCCCCAACATGGGAAGTGTATACCATGAGTTAGGTATTGCATTTTCAATTAAATTCTCTCATACATAGGAAGTGTTTACCCATGAGTTAGGTGTTGCATTTTCAATGACACACTTATCAAATATGGAAATCCACAATTTGTATCCATTCTCAAACTCCTAAACATTGAACCAAACAGATCCTTATAGTTTAGTAACTATCATTTTAATAAGGTATGATACCAAATTAAAATATATTTATTTGTTTCACGTTTCACCCATAAGAAAAAATTAGGGTAATTTTCACATTACTACCTTGAAGTTTACCGAGTTTCAGCCTTTACTACATGACATTGTTTTCGTCTCAGTCGCTACACAAAGTTTATTTTCCTATCACTTTCATACCTACTACCGTTAGTCTTTTCGTTAACAAGTCTATTAACTGTTGACGTGTTAGAGCATCTCCAACCGATATGCTAAAATGTCAGGTGGAATTTTAACGGTAAAATTTGACATCATAAAATGCTCCAACCGAAGAGTTAATGTTGACAAGGACTTGAAGGCTAGCATCTCAATGTTACTTTTGATAGCAACCAAAGTGAGGAGTCATTTCTTATTTTAATAATTTTTTTACTCGAGGGTTTCATCTCACTATGAAAACAAGAGCTGTTCTCTTTGAGGTCATTTGGTATGACGGATTGTCATAGACTAGACTAAATCTTGAGACTATCATGGATTAACTCAGATTAGCATAAATTGGATTAAGTACTGACTTATGTTTGGTAATACGTCGGACTAAGAAGCTAGATTGTAAAAATAATGAAGACCTATGTTTAGTGCTGTGTCGGACTAAAAAATAATTCTTGTAATATTTAATTTAATTAGGAATTTTGACTTAAAAATAAATAAATGCTGCAAAGAAACCCAATTCAAAGATTTTAAAAAATAAAAAATAAAATAAAAATTTCTTATATATTTTTTAAAGAAGTTGATTTTTAATATTCTTAATGATAATATTTTTAAACCAAAACAAATATCCCTAACCCTTCTGTATTCTCTCCTCGACTTCCTTAAGTACGGGAGAGAGTCTGGTGCAATTGCTCTCCCCCTATTTTTCTCTCTTTCTCCTCTTTTTCTTCAACGAAATCCATATTAGGGTTTTTTTTTAAATAAACCAAATAGATGTTGTTGCGGTTGGGTTGGGGGCAGTGCAGTGGACTACGATGGGTCGGAGGAGATGGGTTTCTAGAGTTGGGTCGGAAGAAATTCTAAAAATATGTTCTTTTCTTTTGTTGTTGGGTCCAATTAGATCTTGGAGCTTCAGTTTTTCAACCTCAATTTTGTTGAGGTAGAGAAGTTGCGGGAAGAGAAAGTGATGAATGGTGTCAGGTAAGAGAAGCCAGGCTAGTGTGTCGGACTTTCTTGTTCAGTTTAGCGATGGTTCTATTTTGTGAACCATATTTCAGGTTCACTATATTAGAGGAGCAAGTGAGCCATTTTTTTCACTGTTGGACTGTATAGTCTTATTAAAGTTAGTCCTCTCTCTTACCAAACATGGGTTTTAAATGCTATTTAACCCAGTCAAGTCCAGTGAAGCCTACCAAATATGCCCTTTGTCTTTAATTGAATTTTTTAGTCTTTCACATTAATGTGTGGGTCCAATTACAATAAAATAATGAATAAAATTGACATATTAGTTGGAATAGGATACTGGGTCTGATGTCAAATGCAATATTCAAAATCAAATTTAAACATTTTGAATTTTATATCTTGCTTGGAGATGCTCTTAGTAGATAGGCCCACAAATTATTTATAAAAAAATTAACAGTAAAAAAGAAGTCCATCTTTCTCTCTCTTGCCTCCTCTTTTTTTTTTCTAATTACCCAAGTAAAAAAAAAAAGGAAAAAAAGAACAAATTAATCAAATTCTTAAAAAAAAAAAGGGAATCAAACCCATAAAAAAAAAATTCATCTACTAAAAGCTTAAAACTTTGTAACTTAAAATAGTAAGTGAAAATCACCGAAAATTTTATTTAAAATGAACAAAAGCGATTTCTTTTAACAAAAGTTGACCCTAGTGGTGCTGAACCGGGCCTTGCGGGCCGGGCAGACGAAGGGATTCGGAGTAGGGTTCAAGTTCGAATCTGCTCCCAAATAAAACCCTGGTAGCGCTCTCTCTCTCCCTCTCTTGCTGAAGCTCAGTTCCCTTCTTCAGTTGCTACCAGTCTATCTTCCATTGTCTGAAGAAATCGCTCTTTTTCTCTGTCTCTGTAAGAGAAGAAGAGAAGATGAGCAGTTGGAAGAGTCTTCTTCTTCGAATTGGCGAGAAATCTCCCGACTATGGCACCTCCTCCGACCCCAAAGAACACATTGTTCGTACCACCTCTCTCTCTCTCTCTCTCTCTCTCTCTCTCTCTCTATGTATATGTGTTTTAAAGAGTTTCAAAACCCTACTTTCCTTCATGTTCTCAACCTTTTTCATTTCTATGTAGTTTGGTTTGTTGATTATTGTCTTGGATTTTCAGGAAACTTGCTTTGGCGTGCTTCGTCGAGAACTGGAACACTCTCCCAACGAAGTTTCGCAAGTAATGCTAATTTTCTTTTGTTATCTTTCCATTCCTACACCCATTTGTAAATGCACACATACATTGTACAAGCTCCAGCTCCCTGCATTTAGGTTATAATAATTTCTTTTATTGATCGTAATTATGTAGAGAAATGTTGATGAAAAAGAAAAGAAATATGAAGTCTTTAAGTTTTCGTATGAGTTTGTGAAAATAAAAAAAATCAGAGCTAGGATATAGGTTGGATGGAGGTTTTTAGCTTTTGCTGGTTTTGGTTTTAATATAAAATCTAAACATCTCCGACGAAAAAAAGAAAAGTAAAAAAAAAAAAAAAAAAAAAAAAAAAAAAAAAATTATTCACAAATAGGTCAAAAAAATGATAATGTTCAGTTGATAATATGTATTTCCTTTACCAGAGATGAAAGAAGGGAAGAATTTAAACTTCTCACGTCTTCCACCATTTCCACTTATGAGAATGGAATGGAAAAGAAAAGAAAGAGTAGAGAGAACAGCTTGCTATTCTATTTTCTGGAGATAACTTCATATTTTCCGTTCAAACCCAACACAATTGTCTCTTTAATATAGAAATTGGAGAAAGAATAACATACTCATAGATGGTTGTTGTTTTTGAATCATAAGTGCTTCTGCTGTTATACACATTAACTTTGTCTTTTGCTCCTGACAGTTCCTTCTTCAGTGTGCCGAACAATTACCTCACAAAACTTCTCTTTATGGGACAGTGGTACGGTGTATAATTGCATTGGCACAATTTTCTAATTCTTCATTTCTGCTGGTGTTTTAACTTTCGTCGCTGTAGCATGCAAATGCATGTACATAAATATTTACATTTTTTTTTTTTTTTTTTTTTTTTTTTTTTTTTTTTTTTATGGTTTGTTTGGCTTCCTCATTATGTATACATATGCATAAATGTTTCTTTAGTAGTAAACATGTTAAATTTAAAAGATAAACTTTTTCTTAGACAACAAGTTTGAACAATGTTATTAAATAAGCCTTGAGACTGACTTTGACTAAATTAGAAGGTTCCATTTCTGATTACATGAGGATCCGCATATATAGTCACTCTAAGTATTTATCTAGGGCACCATAAGGGTTCTACGCAGTTGTCAGATCATGAACTATATTAGCACAATCACATTGTTAGCATAAACTACAGAAACAATAACATGTGGATGCACAAATCTAAAGAACTTTTTGAAAAAATACATTTTGAAGAACTTTTTGATTAATTGCATTGTATTCAGTGATCCTTTTGACTAAAAGGAAAGGTTAATAATAACATGTGGATGCACAAATCTAAATGAAGGGTTTTAGCTTCACCAGAGTGATCTTCGTTGTGTGGTGCATGTTGCACCATACATGGTGGATTCCTATACTGTGAAAATACAACAAAAAATCGAAGAGAATACAACAAAAACTGCAGTGCGCACTGGTTTCATGTAATGTATATTAGGAGTGTCCTATTCTGTACCACATGTGTATAGTAAGTTGTAATTTCTATTATTAGTTATCCCAGAGTCTACTGTGTGCATGTCTATAAAGCATATAACTTACAGTATGCGTGTTCTTGTATTTTTTTTCTTCTAATTTCTTGAGCTATAGTTGTTTCTTAAAATAGCCATCTGTTTAGTTTAATACCTCACTCACTCTCACTCTCTCTCCCCACCTCCAGATTGGCTTGTTAAACTTGGAGAATGAGGAATTTGTTAGGAAAGTAGTGGAGAACACTCAAAGTAATTTTCAGGTGAGTGAGTTCATAGTTAAAATGATCTGCATATATGTATCCTTATAATAATTTTATCTATGGCGTTTCAGAAATTTACCAAATATTGCTTGGTTTTAATGATCGATCTTTGACCTGACATATGTCATATTACATCTATTTTCTTTAATTGACGCTGTACATCATAAAATGCATACACCTTGCATATTTTTCCTGTGCTGTTTTGTCTTCATTTTTCTTTTATTATTGCTATTGTTGATGATTAGAGAATGCTTGAATCTTCTGTCTGTGAAAGGACTGCCAAAAGAGTTTAATTACTTTGAGTTTGGATTTGTCTGACTGTGATAAAAAAAAAACAAGGGTCAGGCCTGCCACTGTTAGATTAAATGGAAGTGCCCTCTTAGTTGATGACTGTGATCTTGAATTAACCTGAGTTTGCATCATACATTTTCTGTAATCTAATAACATATACCTGGAAATAAGAACATGATATGTTCTGTAGGACAGTACCTCTATAACCTTCTAAAGAGACAGGAGTCCAAACCTGGTGGATGAATCATGACCCGTGTATCAGAGTGTGATTGATTAACAATGGTATGAGTATTAGTTTGGATTATTTCTCATGGAAAGGTCAATACTCGTGATATGGTTTAGAAGAGAAGATCTTTGTTTGCCATTCTGTCCTTTGATGTACTATGCGTAAAATTCAGGGGGAATGTGTGCATAACTTAGTTTTGCATTGCCCAGTAGTTCCAGTATTGTGTTCTGCCTCTTCTTTGCGAGAGAGGCACGAGGTTTTGGGTGCTGGGAAGAGGGGTGATGTGGAGTGATGGCTGCATTTTGGGTAGTTTAGTGGGAAAAAATTGTAAGGTATTTGACAGATCTATGGGTGAAGACTGAGGCAGTAGTAGTGTTATTGGATATAGTTCGTTTTTGTGCATCTTTACGGGATTTTGTTCATACTGAATTATGGGAAATTTGGTTCTTTTCAATCTTTTCAGACTGGAAATCTGCTTTTGTTTAGGAATTATAGCTGTGATTGTATTATTTGTTTTCATCGTTTGACACTTATATGCTCCGTCCTTGGGGGATATCTTATCCTCCAAGGTTTGTAATAATGCAATTTGAGCTGCCCATTTATGTTGGTTCCTTATTTATAAACAAAAGGAAAGAGATAAGATCGAGTGAATTGAAATAGTGGGATAAAACAAGTGAACATCTTGTCCTATTAAGTTGTACTTTGGTTTCTTATTGAAAAGAGAGATACGAATGAGTGAATTGCAATAGTGGGGTTTGAGCTGCCCATTTACTGATTAGGTTAATGAGATTATTTTATTTGTGTATGATGCTATATTTGAAAATAAAAAACTGTTAGATGGTTATTTTCATCTTGTTTTGATGTATCCTTCATTGCTTTTATTGATGAATTTTTTAAAAACGATCTCATCTTTTTTGTTCTTTGTGTTTGATTTCCAGGATGCCTTAGATTCTGGAAATTGCAACAGGATTCGTCTTTTGATGAGGTTCCTGACTGTTATGGTATGTATCATGTTGCTACTGGTCTCTGATATGAAATTCAGGAAGAGATTGAGAGCACAAGAATAAAACCACATTTTATCTCATTCGTCATAGGCCTTAGTTCTTTCATCACTTACTCGGGAAATCTTTCAATTGATCGAAATGTGATGGTTGTCATTCATATGCTGTCAACTTAAACTTAGGACATTTCTTTCCATGTTTGGCTCTTCATTTAGATACAGTTGTATCTTGGATGCAGTTTCTAGAAGTTCTTTATTAAAACAAGGTGCGAAAGAAAACAATTTTTAAGTTTGTTATTGAGATCGTGTACAAGGTACAGAATTCTAAAGCTTCATTTCCTACTCCCTTTTGTTCTATTTTCTGTTTTCCATTGTTTTCGCTTCCGCTAAACTACCTAAATACTTCATTCACCCATATCCTACATCAATGAATAAAATAGGACATATAAACGAAGTGTTAGCTTTTATATTTACCGATGATAACATTGAAATTCTACCCAGGTTAATACTCAACGACAACTACTACTACTACCCACATTATTTTAACCGAAACACTATCATATCTTTCCCAATTATCTCCACCCATATTAAGTTTGGTTTTCCCCTCCCCCGCATACCACTTGATAATTTTTGCTCTTTAGAATCTCTTCCTCCTACTACCACTTTTCCTCATCCTGACTGGCTATTCTCAATTCATCCTTCTGCCAAGGTATGATGTTCTCTTGGCAGACATAGGTGGCCAAATTGTGATTTGGACTTTACATCCTGACAAAAATCAACCTGATCAATGTTTCAGATTCAGAGTCTGGCAAGAGAACATTTCTTTATGTATATATACACATGTATTCCTGCATGAGTGCCTTACTAAAGATATAATGTTTTCCTTTATGGTAACTTTCTTCTTGATCTATAGATGTGCAGTAAAGTTATCCATCCCAGTTCTCTGGTGGTTGTCTTTGAGACATTATTATCATCAGCTGCAACAACAGTTGATGAGGAGAAAGGGAATCCCTCCTGGCAATCGAGAGCTGACTTTTATGTAACATGTATTTTATCATGTCTCCCTTGGGGAGGAGCAGAACTCATTGAGGTACTGTTATAATGGTGCTTGATTAACAGAAAAAAAGTTGCCCTTAGGTTGCATGTTGCCAATGTATTTCCCACAATACAAAGCTTATGTGACTCCATTTAATTTTTAATTTTCGAAATATTCCTATGTTTTATGTCTGCTTATGGACCTCATAAATTGTTAAGGTTTTGGTCTGTAGCTAAAAGTATGATTTATTGAGAACTTATTAGAGTAAAGATGTAATTTGGTGCCTTACTATAAATTTTTATTGTAAAATACTCTAATAGAAAGTAATTTAGAGCATTAAAAATTACAGTAAATATTTACGAATTCTTCTCCCTCTCTCTGTTTTTTTTTCCCTTTTGGTCTGTCTGTCTGTCTGTCTGTATCTCTCTCCCTCAGTTGGCCATAACAGAAACGATACAAAAGTTGAGTCTTTACAAATTATGTGTCTTATTTTCATTCCAGCCACGAACTTTTAAAATGGAATAATTGACTGTGTTCTTAAGTGGTGTCTCTGTGATGTTTTTGTGCTCCATCTGAACCTGAAAAGTTGATTTTTTTTATATTCTGCCACGTAAGGATATACACTGACACATGTTGTAGCTATGTCAGAGGGCTTTCTGTTTCTCAAGCACATCTGACACAGTGGCCCTTTAGTCATGGTCAAGCTTCATAGGTGGCAAGGCTATAGTTGTTTTACTCTTTGGTTCAACATTAGGCTTGCATTTCCTATCGTCCGTTTCATTATTAATTTAAATATATCAATCATGATTTGTTATTGTCTCTCTGCAGCAAGTCCCTGAGGAAATTGAGAGAGTTATGGTCGGTGTTGAAGCTTATTTGAGCATAAGAAAGCGTGTTTCTGACACCGGGTTGTCTGCTTTTGAGGATGATGATGAGAATGTGAGAGAACCCAATGATAAGGTATAGCTTATTAAATTTGACATCATATTCCCTTTTCTCTGTAAACTTAAAATATCATTTGGTGATTCATTTTTGAATGTATACCAGTATCCTGGAAAATGTTGGCCTTTTAGTTTCTTAGCTTCTAGTCTGCAGGAATGGACTGTGATTATGCACTCTCTGAAGTTGAAATTGTGTTAGAGATGGCCTAGTGATGCTTGTGTGGAACTTCCCTTTTAATCTATTTTGTATTCCTTTCATCAAAAGGATATTAGTAACATGTTTCCGTTTTGCCCATCCTGTTTGAACTTTATTAATTGTTGTTTTGCATTATTGATCTTCAATATTGAAGATCATTTATTTGAGTAATTTTTTGCTAATGAGTTGTTATTAACGTATTTCTTTTTAATTTTCTATATGTTAATTGAACCTTCACTACATATGTTTCATTTTGATTCTTCTAATATCTAAACCTTATGATTCCTTGTGTTCTCCATATTTTGATACGACTTAGAATCCCTCCACATGCATCAAACTCTAGTTTTGTTATTATTTGTTTCAAATAAATTTATTATAATTAATTGGAACTCATTTTCTTTGTAGGGCCCACTTAAAGTATATTCTTGATCCTCTATCATAGGCTTTGTTTTCTAAGTTATTGAATATCATATCCTTCATTAATTTCTTTGTTATATGACCTTTTCCCATACTTTCATAATGCGACTCATCAAATTAATTCCTCTATAATTTCCACATTTGGTCACTCTCTCTCTCTCTCTCTCTCTCTCTCACACACACACACACACACACACACACACAAATAAATTGGTACTATGTTCCCTTTCCTTCACTCATTCGGCATTGTACCTTGAATGAAAATTTTTGTTTGCCACTCAAATCTTACATTTCCAAGAGTTCTCCACGCCACTTAGCTATTTTATGTGGTCCTTGAACTTTAATTTTCCTCGTCTTTCATTACGTTTAACATGCTCCATATTGCTAGTCAACCTGTCTCTTTTTCATTGTTTTACCATGTAATGTAATTTTATCCTAATCGCTCTTTTGTTAATCTTTTCTGGTAGGATTTCTTGGAAGATTTGTGGGGCCGAATACAAGTTTTATCTAGCAATGGATGGAAACTTGATAGTGGTAATGATCAAATTTCCCACAAATTTCATTTAAAGTAAAACTTCATTGTTTGATCGACATTTGTTTTTATCTTATGTTTTCTCATGATTTTTATTTCACTGTTTGATCAAATTCTATGTTATCACTTGGTAGTTCCGAGACCTCACCTTTCATTTGAAGCACAGCTAGTTGCTGGAAAGTCTCATGAGTTTGGACCCATCAGCTGTCCTGACCAACCTGATCCGCCTTCAACAATTTCTAGTATAACGTGTGGTAAACAAAAGCATGATGCAGAGTTAATGTATCCTCAAAGGATACGAAGGCTGAATATATTTCCTGCAAGTAAAACTGAGGTACTTTGCAATCTAAGAACTTAATTCTCTTTTGTGTAAACCAGAATTTTCAAATGCATGCAAGTAAAAGAAATTTCTTCTTGCAATAGCTCTTGGATGATTTATAGTATAATGCTCATGTTCAAACTATTGAGTGTTTCTAAAACTATTTTGTAATCCATTTACATGATGCATACTTGAAGAAATTTGTTCCTAGTGTTTATTACCATTGTTAGATCTGTTTAGTATGTAGTCCATTATCTGAAGAAGTTTTTAAATAGTGGCACGGTTTAGATAAGTGTGATAAATTAAGATGTATGACAACAGAGCTTAGAATTTGGTGGCATCTGGTACTGGTACAGTTTGCTAGAGTTCCCGACTTTAATGTAAGTTTTAAATGGAAATACTATCTGACATAATTGTCATTTCTACATTATTATTTATTTGACCGACTTGGAGTTACTAACTTATATGATATCCACTGCATTCTTGTGTTTCTGCTTCTTTAAGTGCACTCTTGAAATTAATTGTGACTTACTTTCTCATTATAATTTTGCATAGAATTTTAATTTGTGATTGACTGTCACCGATATTTTTTCTTTTAGTTATTGATGTTCATGAAAGTCTCTTGCTTTTCGTTTATGACGACAGGACCTGCAACCCATGGATCGCTTCATTGTGGAAGAGTATCTGCTAGATGTCCTTTTTTTTTTAAATGGCTGGTTTGTACCTCTCAATGACTTAATAAAAAACATGACTAAATTTTCTTTAGCTTTGCTCACACTTGAATTTGCTTGTTAATTTATGATTTCACTCTATAACCTGTGTTGGTCTGCTGTGTTCTGCCCTCCTTTTCCCGCCTTTTAAAGAGCCTCTGTTGTTGAGATGCTGGAGCTTATTTTTGAATTAGTGGTCTTGTGTTTTCATATTTTCAAAAGGGATGTATCATGTATAGTATAGCCAACTTGTATGATGGCTAACTGCTAAGTTTATGCATTTCATGGAAAGGAAGCACTTCGTCTTAAAATGATAGATAATTTAGTCCATAGTGTAGGACATGAAATAATGGGATGCATCATCTATTGCAATTGCCAACTTGTATGATGACTAACCGCTTAATTTATGCATTTTGTGGGAATGAGGAACTCCCATTTTAAAATGTCAGATGATTTGGTCCATACTCTACGATAAGAAATTATAGGTTGATCTGGCAATATTTTCTTAGACTACCATCTCTGATGTTTATGGCATATCATAGCACTCTCTCGATGAGTTGCTGTGATTTTTGACTTTATTGATTTCATCATTCATTTGGTTTTTGGAATACTTGAAGATTAATTATTCAATTCATCGGTAAATAAAAATAAATAAAAGGAATTACTGTGTAGAATCCTCTTCCACGATGCTATAGTATGGCTGTATACTATTCAGAGCCATTGATATAATTTTTATGCGGCAATATAAAATTAATGTATGCACGTGTAGTGACTAGAGGTTGTGGTTTTTATATCTGTTGCAGGCTTGCTGCTATGTATTTGTTCGTCATTACTGTTTGTTAACCTGAACAAATTACATTGTTGCTTTTAGCCCATATCCTGCCAGTGGTAGCAAGGCATTGACTGGGTGCAAAGAAGCATAATTTGTGTGTTCTATGTTAGTAATTTTAGTTAGAAGACTTTCTGGAAGGGTTGGGTTTGTTTTCTAGCCTATTTCAGACATTGAAACTAACTGGACGGATGCAAAAGAACAAGCAGATTTGTTTTGGAAATGCTCTTAATCATACTTGTTTATTAGATATTGTACTCAAACGTTTATCACAATTTTTTTGCTTCTCTAGGAAACATACTAATACATCTGTTAGTAATTTTACTTGGTGTTATCTTACCATTTTTGTATTTATTAATGTGTACAGGTGAACTGGTATTAAAACTCTGTAGTTTACTTTTTGATTACTTGTACTTAGGGTTCTTTATTTATTATTTTTTTGTTTGACATTTTGGCTTAATATTTATTGTATTTGTTTCTTCCTTCATGCAAAGCTAGTCGAAAGGAATGCGCTTCATACATGGCTGGCCTACCTGTACCCTTTCGATACGAGTATCTTATGGCAGAGACAATTTTCTGTCAGGTAAGATATATTACCCTTTGCATGTGTTTCAGTGCTGATTTTATCATGAGTTGTTTTTTTTCCCTCTTTCAAATTATACTTTATCCAAGTGTGTAATTACCTGTATAGTTTATTAATAGTATGAGTTTCAGAGTGTATAGGTAGTTTTTGGGTTAGTCATGAGTCAGGAGTTCAATATGCTGTATGATTGGAGTTGTTTCTTCTGTTTGATCCATATGTTTTTTTTCTACTGTTATAAGAAACTAGTCCTTTGCAGGATAAATCTTCAAAGCTGCCTACGGTTTGCCTAGGCCTATAAAAATAGGTTGTCTTTGTTTCGGTTTTAGTCCTACATGGATCATACTCGGATTTAAGCAAATGAATTCATTCGCTTAGAATTGAAGTTTTGAGAATAAGATTCAAATTAGAACTTTAGATCTGTTTTGCGTGTAATATACTTTTCATCAAATTAGAAAAGAAAGAGCACTTGTTTTCTTTTTTTCTTCTTTGGGCAACAGAAATTCCATAACTTCCACTGCACTGAGTCAACACAAGTTTGATAGATTAAGATAGAAATTATATGCATAGTTTGCCTATTGGGATGCCAAATCGACTTGAAACAAAATATGTCCATTCCCCTCTTTGCAAGTTTAGAACTGATGCTCCTGGGACATTGGCCCTTACTGCATGGTTGTTTTAGATTTTGAATCTGTTCTTTTCTACATTTTCTTTGACATTATTTCTTTTATGAACCTATTTCTTCCTTGATTACATCATGATAAACTTGTATAGTTTAACCTTTCTCATTGAAATCAAAATGATGTGTTTAATATTCTTGCAGTTACTCATGCTACCGCAACCCCCTTTCAGGCCAACATATTACACACTAGTTATTATCGACCTCTGTAAGGTAATAATGTGGATGCTATTATTTTATCTAATGTCTTTGTCCTTTTGTCTGAGTCAATGGAAGTAGATGTCAGTTTTATTGTGTCTGTAAAGCAATCTGACTTGAAGTTTAATTCTTAGGCTCTTCCTGGAGCCTTTCCTGCAGTAGTTGCTGGTGCTGTACGAGCTCTTTTCGAGAAAATAGCTGATTTAGATATGGAATGTCGAACGCGGCTCATCCTTTGGTTTTCACACCACTTGTAAGTTCCACCATAAGCAGTGCCACTAGCTTTTCCATGTGATGAATACTTCTCATTTCCCTATCACGTGTCATTTTGGGACCTTGCTCCTCTGTACATTCTCTTGTTGAAGTATATTACTTTAGCTGGAAAGGCTGCTTAAAAGGTTACTGATGTCACCCTAGGTTATGTCTTAATTTATGGTTGTTCTGTACGCATGTCTGGACCTTAGGCTACAGAAGCAGCCTCTCTTCTGTAAACTCCTGTCTTAGCTGAGGTGGGATTGATCCTAGGTCCTTTAATTATCAAGGCCATTATTAGCTGAAGCAGCTGGTATCTTGTTTGAATTTTTCAGAGAAGTTATTACCAATATTTTTTAGAAAATATAGTGAAATTTTATTTACTTGCATGATTTCTTGTATGCAGTTTGGTGTATTTTCAAAATTGATTTGTTCACATTTATTTGCCTTCCTGACCATGCAGGTCAAACTTTCAGTTCATCTGGCCATGGGAAGAGTGGGCTTATGTCTTAGACCTGCCAAAATGGGCCCCACAACGTGTATTTGTTCAGGAGGTTCTGGAGAGAGAAGTTCGTTTATCCTACTGGGACAAAGTGAAGCAGGTACCAAGTCATTCGTAAGGATATTGATAATTTGGAGTGAGGTTTTTACAGCCCAAGGATTGACCTTGACATAAACAAGCTCTTACTTTGATTGTTTTTCAGGATATTACATTTCCACGTATGCTTCACATGGTTATAATTTTTCTAATTTAGTTTCTTAATTCTTTTTCTTGCAGAGCATTGAGAATGCCCCTGGCTTAGAAGAGTTGCTTCCTCCCAAGGGGGCACCAAATTTCAAATTCAGTGTTGAAGAAACCAGTGAAGGAAATGGACAACATGCACTTTCTGTCGACCTCAGAACCATGGTAAAAGGGAGGGCATCTGCCCGTGAAATGATTGTATGGATAGAGGAAAGTGTGTTTCCTGTTCATGGGATGGAAGGTACCCTCAATGTGGTTGTGCAAACTCTTCTCGACATTGGATCAAAAAGTTTCACTCATTTGATTACCGTATTGGAGAGATATGGTCAAGTCATTGCAAAACTATGTGGTGACCAGGATAAGCAGGTCATGCTGATAACCGAGATTGATTCTTATTGGAGGAACAATTCTCAAATGAGTGCTGTTGCAATAGATAGGATGATGGGCTACCGACTTTTATCTAATCTGGCCATTGTCAGATGGGTCTTTTCTCCAGCAAACATTGAGCAGTTTCATCTATCAGATCGTCCATGGGAGGTATGCCAACAACATTTCTATGGCATTAATCTTAAGCGTGTCTTCTCTGCTGTTATAACTATTTGTGTTTTGAGCCCATGATGGAGTTTCCATGTACTTGGTGGTTGCAAGGTCCTACTTTTCCTTATTGCTCGATATTTATGACATCAGAAAATAAATAAAAACAATATGAAGAGGAACTTCAAAATGATGCGAATTCATACAACTGCTTCCACTATGAGAAAGTAAAAACAACTATCCACCTACCCTTGCTCAAAAAAATGGAAATTGAAGCAAAAATGAAAGCATTAAAATTTGGTCTGATTCGAAACCATCATGCCAAGATAGGAAATGCTAGATAATGCTTTCTAGTGGAAAATCTGGATGATTGTTAAAACCAGTAGACCTACCAAAATGGAAAAAGAAAATAGATTTAAACAGCAAAACTCCTGCATTCTTATCTGCTCAAATGTTTTTCTGTGGTTATAATTTTACTTTGCGTGAGATCTTCCTAATTTTAGAGCTTTCCAGGTTCTTCCTTGTAAGATGTTGATGGGGTGGATTTTACAACTAATTATGCACACTGGAATGATTTCCCTTAATTCATGTAGTATTCTAGCCTCGATGAATTGAAGAAATGATTAAGTCAACCAGATTAAAATCATCCTCGATTAACTCTTTAAGCGTCACCTTTCTTACCATCAATTTTGTATAATTCTCTTTATTTTTGTACTACTTAGGTAATCTCTAAGCATGCATCTTTTATCTTTTTTGATTGCTTATATATTTGTCTGCCCAACAGATTTTAAGAAACACAGTTAGCAAGACATATAACCGTGTATGTGATCTAAGGAAGGAGATTTTGTCTCTGAAAAAGAGTGTTGTATCAGCTGAAGAAGCTGCAGCAACGGCAAAAGCAGAGTTAGTGGCTGCTGAATCAAAGCTTTCACTTATGGATGGTGAACCTGTTCTTGGGGAAAATCCTGTGAGGCTGAAGCGCTTGAAATCGTATGCTGAAAAGGCAAAGGAGGAGGAGTTGTCTGTACGTGAATCTTTAGAGGTTAAGGAGGCTCTTCTAGCTCGAGCCCTTGATGAATTTGAGGTAACAAATTTTTAAAAAGAAAAGGAAAGCAGTAAAACCTCTTTCCCCAATTTCATCTGTTGCAATACTTTTCGCACAATACATATAAAAATGGATATATTTTAGTCTTGTAGGTATATGTAATAATTTCCCTTATCTCTGAAAAACACTATCTTCCGAGAGGGAGCGAAATAGGTTGATTTTTGATGACTGTGGGCAGAAACTCGGGAGAGCTCTGGGAGAAAGTTAGATCATGTTCATCACAATGGGCATCGACCTCTACAGTTTTCAGACATTGTTCTTTTAGGCTTATTTGGTTAGATTGGATTGCAGCCATTCGTTAATCCTTTAGGTCTAATACCCTTCGTGGTTTTTCCTTGTTTGTGTTCTAGGGGTCTTTGTCTTCTGTTCTGCTCCTTCGTTTTTGCTATTGTTAGTGACTTAGGGGTCTAGGTTTTGGTTTCTGCTCTTTGCTTTTGTTCTTTCTTTCCTTTGTGGCTTTCTTTGCCGCTGTTGTATCTCTCTTCTTTTTATATAAATTTTTTTTTTCCATATCACAAAAAAAAAAAAAGTTGTTTTTTTTTTTGCGAACCAATCACATGCTACTACCCTTCCATGCACTTCCCCCCGAACAAGGGTAGATTGATTCTATCTGCTTCGCTGAAATGACACCCATAAAATATGGCAATGTCATAACCATCCATCAAAGTTTTTCTTGTGACAAATAAATATATCCCCAAACAAGGGTAGATTGATTTTATCTGCTTCATTGACTTGGCATCATGAAAATATGACAATGATATAAATATCCAACAAAGTTGTTTTTCTTGTTAGCAATAAAATTTCATGCATTTCTCCTATAAAATAGAAATAAAAATACATATAGTGCGGTAACATATTTGCTAATTTTTTTCCCAAACATTCTGGCATCGTTTGAAATACAATTCACTGCCTGGGAGTTTTATGTGTTTTAGTTAATCAATTTTGGCTCTCTTTGATTTAAAGTTCCTCATCTTTTTCTTGTACTAACCATGATTCTCATGTGCAGGCATTGTTCCTCTCCTTGTACAAAAATTTCCTGAATGTGTTGACAGAACGCCTGCCAAGTGCATCCAAATGTGTTACATTGCAGGGATTGAAATCAATTCATGCAGATTCTATGGTAGTCGACGTTGAAGAATCGTCGGCAATGGAGGTAGACGATGAGAATGGAAGACCTAAGAAAAGGTACCTTTTTCCCTTCAATAAAAAAGGTAGAAAATCCTATGTTACATATAAATGAAAGGAATGTTGACTAGAAGGTTAGAGGAGATGAAGGATCTTGTTTGGGAGGGGAGAGATTACGGGATTATTGGAAACTCATTGAAAAGGAGAAACTGTTGTCAAGAAGATGGTTGTCGGGTCCCTCAAGAACAAGATTACTTGTGTTACTGTAAATATGGCATGGATTTGAATGGGCCAGACTCCTTGATTGTAGAGAGAGGTTCTTTTTATTCTTGGAGATACATCTATCATGGTTTTCCATCTCTCTTGTTTATTTACACGTTGTTGGGGATAAAAATTCATTCGTTTCCCATAAAACACTTGGCATGACAACGGATCAACTTTTCAGTCTTTGTTTTCTAACTTTAATTAATTGGCCCTTGAATCGCAATGCATTTCCTTCTTTTCTTTCTTGAAACTTGTCTGTTAGAAAGCTTTTGCATGATTTCAACTTTGTTGTTTGGATTCATATATTCTGGAATCTAGTGATATTGGACTAGTTTGTGGTATGGGGTCCCTTCCAGTGATTGTTTTTTTAAGTCCATGCTAGAAATTCAAATGAGTTAGGTTTTTAAACTTGATGAGATGCTTTGGAAGATTGGTGTACCCACCAAGTCCAAATTCTTTCCTGGTTGGTTTTTCATGGGAAGATCAATACTCTAGATGTGCTTTAAAAAGGACCCTATGCTCCATTACCTCCTCTTCGTGTGAAGATTATAAACTTTCTGCAAAGGTGGAGGTGGAGCTTCTTTGGGACAACGGGTTTCTCTTTGATACAGAGTACAGACGGCTGGCTGAATGCCTCGTTATGGCCATTTTTGTCTAAACATTATGCCAATGCTCTTTGTAGTGTGAGGGAATTTTGAGTTAATTGTAAAGTATCTTTTGTCAATCCTTAGTAGTTGATAGCTTTGGTGGACCCTTTATTTTCACAACATATCTTGTTTTCAATAAAAATTAATAAATTGTCTTGACATTGCGTGTTATTCAAGTAAAAGTGCATTTAACTTGCTTTTCTTAATTTTGGCAGCCAATTGAATGGTGGGAGGATGAGTAGTGTATATAATGTAGGTGAAAAAGAGCAGTGGTGTCTATCGACTTTAGGCTACCTGAAGGCCTTCTCGAGGCAATATGCTTCTGAGGTAAATACTTATTCTTTTTGTGATTCTTTTTTGTTTGTTTTTGTTTTTTTAAATGAAAGTTTCACTTTGTACCTCTAACTTTAATTCATCAGTTTTGTGTTTTCATCCTCCGGCCTCCCTTTTTGGGTATTACATTTGTTTTCAATGGAATATCACTAGGTTATGTGTGATGGAAGGAATAACATATAATTTTATTCCCAAGATTTTCTAGTTCCATGAAATATTTGACTGATTATGGGCTGAATGAACAATGTGCCCATAAGTAATCAAATCCCTGGATTTCACCCTCTCACTTCATGGATTAGGCTATGAAAAGGAGTCTTGTATGCTAGCCTCTGAACTCAGCATGGGAAGTTATTTTTCGCAATTTTTTGCTACTAAATCTCTGACCTTGTGTATGTGCCTGGCAGATTTGGCCTCACATGGAGAAGTTGGACGCGGAGGTTCTAACAGAAGATGTGCATCCTCTTATTCGGAAAGCGGTTTATTGTGGCCTTCGTCGACCAGTTGATGGGTTGTGAAACCTCAACTCGCCTACCCCTCCCCTGAAAACAAAACAAACCAGCAAACAAAACAACAATGCATGTAAATGTCAATGCGGGAACCTGATAGATTCGAAGGAGATGAGGCTAGCTTCTGCTGCTGGTGCATGTATAATGAGAGTAGGTAATTTGTTTGTCTGGTTGGAGATACGTGTACAATCTAGTTGATATGTAACCAAAGCAACTAATTAGAGGCTAGTATTATGAAAATTCTTTCCAATGGGCACTTTGTTACAATTTAGCTGCTTCTCCCAGTGTCTTGGGGCTGCAGATATGAAATGGACTTGCTCTTGCTAAAATACTCATTATTTGGATGTTCTAGCTTTTTACTGTGTTTTTTTTTAAATTTATTTTTTTGTTCATTTTGCTGACACTAGACTGGCTATTAGGGGTGGGCATCGGGACCGGAAAACCGAACCGAATCGAATAGAAAAAACCGGTTTACTAAAAAAGTCAACAAACTGACACCGAATTGGACCGGACCGGTTTGAACCGGTTTTGATTCCGGTTTTACATATTACAGGACCGGATCGGACCGAACCAGCTGTATTAATTTTTTATTTATTTATTTTAAAATATCCCATATTTAAGCCCAATTCTTCTTAACCCAAATAAAAAACCAAACTTTGAAGCCCATATACCTTTTATTTTCAAAGCTCATTCCATAACCCTACTTCAACTCTCCCTTTTTTTATCTTCCCGAAGCCACTCTCTTTTTGATCTCTCTCTCTCTTTCTCCCCCCCTTACACCTCTTCTTTTCTTTTCTTTATTCTTTCTCTCTCTTTGTGCCTTGTCTCCCCTTTCCCGTTTCTTTTCTTTTCTTCCTCTTCCTTTTCTTTTCTTATTACTTCTTCTCTGCGACTTCTCCCTCTCTCCCCCCTCTTTTCCTTTTCTTTCCTTTCTTCCTTTCCCTTTTCTTTTCTTCTTTTTCCTTCTTCTTCTCTGCAACTTCCCTCTTTCTCTGTCCTCTTTTTTTTCTTCTCTGCAGCTTCACTCACTCACTCACTCACTTACTCTCTTTCTCTCTCTTTGTGTGATCTGATGAAGAGGATGAAAGGGGTTCTTGCTATGGAGCCTTCTTCATATGCTGGTAACGAAGATCCTAGGACTAGATTCAAGCATCAGAGTCTCATGCAAGGAGAAATCTGGTGTTGTATTCAATTTTTTTTGGTGGGTTTCATTAGATCTGGTATGTTGTAATTTTTTTTTGGGTTTTGTTTATGATTTCTAGTTTACCTAGCATTGGATTGTTTAGGGTTATTTTTCTGCCAAGGGATCTGAGAATGAAAGGAAAAATCAAATATTTTTTTATCAAAGAAGTAAAAATTGTTTAACTAAATTTAAGTTTTTTTTTCCCTTAGTCTATAACTTGTCAGAGAATTGGTTCAAACCGGAAAACCGGATCAGAAATAGCCAGTTCGGTTTGACTCGATTTTTCCCTTTATTTGTTCAAAAATCAGACCGGACCGAACTGGATGAATAGTACGTATTCCGGTTCCAGTGTGAGCTGCAAACCGAACCAAACCGGGGCTGCGCCTACCCCTACTGGCTATGGCAAACCCTTTCCTGACCAAAGCTTCCAATGCCTTCCAGATGCTGGAGCAGAATCCTCAAAACCATTCCATTTTAGTGTAGTTATTAAATGGAGTATCATTCATATTCTCATTGGTAAACAACAAAAAGGTGACATTCCTCTTTCTCAAATCACAATTTTATAGACATGCAAAATTAATTCATTAAAATACTAAAATAAATAAGTAAATTATGGTTACACATTAACCCTCCTTGAGGTGTTTGGTGTTAATACAAAACTTCAAGGTTTTAGAAATTAGCTTTACACTCGAAGTTTCACGTTACTCTCACAAAAATTCTATTAAATTTCCACCAAAAAATTGTGGATGTCATCAAATTTTTATTTTTATTTTTCTAAATGATAATGTTGACCTTAGAGATTGCACATATCTTGAGGAATAATTATGGAGATTAATTTTGTTATTTGAAAAATTTTTTTAAAATTAAATCATCAAATTTTTCTACGGAAAAATTAAGAAATGGGTTATGTCATCCCCAATCATGCTCCCTATTTCTTAGCTAAAATTTAGCTAAAAACACAAGAAACTATTTTAGGAGTGCTCTAAAAAATTTCAACTCCAACCATACCCCTTAATTTGGAGAGTCATAAATGCTTTACTTCTTTATGTCATAAATACTTCTTTTTAAATTTAATTTCTGATTTGCAATAAAATGTTCATATTCAAATACTGAATATTCCCAAATAACAAAAAGTGTTTGTGTTTTAAAAAATACCTACAAGGAAAAGAACTATATACATATATATATATATAGAGAGAGAGAGAGAGAGAGAGAGAGAGAGAGAGAGAGTTTTGCTCTTATGTAGACGTCCGCATTTTGTTAAACTACGGTTGTGCACTTTCCAACTTGTTTTTTTGCAGAAGAGGTGGATTTGATTCGTGCAATTCCAATTATCACTATAAAGCTGTTGGATTCATTGATTAAAAATGGCAGTGTAGTACAAAGTGCTTAACACGTTGCAAGAGCCTTGAGAACAACCAATGGTACTGCTTCTTCTTTTGCATCTCCATATTCCCACATTTGGTATGCTTTTTGGAGGGCCCACACCTCTGCCAAGGTGAAAGTAATTTGGTAGCATGTAAGCTTTTACTTGTATGTACACATATATTGACAAATCTAAGGACAACTGTAGTTTAACAAAATGCAGACGTCCGCATAAGAGCAAAACTCTATATATATATATATATATATATATATGAGGGTGTTTGTGTGTTGCTAAATGTATATAGTGAAAAGAATCGGAAAAAAAAATTTACTTGTGCTTTGCAAAGCACCTATAGCAAAAAGAATAGAAAAGATGGTGCATGAGTTTGGCATTGCTGTGAAAATAATCGCTGTCAGATTTGCTGTGAGAAAAAGCAGTTTGGCGTTTGGTAAACTTTTTGTTAAAAGTGTTGTTGGTACTAATTCCCACATGATTAGAAAATTATTGCTGCATAATCATTAAACGCAGTGCCTATTTGAAACTGATTCCTGCATAATCAGAAAATGAAAGTACCTCATTAGCTACTTTCCCTTATAGCTTTCTCTCACAGCAATTTTTAACAATAAATGATTTTATCATAGTTTACCAAACGGGCTGTGCTTCCCAAAATTTTTAAAAAATTATTTATCACCCCATATAAGCAATGCCAAACTAGCACGCAGTGTGCAATAGAAAAGTGATTAAAAATATAAAATGCAGAAGAAAAAAAATGATAGAATTAAAGACATCATTAAATAATTATTTAAAATAATAATAAAATTTAGTAGCATTTAATTATAGAGAGTCACTAGGAGCCCTTTATCTCTTCTCTGATTTAGGAGCTCCTAGAGGTCTCCCTAATTTAGGAGGTGGATAGCAAACATGATTGGAGGTGGGTTTTTCAATTCCTCTCTAAATTTTAGCTAAGGAGGTGGTTTAGGGAGGCCATTATGGATGCTCTAAATAACTCTTAAAATTGTGGTCACAGTTGGCCTATTGATTGTGGAGAATCTGCGCATAAATGAAAGCTGAGCCCTTTTAAATTCAACATGTTTTTGTATTAAAATATAAATAAAAATTTTGTTCAACACTTGATGCTTTTGTATGAAAATAAAAATAAAAATATTCACATTTTAGGAACTTATTTGGTTAGTTCAAGTAAAAGAAGTCCACTATATAAAAACAAAGCAAAAACTTCAAGGAAAAACCCAAAAAACATCGGTGGCATACTACATATTGTCTAACCAATTCTCTCTCGATATGTTCCTCAAAAAATCTAATTCGTGTGGATTCTTCCCCTAACTAAAGAAGAGATCTTGGAGGAATTGCCGCATATGAAATTGAGCACAATTTTGCATAGCACACTTGTTTCTAGAGAAGAGATAGGAAACATGCTCAATTTCATTTGATTGAATGGTTGACCCAGCTCCTTGTTGTTCGAAGAAACTCTCTGCTTCAACTGGTATTTTTTCACGAAAGCAAACATGAGATAATAAATCCAATCTTTCACCAAGATTTCGAATAGCTGTCTTGAATTCAAGTTGATTATGTTTCACCTCTTCCTCAGAGAAAGACGATCAAACAATTCCCAATCATGGTCCTTTCAGATCGGATCATCCATATAATATACAAAAAGAAACTCCATATATTTTATATCTTTATCTTTGAATGAGATCTCAATTCTAGCGACGGTTTCTTAGATATCTTACAACTATAAGCCCTCTTTGTGTAATCATTAGGCCAATATCTCGAAGGGAGATGTCAAATGCAAAATGTTTAATTTGAATTTGATGGCTTATGTGGTAATTTAAGAAAAAAATTTAGCTCCACCAAAAATGTCAAATATCATATTATTTTATTGTATTTTTAAAAGCAAATGGAGCCCATATGATGCATAAAGTTTTAAAAAAGTATAAATGATAGTGAGGTCCATGACTGAAAAACTATTAAATAATATTTGACATTAAGCTTTTTCATATATTATTTTTGACATATCTCTTCCAGCCTTCATATCCTATATATTTTTGACTATTCGATTGGAGTAACTTTAATATTTAATTTTTGTCATTTCATATCCACGTGGCAATTTGACATATCAGTTCGAGATGCTCTGGTTTCTAAAGTGCCTCACACTTTTGGAGGCAAGGTGCAGTTGCACATCCCACAAACATTATGGACTGGCCTGACTGTGATTGGCATTAAAGATTAGTCAAACAATATGGGTAGAATATTTTTCAAGTTGTATTTCATTCTCCAAAAGAAGGTATTTATCGTACAAGGATGTAACCTTAGTAGGATCAAACTAGGAAACAAGATAAAAACCTAATTACACAATATCTATACAAAAAGAAAGAAATATAACCCTAATAAACTAGAAAATAAATATCATAATTAAGCTAGAATCTCGCTAACACTCCCCCTCAAGTTGGAGCAAAGATATCACGCATGCCCAACTTGTCAAGCGAGTTGAGAAAGACCGTACTAGACACAACTTTCGTAAAAACATTTGCCAGCTGATACTCGGATGATATAACGGAGAAGCCTTAAACCAGCCCAATCAGCATCTGTATACCCTTCCACATCTATATGACCATACTTGCAAAACATTAACCCCTTGCTAGGAGTTACTTTCAGATATCTCAAAATGCGCATCACAGCACCCATATGATCTTTACTAGGAGAATGCATAAACTAACTCACTACACTCACTGCATATGCAATATCAGGATGCGTATGAGATAAATAAATCAATTTCCCTACAAGTCGTTGATAACGCTCTTTATCTGTAGGGACATGATCATGATACAACCCCAACTTATGATTCTGTTCACTAGGGGTATCAATTGGTTTACAATCCAACATTCCAGTCTCTACAAGTAAATCCAAAATATACTTTCTTTGAGATAGAAAGATACCATGTTTAGATTTAGCAACTTCAATTCCAAGAAAGTACTTCAAATCACCCAATGACTTTATCTCAAACTCGGAAGCTAGATACTTCTGAAGATTTTGCATTTCTGCCTGATCATCTCTAGTCACAATCATATCATCAACATAAATAATTAAAGCTGTCAATTTACCTTTATGACACTTTAGAGACAAAGTATGGTCTGAATTACTCTGCACATACCCAAATTTCTTCATAAATGCTGCAAATCTCCTAAACCACGCTCTTGGAGACTGCTTTAATCCATATAAAGACTTCCGCAACTTACACATAACACCCTCCTTAGAGGTTACAGGAATACTAGGAGGGAGATCCATGTAACTCCTCCTTGAGGTCATCGTGTAGAAACACATTTTTGACATCGAATTGTAATTAGGGCAAGTTGCAATTAGCAGCCAGAGACAATAGTACACACACAGTATTGAGCTTTGCCACTGGAGCAAAGGTCTCCAAATAATCCACTCCATAGGTATGAGTATAACCCTTTGCTATCAATTTAGCCTTGTAACGGTCAAGGGAACCATCAACTTTATGCTTCAAAGTAAACACCCATCTGGATCCAACAGCTTTCTTCTCTCATGGCAAAGGAACTAAATCCCATGTTTTATTCTTGTTCAAGGAATCTATTTCAACATCCATCCATTTGGGGTTAGATAAAGCATCATGCAGCTTAGTTGGCACACTTACACTAGATAATTGACACAAATATGATGCATATGACTTAGAAAAACGATGAGTTGACACATAATAACTAATGAGATATTTAGACTTGGCATGTATATAAGGAGAATATTGTACTTTAGGTTTTCCACAAGTAGTTCGTGGGGGTAACTGATAAGTTGACATAGATAGATCATTAAAAATCACCTCACTTGATTCACTATCACGAGTAGATTGGGACACTTGCAGGGCAGAGGGGGGTATTGCATCGAACTCATCCATACAAGAATCACTGTCATTATTTTCAAATACAGGTGATTGGTCACTTGCTTTAGTGTGACCAGTCGTTTCGACACTGAGAGCACCTGCTTCATCTCTAGACAAGGACAACTAGTCGAGTTCCGAAGGGCAATCAATCGTTTCTTCACAGAGACCGCAAGTTTCATTTTCAGATATGGGCAACCAGTCACTTGTTTTAGTGCGACAGGTCGTTTCTTTCCCTAGAGCAGTATCTTCAAACACATCATTCTCCAATTTAAGACTCTCCAATTCACTTCCATTCTCTCCCTGAATTGGAGAGGAGGGAGAGACATAATATGACACTTCTTCATGGAAAGTCACGTCCAAAGTAACATGCACCTTCTGGGTAGGTGGATGATAGAACTTATAACCCTTCTAAGTAGAAGAGTAATCAATAAAGACACATTGCAGAGCACAAGAATCAAGTTTACTCTGTTGATGAGAGTAGACATGAATATAGGCAACACACCCAAAAGCTTTAGGGGGCAACTTAGAGACTGAGATACGGGAAACATGGTCACCAAACACATCATGTGGAGTCTTGAAACCAAGAACCCGGCTAGGAATACGATTAATCAAATAGGCAGCAGATAAAATAGCATGCCCCCAAAGATGATGGGGAACAGACATGTCCAACATAAGGAAGTGAGCAACTTCAAGTAACTGATGATTCCTGCGTTCAGACACACAATTTCGCTGAGGAGTAAATGGGGTTGTTGTTGGGTGAATAATACCTTGAGCACGGAAAATTGTTATTCACATATTCGCCTCCGTTATCAGTCCGGAATACTTTGACACGAAAATGAAACTAAGTAGACACCATAGTACAGAACTATGGAAGGATGGAAGCAACCTCATGTTTATTTTTCAGTAAGAAAACCCAAGTGAGTCAGGGTACAATCATCAATAAATGTGATGAACCAACGAAATCCGTTCGAAGTAACTCGAGCCGGACCCCACACATCAGAATGCACTAAATCAAAAGGCTTTGTAACTTTACTGTCACTCAAAGGAAACATAGTGCAATGACTTTTGGCCAAAATACATGTCTCACACTTAAAATTGGACTTATCACAATAGCAGAATAAAGATGGAAACATACGCTTAAGGTAGTCAAATGACGGGTGTCCCAAGCGACGATGCCATAACCAAATTTCTTGTTTTTATTTGACACTGCAACTTTGAACAGTATTAACGACACGATCACGAACTGGTGCAGAAGGCAATGTCAAATAATATAACCCCCCCTATCTGTTTACCATGCCCAATCGTCTCGTGAGTCTTGAGATCCTGAAAAGAGCAATGCGTAGGATATAAAGTAGCAGAAACATTAAGTGTATCAAGTAATCGATCAACATATAACAAGTTACAATGGATATTGGGAATTAGTAACGCACGAGACAAGGATAGAGTAAGAGTGAGAGAGATTGTGCCCTCACCAGTAATTGGAGAGGGCAAGCCATTAGCACTAGTTATGTATGGGTCACGGGTGTTACTAGACAACTCATCAAAAAATTTAGCATCATAAGTCATATGATCAGAAGCACCAGTGTCAATTATCCAAGTATTGGAGTCAGTACTTGGAATAGAATCAGAAACACACAAATTTGCAGAGGCAGCAGCAACAGTACCAACAATGGAGTTATCACCCATGATTGCAGCAGGAACTCAACAGATCACGACAGAGTATACAACGGAACATAGCAGAGGCACAAATACGGCAGATGCACGAAGATAGACACGAACACAACAGAGTACACATCGGAACATAGCAAATGCACAAATACGGCAGATGCACGAAGACAGGAATGACACGAACACAGTAGAGGCACGAACACTATAACACAACACACAAACCCAGGAGGGCACACACGGCACAGGTAGAGAAAAAAAAATATGGGGATAGAACACGGGTAGGCACAACACACAGGTCACCAGAAAACCTGGCTCTGATACCAAGTCAAACAATATGGGTATAATATTTTTCAGGTTGTATTTCATTCTCCAAAAGAAGGTATTTTTAGTACAAGGATGTAATCCTAGTAGGGTCAAACGAGGAAACAAGATAAAAACCTAATTACACAATATCTGTATAAAAGGAAAGAAATATAATCCTAATAAACTAGGAAATAAATATCCTAATTAAGCTAAGATCTTACTAACAAGATTTTCATACTTCCAAGAAAATGAAACAAGTATTTCCATTCTTATTTTTTCATTTTGGCCAACCGAAGCCCCTGAAGATTATTCTATTCTAAAATACACTTTGTTGATTAACTTTTCTATTTGTTTGCAATAGATTTCAAATTTACTCTACATAAATTATTTCAAATATTAAAATAAACGTTGGATTGATTTTGCATCAATGTTCGATCCAGTTTTTTTAAAATTTTTTTAATTTTTTATTTATCTTTAAATGGTTCAAACGTTGGCCCTTGTTTTTCCTGAAGGACGATGCTTGGCTCTTGATATATCAAGAGCCATTCCTCCTCAACAATGATGTGGCCTCTTTAAAAAATGATACATGTTTTTTATTTTTAATTCATTTGTTTCACTGACTCTCCCTCTCTCTCTCCTCCCCCAACTCTCTCTTTTCTCATCTCCTCCCTCTCTCTCTCTCTCTCTCTCTCTCTCTCTTCTCTCCTCCCCCACCTCTTTCTTCTCTCCATCTCTCCATCTCTTTCTTCCACCATTCCCAAAATTTCAAAAATTCCTCAATAATAACTCAATAAAATTAAAAATTAAAAATGAGAGAAATCAATACATAGTGTTTGGGTGATGATGATGGAGGAGCAGCGATGAGAAGAGAAAGGGTTTGAAAATTTCTTCTAAAGAGTTGCAGAGGAAGAGACAAAGATGGGGAGATGAGAGAAGAGAGAGTTGGGGGAGGAGAGGAGAGTGGGTGAGAAGAGAGAGAGGGAGAGTCAGTGAAACAAATAAAAAAAAGAAACATGTGTCATTTTTTAAAGAGGCCACATCATTGTTGATGAGGAATGGCTCCTGATATACCAGGAGCCAAGCATTGTCCTTTAGTGAATATTAAGCTATTAAATTTTATTATTGTGTAAAAAGACAAAAAAGATCATCTAACTTAATACTTAACTCTAGTATATCTATACACACACCCTACACACTTCATCACTCTTCATATTCGCACATCACAACTAACCATAGGATGTGCCAATATAATTAGTAAAAGAGAGTGAGAATTGGACTGCCTGCATAACATTTTTCATTCCACAATATTTTGGTTAAACAAGGAGAGAACTATACCTAGAAAGAAGCTTTATAAAAGAGAAATTACAATGCTCGTACTGTCAATGAAATTTTTAGAATGCAAATAACAGCACTCAAAAAGAAAATCATTGAATTTTTTACACCATGAATTGCTTCAAGTCTAGGTTAAGCCTCAAAGCCTTATATTCAAAAATTTGTATAATCTCTTCCGTTAAATTACATACCAATGATCATGTTGCCGCCTATATACATATTAAGGGATGAAATAGTAAAAGCATAATATTTTCAATTAAAAAATATACGATAAAAACTTCAGTTATTCAATATTTATCTTAATTTGTTTTCTCTGAATTTATAAAAACAATAAAAGTTAGAATAATTATAAAAATCAGTTTTTAAAATGAAATAAACGGGCCCAAACCCCAAACCAAATACTAGCCTCTATGAAAGATTAATTGCGTACAAAATAAATGCATAAACAAAGATTAATTGCATAAAGCTATCGAAGAAAAAATTTATATTAAGATAAACTTAGAATATAAAAATGAACTTACAAAAAATCTTGACTGAAAGATTTTATTGATAGTTGATAGCACTCATATTTTATCTTTCTATATTACTTGTGCGAATTTTACGCTTACAATAATTTCATAACACTCCTTAAACTCTCAAAAGACGTTTTAATTTAAAAAGGCCCTATTCTACAAATATATACAAAGGTAAATATATATATATATTTATATATACATATGTCATCTCTAAGATATATTTAAATAATATTAAAAAAAAGGAAAAAAGCGAAAGAGCCAACGTGTGGGTGGCAGGCTTTTGGATCCCTTTGGTTGGCCGGCACGTCTCATGCTAAAAATATCCAGTTCTTTGTCTCTCTCCCCAACCTAACTTCTTTAGTATTTAATCTCATGCAAAAATTAGTTTTGTCACCTTCCCATGCATGCATGGCAATTCGAATCGATCAACTTCCAAAATTTTAATCAATTGCCGGCCAGAATTACATTGATCTCTTCATCTGTTTGTCCTCAAGGTATCACATTATTCTCAAACTTTCTCCATTAAAATACACCTCATTTGTTTTGTTTCAGCTCAAATACATATAGAGCACAACAGCTTTGGAAATTGACCAAGGAATTAAATATGGCAATTCCCCTAAGAAACCCATTTACTGGGTTCCTTATGTTCATGTGGTTTTGCGTTCCTTGTTTAGCTGAATCCCCCACACACCAACTCACTTGTTGTTTGACTCTTCATGACATCAATTTCACTGCATTCCCTACCATGGAAAATGACTCTGCCGCTAATAATTACTATAAGTTGCTCAATTTTTCCATTCAAAATCTTCGTTTTGTTGATCCCACAGTTCCTAAGCCAATTGCCATCATACTTCCCGAGAGCCTTGAGCAGCTAATAAACTCTATATTTTGCTCTAGACAACGGTCGTTGGAAATTAGAGTACGGAGTGGAGGACACAGCTATGAAGGCACATCGTCCGTTGCCGAGGATGGAGCTCGGTTTGTGATCATCGACATGATGAATTTGAACCGGGTTTCGGTGGATTTGGAAACTGAAACGGCGTGGGTGGAAGGAGGTGCAACGCTGGGTGAGACGTACCATGCAATTGCTAAAGCAAGCCATGCTCATGGGTTCTCAGCCGGGTCATGCCCAACTGTGGGGGTTGGTGGCCATATTGCCGGTGGTGGGTTTGGGCTAATGTCCAGAAAGTATGGGCTCGCGGCGGATAATGTGGTGGACGCACTTCTTGTCGATGCGGAGGGACGGTTGTTAGACAGAGAAGGCATGGGAGATGATGTGTTTTGGGCTATTAGAGGAGGTGGTGGGGGTGTTTGGGGAGTTGTCTATTCTTGGAAAATCCAACTCTTGAAAGTGCCACAAATTGTAACTGCCTTTGTTGTGTCTAGACCAGGCGAAAAAAGGCATGTAGCAAAGCTAGTAGATAAGTGGCAAAACGTTTCACCTTACTTGGAAGACGACTTCTACATTTCATGTTTTGTTGGTGCTGGATTGCCAGAAGCCAAGAATGCCACAAGCCCTAGTGGAATATCAGCCACATTTAAAGGGTTTTATCTAGGCCCAAGAAGCACTGCCATGTCTATCCTAAATCAAGCTTTCCCTGACTTGGGTATTACACAAGATGATTGTACCGAAATGAGTTGGATCGAGTCCGTTGTGTTCTTCTCCGGCCTAAGTAAGGGCAGCCCAGTCTCCGACTTGAGAAATCGGTATTTGCAAGAAAAAGGGTTTTTCAAAGCCAAATCTGACTACGTCAGAACCCCGATTTCTCAAGCCGGAATAGAAGCTGCGCTAGAAATACTTGAGGAGGAACCCAAAGGGTACGTCATCTTAGACCCGTATGGTGGGATTATGCACCATGTGAGCAGCGAGTCCATTGCTTTTCCTCACAGAAAAGGCAATCTCTTTACAATTCAGTACCTGGTGGAGTGGAAAGAAGAAGACAATTACAAAAAAGATGACTACATAGATTGGATAAGAAGATTATACAATTCAATGACGCAATTTGTGTCATGGGATCCAAGGGCTGCTTATATCAATTACGTTGACCTTGACCTCGGAACGATGCGTTTTGTTGAACCTAGTGTTACAACTAAGGATGCTGTGGAGATTGCCAGGGATTGGGGTGAGAAGTACTTCTTGAATAACTACAACAGACTGGTCAAAGCAAAAACACTTATTGATCCAAGCAATGTTTTCAGAAACCAACAAGGGATCCCTCCAATGTCTTTGGCGAGTCTCAGTTCAGTTCTGCATGCTGAGATTTGATTTAATGTGATCATGCCAGGGGAAATGAAAATGTTCATCAAATTCATCCCGAATTTTCTTCGTAAATTAATTGTATTAATATTGTTCTTAAAGGGTACATATACAATTATAAGGGCTCTCTTCTTTCAAATTCTCTATTTTTTTCATTTTTAATTATTGTTTTACATCATAACACGACCAAATTGCCCTAAAAAAGGGATTCATCTGCCCTACACGTGACACTTTTTGATGGAACAATAGATGAAGTTTTCAAACTTTTTTATTTATATGGAAACGAAAATTACGAAACAAAACCTCTAGGGCAAAAGAAGCTCAAAGAGGTCAAAAAAGAAGAGAGATGCAACAGAGAGGGTAATGGCGATTTTATATAATTCGTAATCCAAATTGACTGAAAAAGAAAACAGTAATGGGATACTTCATTTGACAAAATGACAGTTATCTAAGAAAAACAAGATGAGGTATGTGGATGAAAACTGCACTAGAGAACTTTCTAAGACGTGGACACCAGGAAAAGTTATAAAGAAAATTCCAAAAGCAAGAAAACCAAAAGATTCATGTACATCTCTAGTATTATAGCCACCATAAAAATTGGACAAGAACACCTTTCAAACAAAACGAAACAAATGTCAAATTTATATTTAAAGTTCAGATGATGAGATGAGTAATATTAATATTGTAAAAAGACAAAAAGAACAAAAGAATTATAAAAAAAACTGAAAAACTGAAGACACGCTATATTACAATCTTCTTCAATTTCAACGTAATAATCAATTTCCTCTTAGTTTTTCTTTTCCGATTCAGGGTTCTTAAGAGGAATGTCCTAATATTACACACTAAATTACAATCCATGCCACACGCACTTTATTTTATTTTATTTTTAAAATTTAAAATTTTTTAAAAAAATTTATCAAATAGAAACTTCATTAGTTAAACTTAAACCACTACTACAAAAAGTGACAAAGACGACCAGAAAAAAACGACGGTCTAAGTGAAAACCGTCGTTGTTTTTTAAAAGACGACGGTTTTATAAAACCGCCGTGTAATAACACCTTAGACAACTAAAAAATGGAGATTCAAATGGCTGTTCCTAAAACACGACGTACCTAATTAAAAAAACCGACGTCTTATTGAAATAGGATTTCCAGTGGTAAAATCATAGCCAACAAATAACGGCGGAAGTTATGAACCGACCGACGTAGAAAGTAAAGACGACGATTTCAAAAAAAGCCGCCGTTTTTACCCAGAAATTAACACGACCAAGTTTTCGTATAAGGCGCCGTATAATTACAAATAAATCCACGGCGGTAAAATACAAAATACCGCTGTATTAAATTAATGTACAACTACGGCAAAGATAAATATAACGACGTCTTTCTCGTATTTCTACGACGATATCTTTGAATCTCACCAAGTTGGGGTTTTAATTTAACGACGTCTTTCTCATATTTATCCACTTTATACGTCATACATTATATTTAAACCGTCGTCTGAATAAGAATTTTTTTAAACAATTTATTTCTTGGATTTTGTTATCCTACGTCGGTAGATCTACTTAATGACAAGAATTGAAATAACCACGACGGTTTATATAGAAAACCACCGACATAATCAGATTTTTCTGAGATCACAAGGGTTAGGAAATCTTACAAGATGGAACTCTGTTGCTCATCATAATCTTACCAGAAAGACAATATTTTAGAGGTTAATGATGTATATGTATTTGTGTCTTTGAGATACACAAACGCACATACACATTAACATCCAAAAAATTGCTTCTGAAATTTGACGACGGCAGCCTCAGATTTGCAATCAGAGAGACAATTTTTTGGAAGTGGATGATGTGTGTGCGTTTGTGTATCTACACAAACGCACACACACATCAACATCCAAACAATTGCCTTCTAAAACTTCACGACGGCAGCCACAGATTTGCAATCAGAGAGACAATTTTTTAAAAATTGGTGATGTGTGTATGTTTGTGAATCACACAAACCAACATACACACAAACCAACATTCAAACAATTGCCTCCTAAGAGATGAGGTGAGACGGAGAAAGGGGCAAGAAGAAGTTGAAACCCTAATCGAATACTAAAACTGAAAGCAACCGTGGAAAAAAAACCCTATTTATAATTAAAAAACCAAATCCACATCGGTTATATTACACATAACGACGTTTAAAAAAATAATCCACGTCGGTTAACAAATACATTACGTCGTCTTAATCTTACTTAAGACAACAAGAAAAAACGACGGTATAACAAAAACCAGTCGTTGTTTTTATATTCGTATTTGATTTAAGGGAGATTCACTATTATACCCAATATGGTTGCCCAAATTATAAAAATACCCCATATAAAATAGACTTTATAAACACACCCAAAGCCTATTTACAACATAACAAATAGGCTTTAACTTCTTATAAATTACAAAACTACCATAAATTTCTTAAAACAAACCCAACCCCAAAATCTTATAAAAATACCCAAAACACTCAATAGGGTATTAAAGTAATTTAATAATCAATATTAAATTTAATAAGACCAGCTGTTATTTTTTGGGTTTTTTTTGGGTTTGTTTATAGAATTTCAATGGTGTAGGGTTTATTTATAATATTAGTGCTAAGAATGGGTATATCACTAAATATCTCTTGATTTAAATCAGTCACCCAAAAAAGAAATTTTACAAATTCTAGAACATTAATGGGTATAAGGCACTGTTTTTGAAAACTAAACTGAAAGAACAAGGGAAAAAAATTATATTTATAATTATAAAAATAAAATCCACGTCGGTTATATTACACATAACGACGTTTGAAAAACGGATCCACGTCCAAAAAAAAATATTGCGTCGTTTTAGTTTAAAAAGACGACTGTATAACAACAAACAGTCGTTGTTTTTATATTGGTATTTGATTTAAATCAGTCCCCCGGAAAAGAAACTTTACAAATTCTAGAACATTAATTTCCTCGGGAAAAAAAACTTTATTTATAAAGCACTGTTTTTGAAAAATAAACTGAAAGAACAAGGGAAAAAAAATTATATTTATAATTATAAAAATAAAATCCACGTCGGTTATATTTCACATAAGACGTTTTAAAACGAATCCACGTCGCGAAAAAATATTGCGTAGTCTTAGTTTAAAAAAGACGACAGTAGAACAGAAAACCGTCGTTGTTTCAATTTCTTTAACCGTTCTCTTTCTGCAGGACTTGGCTAGTTCAAAGCATTGACAGCTGAAGCCATCTGATTCGATTGCTCAGGCTTTAGAGGCCATCTGAAGCCATTTCTATTCTTTATCGCATTGTTGAAAACCCATCTTCTTCTTCAGAAGCTCTACGGATAACCCATATTCTTCACTAATGCCGATAACCCATCTTCTTCTATCACAAACCTGACGGATCTTCTTAGCCAAGAAAATCGAACAGAGGCTGACATCTGATCTTCAGGTTTCCCTGATAAGCGAACTTTCATTCGACAGCGAGTGGAGGCCAGGCTTGCGTCTCTTTAGATGGAAAGCAAGGAGTATTCAGAAGCAAGAAGATGTAGTAGTTACTTTGTGTTTGCTTGAGAAGTACTTTCCCCCTTCATTCTTTGATATCATGGTTCATCTAGTAGTACATCTTGTCAGAGAAGTTCGTCTATGTGGGCCAGTATATTTTAGATGGATGTATCCGTTTGAAAGATATATGAAAGTGCTAAAGGGGTATGTTCAGAATCCTACTCATCCCGAAGGTTGCATTGCTGAGCGGTATATAGCTGAAGAAGCTGTAGAGTTTTGTACCGAGCATTTATCTGATGTTAGTATAGTTGGAGTGCCTTCAAGCCAAAAGATTGGAGTTTCAAAGCCATTATGAGGTTGCACAGTGAGCGTAGTTGATCGGGACCTGTTGAACCAAGCACATCTATATGTCTTGGAGAATACGGAGGAAGTCCTACCTTATATCGAGTACGTATGAGTTTTATTCTTTAAGTTTCCATTTTAAATTATTTCTTATGTTTATCTTATATGTTTGGGATCGTAATACTTGAATTTTGTGTGTCATGTAGGCAACATATGATCCACATCAAGACCGCTTATCCAAAATTTAAAAAGAGAACAAAGTGGCTGCAGGATAAGCACAATAGCACTTTCATTCAATGGCTACGCTTCAAGGTATATGTTATTGAATAACATATTGGACTTTTAATTTTCTTCTTTCTATGTTAGATTGAATTAAGTTATGATTAATTTGCAGGTTCAAAGTGAACTTAATGAGGAAGACAATCATGGCGTATCAGAAAATTTAAGGTGGCTAGCAGCTGGTCCAAACATGGCAGTGCCATTATATAGGAGCTATCTTATTAAAGGTATTAAATTCAACATCAAGGCACAAGATGATGTGCGGACAACTCAAAATATGGAGTTTATTTACTTGCACATACTATGCAAGTTGCTAGTGCCAAGGATAAAAACCCAATTCTCTCAAATATGGGTTTCTATGGTGTCATTCAAGAAATTTGGGACCTTGACTACCAAAAGTTTACAATCCCAGTCTTTAGGTGTGATTGGATTGATAATACTTCTGGTCTTGTAGTGGACGAACTTGAATTTACCCTTGTAGATTTGAGTAAAATTGGACATAGGAATGACCAATTTGTTTTGGCTTCTCAAGTCAAACAAGTATTTTTTGTTGACGACCCGATGCATCGTGGTTGGTCGGTAGTGTTATCAATGCCTAATAGAGAATATAATGATGTTATTGGTGATGATGTCTTAGGTGATGTGAGAATTGAGTGTGAGCCATTTACTAGAGGGATGCCAAATGTTGACACATTTGATGAAGTGGTGGTTGAGTTAGGGAGTCAAAATATTCGAGATGGGTGTGAAGATATATGGGTTGAATGATGCTTTATGTAATTGGCAGTGTATGACATTAATTTTGTAATATATTGTAATGTGATTTCTTCACTTTCATTATACAGGTTTTGGCCACAAAACAATCAGTACAAAAATTACTGGTTCCAGATTACAAACACGACGGTTTTGATAAAAATGTGAAAAACAAACGTCTGTTCTAATAAATAACGACGTTTTGGAGCATTCAACGACCGCAATATATTTACCGACGTCTTAAAGCAACGTAACAATGAAGAACCACGACGCTATTGTGAAACAGTTATCCAGGATAACACGTCGGACAAGCATAAAGAACCGCCATGTAATTCAAAATAACACGACTCCAATCCCATAATACCGACGTCTAAAAGACGAGAACTTTAACCTGAACGTTACAAAAGACGACGTCGTCATGAATTTACCACGTCGCATGTTCTTTCATAAACGAAGTGGAAAAGGATGAATTCACGACGGTATTTGAAGTCCATTAAATTTGTCGACGTTAAGATTTATAAATTAGACGACGTTAATTTTTTTAATGAAGACGTATAAATTATTAAACACGACGGTCTTTTTCATGGTAACGACGTTGTATATAAACGACAACGTCGTCCTTATAAATTACTGTGTCGTAATTAATGACCCCATCATTTTTTTCACGTCGTTTATTTTCAAAATATGAAGTATAAATTCTGTAATACGGCTCTCATTTATTTGGAACCGACGTTGTTTATTCATTTCAACGTCGTCTCTGTAAATACATGCGTCGTAAGTAATGACCCTGACATCTATTTCCACGTCATAATTCATAGAAAAATCGAAGTGGAAAATTTATTTTACGACGCTTGTTGGAAATGTTGTGACGTAGTAGATGTCAATAACGTCGTCTATTATGATTGTAAAGACATCATATTTATATTTGTCGTTAAATATTTATTTAACGGCGTTAAGTTTTAGTTCTCGTCGTTGTATGTTTATCTTGCGGCCATGTTCTGTTAATATATGTCATATGTTTCCTTTTTAACGACCTTTTTTTGTTGGAGTTGGTCATCTATTCTCATCCTCGACTGTTTTTTTTATGTCTTTTTGCAGCACAAAGACGTCGGTTTTGATTTTTTGATGACGTTTTTTGTTTTAACAACGACGGTTATTCAGCGTCGTGGTTTTGTTATGGAAAAGATGTTGGTGGATTCCACGACCATTTGAAAACAGAATACACGACGGTGAATTCCCGTCGTGTTTTTCCTTTTTTGTAGTAGTGTTATGATCCTTTCACCAAACAATTAGTTATAGTTTTCAATTGGTCAATAGACTCAGAAATCATCTCACCAAATGCTTTAGCCATTTCCTTTTGAATATTAGTATTTGCATTTCATTTGCAGTTTCGACTACTTGAGTCAGCTAAGTATTGTTGATTTGATATTGGCAAAGAGGCAGAATGATCTGGTTCAACCTAGACTTCCTCATCATCATCATTGATATCAATGTTATGCACATGCTCATTCATCATTTCAGTGGGAGTTGTAGACCCTCTACCAGTTGCTCGGTCTTTTCCAAATATATTAGACATTGTTTCCCCCTCCAATCATCAACATCCTTGTTATGCTACATCAAAATGGAAAAATTATAAATAAAACTATAAGTGTAACAAATATAAGAATTGCATATTACTTAACAAATGTATTAACCTGCACATAAGTGTTCCATGCTTCATCATTGTCAACCTCAATGCATTTCAAAGAATCATTCCAAGCAAAAGCACTTTTGTTAATCATGTCAAATATTATCCCATACAATTTTTTTCCAAAACCTCATCTTGGACTCAATATGTGGGACTACCCTCAAATCAATATTGGAAAATTTCTCAGCCAATGATTTTTCAATTTGGATCATTGTTCCAGATTTAAAGGAACCATTATCATATCATAAACCAGGGTTGACTTCATCCTCAAGTATGGTCAACAATGCTTCTTCCTCGTGTGCTTTCTACACCCTTCTACTTCCTTTTGATTGACTAGACTGTCCACTCTCCATTCCTATAGCCAATATAGACAATATAATGTTCATATATATATATAATTGAGAAAAAAAAGTTGTAAGATCAAATAAAATAACTACCTACTTATCAAAACAAATAGTCTATTACAAGTACATCCAAATAGTCTGTTCCTACAACTTAATGTATGTTCCTATTCCACTCATTATACATTTGCATAGACAAATTATTCCTCCATGTAGTCTATTGATCTGAAGGTTCAATAGTGCCAAGTACATCACCATCTTGGTTAGTTTCCCTATTTTCACTACCATTCAATTCATTCTCCAATGAATCAAAAGCCACCATCTCACCACAAATAAGATTATATAATAGGCAACAAGCTGTAATAATTTTACATTGCGTCTCAATTGGGAAAAATGTTGGACTTCGCAAGATACCCCAACGCATCTTAAGAAGTCCGAAACACCTTTCAATCACATTTCTTGCAGCATCATGCTTCATATTGAAATACTCTTCATGATTATTAGGTGCCCTTCTATTCCTCCATTCAGATAGATGATATCTTGTACCCCTATAAGGAGCCAGATATCCTTGACCATTTGTGTACCCACCATCCACAAGATAATAACATCCTAACAATTAAACAAATATTATGTACCTTACCAAAAAGATAATCAAGCTTAATATTATCATAATGAAACACAAGAATCTAATATTACCTACAAGAACTCTTAATCTTGTTGGTCTACTAATTGCATCTCGTAACACCCTAGAATCAGACGCAGATCCTTCCCAACCAGGGAAAACAAATATAAATTTCATGTCAGGAGTACAAACTCCCAATACATTGGTTGCAACCTCCCCCTTTCGTGTTCGATATCTTGGTTTATCTTGTTCAGGGACATGAACCCTAATGTAAGTCCCATCTAATGCCCCCAAGCATTTCTACGCAATTAAAAAAAATAAGGTACCTTAGAAACTTAAAATATAAATATAATAATAAAATTGACCAATCTTAATTTAATTTTTCCTTAAACCATCTCAGTCTATTATCAGTGCAATTATCAAGTATGGGTTCCGGCACCTTCAAAAGTCTACCTTGTAATCTTAACACTCGGTCCAAGATTGAATTGAAGTACCTACTAATAGTCTCCCCTGATCGCTTAAATCTACTACTCATTGTATGATTATTCACTTGATGTGCGAGTGTATGTAAAAATATAGACACTTGCTCTTCTATGGTTACTTAACCATTTGTTCTCACTCTCCCATCATCACGGACCAATTGACATAAATAATGAAAAGTTCTCTCCTATCCATCCTAATTTGGTTCACACATTGTATGTCATCAATTCCTATAATGCTATCTAAATAATTTGACCGTGTTGCAATCCTAAAAAACCTTTGACTTCTAATGGCATTCCGTTGTTGGCAACGTTGTTCCAAATTGTAGTTTGTCATGAACCACATCATGCACCAAGCCATGATATGCAAGAATCACAATCTAATAATAAAGTATGCCACAATCTTTCTTTCATCCATATCTAGGCATAATATAAAGGAAAAAAATTTAGTAAAAGTAATATAAATAATCATGCATTAATTAGATGTTTAGCAATATAATTGCATAACATGTAAAATTGGAATAATACAATAATAAGTAGAAGTTTGCACATGACAGAAGACTACAAAATAACATCCCGCTTGCATAAACCTTACTAGAATCAATTTCCTAACTAATGTAGACTTCTATATATATGTATTTCACTAAACTACCAACACTAGCAATAGTTGTTTGTTTTTGGACGAAAACTAGCACTACTCTGTTTAATACCAACAATATGTTCACAATTTTTCCTAGCATTCATGGGTTTAATAAAAAGTATGGCAAAGTTAATCTTACCGACACAAAGCATGCATGATATATACTATATGATACGAAATAATATGAGGAAGAGAAGTTTGATATAGGATACGCTCATTAATTCATATTAGCCAATGAAAACATAAATAGTATGCATAAAATGATGAAAAGAAAAAAAAATCGAAGACAGAAAACAAAACAAAACAAATTCTCTCTATACATATAATATAATATTCTTTTCAATTGTTATCTTTGTTTCTAGTTCTCAACAGAGTGAAAAAGTGGAAAACAACAAACAAAAAGTGAAACATGGACAAAGAAATAATTCATAACCTAATTTCCACAAAAATTTAATAAAAGATGAAATATATGAACAAGAGAGAAGAAGCATATTGGAGAGAGTATGAAAAGGAGAGAGAGTGTGAGAGATGGATACTTGGAGAATAGTGAAGAGAATAACTTATGGAGAAGATAGCAGAGAAGAAACCTAGGGAGAAGAAGATGAAAATAGAGTCTGATTTTTCTCGTTGAACGCGTGTTCTTTTTACTTAGCCATATAATTAAGTGTGTATTATCTAAACTAGGGTGTGTGGTTTGTATTAGTTAGTTAGGTAAGGAGAGTATTAAAAGCTCAACCAATATAAAATAGTCAGGTAATTAAATAATACAAGTTGACACCAAACACCTGACATGGACTATTTACTTCTATCTAGAGTCTAATATGGTGTACCAAACGACCCCTAATTGACAAAAGAGTACAACTGAAGCGGAGTTACTTTATTTCATGTGCACCTCTTAAGTAGCAGCCTCAACTTGGACTTTAAGGAATGTTAAAATAATTTAATATTATGTCAAACTGAAAATGCAATGGGCAACATACCCATCACATCAGACCATAATCCTGTTGTGCATAAACATTCCCAGACCTTGTCATTGATGGACTACGCAACTATCACACACACAAGCCACACAAACATAAAGCACATACACGAGCCTACGTTCTCTTGGTGATCCACCCGAGAAATTCTTTAGTATGTAAGAACAAATTTAGTTACAACTTGAACCCCCTTAGCTCTCACAAGAACCCTAGCTCTCTTTTCTCTCACCCTTGCTCAAACTCTTTTATGCTCTTGTAAACACCCTAGAATTCCCTCTAGAATTATCTTATGTCTCTTTCTATCTTCTCTCTTATTTTTAACCTAGTCCTAAAAGTCCTATTTATAATGTATAGGACTTTTGCTACAAGTTAACTAGGAATATGAAACTAAAACCCTATTAAAATAGGCTAGAAAACCCCCCAAATAATAGGAAATCCTCCTCAAAACACTCCAAAAAGTCAAACATACGCGTGACATTGTTCACGAGGAGACCGGTCACTGGAGACAGAGAAGGCATCTCGAGCTCTCGGCCAGAAATTATTGGTCGCTTGGCCAAAGCGACAAGTATGCACACGTCTCCTCCTTATGACTTCTTCTTCTCTTCTGCTACTCCTCATTGCAGCCACTCTTTGTTTCCACTTCCTCCTTGCATCATTTTGGCGAGCTAAACATCTCCAACAATCTCTACCTTGGCTAACCATTAATCACCCATGAACAATTGTTGACTCCTAGAACCTCTTCAACCTCTTGGAAATCATTCTAGTAATTCCCAAGAGCTCCACCATGGTAAGAAACCCATTACCTCAACGCACTTGAGGTGAGAATGTGGTCCAACCAATGCTAAACTTGGGCCACCCAGACCTCTTGTGTAGGAGAGAGATCCTCAATGTTGAACTTATTGCTACTTGCCTTCTTGGAACCTTGAATTCTTGAAATGCCTTGATATGCAAACCACATGCCAACCTTTGTTCTATAAATCCCCACGCAACCACTAACCTTGCTCTTGGATTTATGAACTAACTCATTTCTTTTCATCAAAGCACTCATCTAACCTTCCTACTTCATGCTCCCAAAAGCACTGTAAAATGTAGTTGAATCTACCTTGTCCTTCCATCCAAACCCTTGAGACGGTTTGATGGATTCCTTGGCCTTGGATCTTGCTTGTGATAAAGGCTTCACCCCAAGTAGAACCTCTTTGTGAGTTTGTTGTTGATGCCCATCTTCTTCAACTATTGTGTTAAGCTCCATCAGCCTTGGAGTTCCTTCCCTGACCACTTTAGTAAGAAGTACTTTTTCAATTGCCACTGATCCAACAACATACTTAGACCCGGCAATATCGGACACGACTCGTTAACACAACACGAATTCGCACGAAAATAACAATATTTGGGTTGAGCTTAATGGGTCGGGTTGAAAACGGGTGGACCCGTTACTCACCCGTTAAGCTAACGGGTCATGTTAGTATCATTCGCGAATCACCCATTAACCCGTTAAGAGCAAGGGCATTTTTGTAATTTTCATTATAAAATTAACCTAGCTTGAATTGAAGCTTCTATTTTGTTATTCCCTCTTCACGCTGCTCTTTGTCTTTCTCTCAAGAGAAACAAAAGCTTTCTCTTTCTCTCTAGATCCAAACCAAACCATCAACATCAACTACCTTTCCTCTTCTGCAACGAAAAGGTATGAAAATCTCAAGTATTAAGAGTTTGAATTTTCATTTATGCATTATATAAGTACCAAAGTGAGTTGGAAGGATTGCTTTTATCTTCTGTCTTTCCCTTCTCTGTCTTTCTCTTAGCAAAGTAGGCTTAAGTTAAGATTCATTGATTGATTCAATGAGCATCCTTTATTTCATAGAAATTGGGGAATAGAATAAAAAACCAACTGATCCAGTCCTTTACTAGTTTAGTGGCTTATGCCTATTTTATTAACTTGCTGCACTATTTTATTAATTTCCACTTTGAGAGTTTGTTATCACTCTTGCATTTATCTGATAAATCTCCCCATAAGCTTTTATTAATTTCCACTTGAGGGTTGGAATATATGCATTATTTTCTACTTTCCTATTTTCTTTGTTTCATTTATTTATTGGTTTAGATGAAGACTTGCTAATTAAAAAAACCAAACAATTGCAGCTCGAAAATCAAAGAATTTATTCTACTTTTGTCTTGGCAATGTTGCTATACAAATATGTGTGATATAATAAACTCATTCAATGGTGTTTATAGGGCCAGTATGTTGCCAATATTTAAATTTATGTCTCAAGATTGAGATATCATAAAATATCTTAGTGGATATGATGGATTTTCTATACAAATATTTTATCTTCTCTTTTTTGCTTTTTTGGATATTCAATGGGTATGATAATGATTGATTAGCTGCACACTAGGCTATTATTTTGATTCTTCAAACACTCCATCTATGAGTTTTATATTACTGTAATTGATATTGAATTTATGTCCTTTTTTTTTCTTTTGAGGCTTATGGATGTTATAGAGAGTACCGAAGCTACGAGACTCACAAATGAGGAGTCTATTGATGTTTGAATGTGTGGGGATACAAGTATTGCAAATGTAGAAGATAAAGAGTCAAGCCCTAGAAGCAAAAAGCCTAGAGGCATCAATATTGGTAACAGAAAATTGAGATCTCCTGCTTGGGAAACACTTGATTATTGCCTCTTGGAGAAGATAAAAAAAGCATGCTAAATGTAAAAATTGTGAGACAATTTATGTGTGTGATAGTAGGTGTGGGACTGGAAATTTGTTGAATAACGCTAAAAACTACCTTAAGAAACCACATGGTGATGTGAAACAATTACTTATGTCATCATCTGGATTGCGTTCCCCTAAATTTGATCACATCAGATTTCATAACTTGTTAATAGAGACAATCATAAAACATAACTTGCCTTTTAGCTTTGTTGAATATGAGGGAGTTAGGGCTTTGTTTGCTTATTCTTGCAGGATATTAAGTTGCCTTGTAGAAATACTGTTAAGGCATGTGTGTTGAGGATGTTTAAAAGTGAAACACAAAAACTTTAGAGTTTGTTAAGCTCAGTTCAGGGAATAATTTATATAACATCAGATTTATGGACCTCTCTATGTACTGATGGCTATCTTGCTCTTACTGCCCACTTTGTTGACAAAGATTGGAGATTACAGAAAAGAATTATCAACTTTTGTCACATGTCTCCTCCGCATTCTGGTGTTATATTATTTGAAAAAATCAATACATGTTAACTGAGTGGGGGATTGAGAAGAAGTTGTTTTCTATTACTCTTGATAATGCTTCAGCAAATACTGTTTTTGTTGATATTTTGACGAATCAATTGAACTTTAGATCTCTTTTATTGATGGGTGGTAAGTTTTTTCATGTGAGTTGTTGTGCCCACATTTTAAACTTGATAGTCCAAGATGGACTTAAAGAAATTGATTCTTCAGTGACAAAGATTCGAGAATGTGTCAAGTATATAAAGGGATCCGAGGGGAGGAAACAAAAATTCTACGATTGTGTTGCACGAGTAGGGATTGTGGGTAGTAAGAGAGGATTGAGACAGGATGTCCCTACTAGATGGAGCTCAACTTATACCATAATTGATAGTGCATTTTTCTATCATCGTGCATTTATTAATTTAGGGTTGATTGATTCCAATTTTAGTAGTTGTCCTTCTCCCCTAGAGTGGATTAAAGTAGAGAAAATTTCCAAGTTTTGGGGTGTTTTTATGAAGTTACATGCTTATTTTATAGGACAAAGTACCCCACATCAAATTTATTCTTCCCTAAGATCTTCATAATCCAACACCAAATTAAGGCAGCCATGGAAAATAATGATATTTTCATGAATAAGATAGGAACTAACATGAACATGAAGTTTGAGAAGTATTGGTCATAGTACAGTTTAGTTCTTGCAATTGCAATTATTTTGGATCCTCGTTATAAGTTTCATTTTGTGGAGTGGGCTTACACTAAGCTTCATGGTAAGTTTCATGTGTACGCGGAAACTTTATCTCCTCTTCTTAATGCAAGTTATCCAACGAATGAGACAACTAGTCATAATGAAGGTGAAGACACCATTCTTGAGGTATATTCAAATTATTTCTTATTATTTTATTTATGTATTGTTTCATATTGTATATTTGCATTTGCATGTAACTAATAGTTGTGTTTTTGATTTTGTATGGTGTAGGATTTTGACAATAGTTACAAAAATGGTTCAAGTTCGTGTAAGAAAAATGAATTGCATAAGTATTTGGATGAGGAAAGATTAGATAGAAAGCAAGATATAAATGTTCTTTCTTTGTGGCAAATGGAGCATTTTCATTATCCGATACTTTCACAGTTAGCTCAGGATGTGTTAACAATTCCCATTTCTACTGTTGCATTAGAATCGGCTTTTAGTATTGGTGGTAGAGTATTAGATCAATATCGTAGTTCATTATTACCATAAACTGTTCAAGCTTTGTTGTGCACTCGAGATTGGCTTTTTGGAAATGGAGGTAATATTTATATAACTTAATACTAGTAGCTATTTTTTTCTTTTATGTTTTTCCATTATGTGAATTCTTGTAATTTTTGTTTTTTCAATGCTTAGCAATAGATGAAGGAAGTATCGAAGTGGAAAGCCTAACTGAAGATATCTTCAATCTTACTTGTGAAGAGACTAGATCAGGACAATGTTTCAATAGTATTTCCCTTGATGATTGATGAAAGGTAACGACAAATAATTGATATTTTATTCATATTGTATCCCTCCATAATTTTATTTTTTTCTCATATTTATCTGTTGTGTTTTTTTTTCCTCACAGTGAGATTGCATAATTGGTGAAAATTGCAACTTTGAGATTATGTTCATGGAGGATTGAAGTTTTGAGATTAGGTTCATGGAGGAGGCTCTAGACTTATTCCTTTTCTCCTTAACATTTTATTTAAAACTTGTTTCAATTGAGATTAATTTGAAACTCACATCGCCTAAGAGTTTTTTTTGTTTGCCAATGTGTGATGTGTAAGACTTATTTAAGGATTTCAGCTTTATTTGTATTATATCTCTACTTTGAAGTGTGTTCATTTAATAATTTGTTAAAAAATATTTTTTATTTTTTAAATGGGTGAAACGAGTGAAAAATGACCCATTAACCATAATGGGTCGTGTCGTGTTATTCACGAATTTGTGCAGGTCGTGTTTGGGTCTGGTATTTCTGACCCGTTAACGGGTTCTATTCATGTCAACTTGTTAAGAAAACGGGTTGACACGAACACAACCCGTAACCCGCAAAAATGACCCGTTTGCCAACTCTAAACATACTCCCCATCATCCCTTGTCTTGACTTCACCATTGTGGACCTTGTCCTCCTACTCTACCACTTCTACACCCTTGAAATCAAGCACCCTTGATGATACCGTTAATCATACAATCTTGATTAACCTTCCTTGCCCAACTAGTCTTGAGCAAACCCGTAGTTTCATTCCATTGCACTAGCTCCTTGACAGTAAGATCCCTTGCTCGCTTTTCTTTGGTACGAAGCGCCTCATTGGTGGAATTTTCTGCTCCACACATGTAAGATTTTCTATGAATTTCAAGATGAATTATGGTGTAGTTTGTTTTATATGGTTGAGTTGACAAGAAAGACTACCAATTATTGTCTGTATAAAGTTGAGAGGAGAAATAATGATCATGGTTCCAGAGTGTGAGAAATTGTTCATGAAAAAGAAGGGGGATTTTGCTTCGTGTAGTTGCAAAAAATTTGAGAGTCAAGGAATCACATGTAGACACATTTTGGCATTTTTAAATAATATGCAGTTCACTTATTTGCCACATCAATATATCTTGAAGAGATGGACTAAAAATGAAAATTTTGAGAGAGTTTTTTATGATGACAGTCTAGAATTAAATGATTTTTTCTAACAAATCATTTCTGGTGAGACGCACTAGATTGTTTAAACTCGCTTCAGATGTAATTGATAAAGCTATGACCAATGAAGAGGCAAGTGACATAGTTGCAAAAATATTGCAAAATGCACTTGAGGAGATCAAACCTACAGTTGATGCTACAAGTGGAGTTCTTGAAAAATGTAGTACTACTTGAGCACACAAGTTTAATAAACCACTTCCAGTTAGAGCAAAAGGTTGTGGAAAATGACTAAAAAGAGGAAAAGAGAAAGCAAAGAGTAAGGGTAGGCGTTGTCATGGATGCGGAAAAATTGGTCAATCACATGATAAAAAAAAATTGTCCAATGCTAAAAAATGGGCGAGTATGTGCAATTTTTATTCAATTTTTTTAATATATGAATATTGCATCAATCGTCTTAATTATTGTTTTCCTTTGATGTAGATGTTCCACTTGCGATGATGCAAATTCAAATTTATTTGATACATATGAGAGTTCTTCCTCCTTAAGTAATATTAATGTTTATATACGTGTTAGTTTATTTGCATGAAAATTGAGCATATTATGATATTTATTTTTCCTCTAAGAGGCTAAAAGTTACCTAGAAGTATAAATGTGGGTTGCATACTATAGTCATGAATTTTAATATATTTTTTTTATATATGGGGACCTGTGAATCTTTTAGGTTTTTTTAAAAAAAAATTATACAGATGAATTTTAACCAAAGAGATGCAGCAAGGACAAATAATTTGTAGAACTTATATATTTCATGAGTTCTTTTAACCTTGTCTTAATAATAAGGTATTATTTGCTTAAAGTATATTTCAAAGAGAGACAAAACATGACGAAAAAAAAAAAAAAAAAAAAAAAGAAAAATTGAGAAAAAGCGAGAGAAGGAAAAAATAAAAAAGAAGAGAGAGACTGAAACAATTGAGAAAGGAAAGTATGGAAAAAAAAGAAGAAAAAAAAGAGAAAGAATGAAACAATTGTGTCCAGATTTGGTTTCAAAGAGAGAAAACATGAAAGAATAATAAAGTTGCAGTACCATTGGATTGATCTGACGATCCACAAACCTTTGGTTGTATTTTTGTTTTAGTTTTAGTTTCTTTGTTTGATACATTAGCAAAGAAGCTCTCAATCATGTTGAAAAATATCAACCCGCTCTGTTGATACTGTTAACATATGGACGGTCGCTTTCGGGTCCAAGATAGGGCATGTGCATTACACATGTTGAGGGGTCTTATCGATGCCCAACTGTTTATCTTTGCACATGGATGAGATAAGAGGCCATCAACAACCAGTCCCCACATTTTTCTGACCTAGTTACCATTTTAGCCTTGGACAATTGCAATTATGTGGCCAAAAAAAAATATATAGGTAGGTAGGTGACAAATGGATATAAGAATAGGAAACGAAAACCTCATATTATCTCAGAGAAGACAAGGTATAGTTTTTTATCCTCACCAAACTAGCAGTTATGTGGCACCAACTAATTTGGTCTGATGGTATTTGTCTTCATTTAATTGAACGAGATCTCATGTTCGATTTACACTGATTGCACAATAACGATATATATTTGTGATGAATTCGATATATATTTGATTGTGACAAGTTCATTGTGATGCTCTGTAACTTTATTTCAGGCATGAGGATTCTCAAATTATCACTCTCTTTTCTTTCAATCTTTATTTCGAGTATGAGGAATTCTCAAAAAAAGTTAATTTGTTGTTTTCATTTAATATATCATCCTCTTTAAAATAAATTCTTCAATTTTTAAATTTTTAAATAAAAAAAATAAAAAAGAACAAAGGATACTTTAGAATTTTCACAAATTTCACTAAAACCTGAAGTTGTTGCTCTTTATCGGCGCAGATAAGATGACGTGAGCCATGTCATGTGCCTTCTTGTTAAAACGGCAAACATTGTCGCAATCTTACTGCCCCACTGCAACTGCTTATAAACACCACCACTTTCCTTCATAACTCCACACAACTCTCTCTCTCTCAACCTGCGCTTTTGAACTTCATCTTCTTTTAAAATCTCCAATCCAAATTTCAAGACAAAGAAAATGGCTTTTAAGTTAAGCATTTTCATGCTCTGTGTAGCAGCTTTAATGCTTGTTTTACTACAAGCAAACCAGGTAACCCACCACTGCAGCTCTCTCTCTCTCTCTCTCTCTCTCCTTGCTATAATGTGTTTTCCATTGAATTTTGCAGGCCTCTACTGTGGAAACATCAGCATTGCAACAACAGGAGAATTACCAACCAGTGAGACCCTTTATATATATAAATATTATTTTTCTTTGTCATCAGTTCAGAATAAGTTGAAGCTTAATTTCTATGGTTAATTAAAAAAATAATAATTATTCTTTGTAATTTTGCAGTATGGTACTACCCAAGGCAGCCTTCGTCCTCAAGGTGGGTTATACATTTATTTAACTCTTATCTTCTAATTTTGGAAAAAAGAGGAGCTATTACAATTTACAAGGCCAAAAAAGTCTATACAAAATATATTCAACCATAAGTAATTAAGAAGGTATAACGTGGGCTTAAATTGGCCATGGGAATAAAATGTTAAAAATGTTACCTTTTTTTTTCTCTGGCCTTTACTATTTATCTGACAACCCAGCTCCCATGGTGGCCCACAAAATTAAAATAAGAAGGGCAATCTTATGAAAAAAATAGGGATTCAGGGCAAGTTTGGGAGAGTAGGGACGGAGATGGTATTGTCATACTCAGTCTTAAACCGGCCGTTGCCATCATCATTGATGGTTTTTTATTTCTTTCCCTAAAATACTTTATTATTTTTATCACTACACTAATATATCTATAAAATATGTGAATATATTCATAATTTAATCTTAATATCTACCTGCGTATGCATGTTCATAACTTAACTACAAATGTATAATGTCAAAACAGTAAAATAAACATTCAATCTAGCATGCTTTTGAGTAATTGAAAAATCAGATCTTATTAAAAAATGACAATCTGATTTTCCAAATGATGTTTTTGTTTCCGTTGATCTTTGAAGGCTTAATGTGACTAATTAACCTTAAACTTATGTGTTTAGAGTGCGGACCGCGGTGCACTACTCGGTGCTCGGCCACAGCGTACAAGAAGCCTTGTCTGTTTTTCTGCCAAAAGTGTTGTGCAAAGTGCTTGTGTGTTCCTCCTGGAACATATGGAAACAAGCAAGTTTGCCCTTGCTACAACAACTGGAAGACCAAGAGAGGAGGACCAAAATGCCCCTAATTAAAATGATACCTACTCCAATTTCTGCATTATATTGATAATATATATATATAGTTATAGCCAAGTTTTCTTAATATGTAATCACCTTCGAAACCAATTATCAAAAGGTCAAGGTTTGGGGGTTCAACTTATGTAGCTATGCTATAAAATTATAGTATCTTATATTTGGATAATGCAAGGAATAATTATAAATGCAGACGTGGCTTAGATTATTTCATCGGTGTAGTAAGCGTTGCACTCAAGTTCAAGCCCTGCTATCTATAAATTATGTTAATTTAAAGTAATTTAGAGTATTACTTCAATTAAGAAAAAGAGATTATGAATTGATGACCTAACCTATTGTACACGCATTCAAACTGAAAGCAATCATTTCAATCTATTGTACACACATAAGGACACAACTACCAACCATGTTACACTAAACTTTGTCTATCTTGAGGTGGCCATGATTTCAATCCTGAGTGGCCCTCCCAAAAATATAAAACTTTTCTCGGTGCCCTCTCAATATTCTTCCCAAGGAAACAATTATTTTTTTATAACACAGACGATATATTGTTTCCATATGTTCGAGGGACACTGCTTCCCTTCTTGTCTGGAAGGAGGCATTCCTACTTTTTTCAAATCAAACCTTGACGCATTTACAAAAATAATTTATCAAAAACGAAAAAAGAAGAATCTCAACACACATGTCAAACTGTGATTAGCAGGAAAATAGAAATTCCTACTTTCAGAGAAGAAGGCAAGTGTTTTCCATGTTCGAGAGGCACACACAAACACTTAGCAGAACACTACTTTTGACAGAAAAAAAAACAAGAAGATGACAAATGTGAGGTCATCAGACTTCTTCCATAGTGAACAAAATGAAAAGTTGTGTGTTCTTGCTTCATGCCAAGATGAGCTTGAGGGGAAGTTACCAAAATCCAGAAAGCTCTAGGCTCGAGGGGGAGGTTAGGGGTGGGTTTTTGTGTAGCAAGTGACATTTTGATAGTTTATTGGATGAAATTATAAAACATTATGGTAAGGTTGAAATTCAGTATTTATAAAGAGTCTGAGTGCTAATTTTTTAATTTTTTTTTTCAAAAGGAAAATGCTAGGCATATTGGTGGGCTCCACTCTATAAAAGATGTGATACATAATGTGGTATATAAATGTGATAAGCCTAGTATTACCCAAAAAATAATTGAGGGGGCAAAGTCTAAGGGGAAACTGCGATTTACCCTTTTCTTAAATAAATTTATTATTTAAAAAAAAACACGATAACAGAATTATTTATTTATTTGTTTAGGGGCTGTTCAGTGACATTTTCAAGGCCTTATTTTCATTTTCTACTAAAAACGCGTTTGGTATGTCGTTTTCATTTTCATTGGATATGTTTTTTGAAAACAAATTCAAACTGATGTACAAAAACTGAAAAAACCATATTATCGTTTTCATTTTATGTTTTCTTTTTCTACCCAATGTATTGGTCTGATTGCTTTCTTTTTTTTTGGTTGGTCTGATTTTTCTTTTTTCTTTTCCATGTAATTTTTTTTTCAATTTTCAATTTTTTCGTTCCAATTCATTATTTTATTTTGCTACACTAGTGTATATTAATTTTATGATAAAAATATCATACGTTATTCAATTTCATATTTATTTTAAACTAAAGATAATATTATTTTATTATCTAGGGTTTTCTAATATTAGGCTTTTATTATTATTTTCATTATACAATATTATTCTCAAAGTATCCATTTTTCATTGTTTGTAATAATTTTAGCCTTTAAAATATCATAATTTAAAAATATATATTTTTAGGACATAAATTAGCAAAACATATACTTGAAAAATAACTCACAAATTATTATTCACAAATTGTCCTACTGGACACGTTTTCACTATTTTTATTTTTTTTAAATATGTTTTCCAGTTAATCTACTAGACGCATTTTTGAATCTTGAAAATGCAAATTCATTTTTTCGTTTTCATTCTCATAAAATATTCTCCGAAAACCTTATCGAATGGGCCCTTAGTTTTTGGTATAAGGTTGGGCCTAAAAATGAAAGCCTGTTCCTCCAAATATACTACTCTCTACCGAACCAACCGGCCCACACCACAGCGGTGGGAAGGTGGGTTTCCGAGAAGAAGACTTGGGTCCCAATTATTCAACTTAATCTTAAATTGACCAAACACCAGACCATATCTTTATGTCACATGGCGATTCGACATTTCTTTTTCTCTCCCTTTCGTTCTCACTTTTGTCCTTTTGGTCAATTTATTTCTCAAGTTGCATACCTTTTTTCAATTCAAGCCACATCCTCCATTGCATTAGAGTACTTCCACCCCTATGGACAAAGACAAGATAAGAACACAGTAAGGGCTGTCATTATTTATGTGAATAGTGGCAATCCTTACAATTTCATTTCCACCCCTTTGTCTATCTTGAGGTGGCCGTGATTTCACTCGAGTGGCCCCCTCACAAATATAAAAAATTTCTTGGCTGGCCTCTGAATATTCTTCCTAAGGAAACAATAACTTCTTTTTTTTTAACACAAACAATATATTGTTTTCATATATTCAAAGGACACTTCTTTCCTCTTTACCTGGAATGAGACATTCTTACTTCTCGCAAATTAAAGTTTGACACATATGCTAAAATCATTAATAAAAAAGATAAAAATAAGAATCTCAACTCACATGTCAAACTATGATTAGCAGAAAAGTAGGAGTTCCTACTTTCAAGGAAGGAGGCAAGTAATTTCCATAGTGAAAAGTGTGAGGTAAAACACTACTATTGGCAGAAAAACAAACAAAATGACAAGTTGTGTGTGATGGATTCATGCCAAGATGAGCTCGAGGGGAAGTTACCAAAATCGAGAAAGCTCTAGGCACGAGTGGGAGGTTAGGGGTGGGTTTTTGTCTAGCAAGTGATATTTTTATAGAAAATTGGATGAAATTATTAAACATTGATGGTAAGGCTGAAATTCACTATTTATAAAGAGTCTGCGTGCTAAATTAATTATATTTAAAAAAATAAAAAAGTTAGGCCTATCATATTTATATACAACATTGTGTACCATCTCTTTAATAGAGATGCGTCCCATTGTATTAGTGGGCTTTGCCTCTATAAAAGATGTGATACACAATATGGTATATAAATGTTGTAATAACCCAAACCCAAAATTAATATTTAATTATTAATTTATTTGAGAAAAAGACTAAAATACCCCTAGAATATTTTATTAGTTTAAAAGTTGACTTTTTAACCGGGAAGGAATTTGAGGATTCCAGTTGTACTGTTGCGTAGAGCGCGACAAAACGAGTCCGTAGACATGTAGTGGACTCAAATCGGAGTTGTAACGAAGGAGTTACAAGCAAAAGAAGTTCAGTGGCATAACCGTAAATATCTCGAACTTCAATTTTTATAAACCCAGAATCTTCTGGATTCGGGGGGGGAAGGAGCCGACTTTCTGAGCTGATTCCTCTCAGCTCCGACCCCCGATTCAGGCAATACCAGTGCCAAATGAACCACGAAACTTCCCTCTTCCAACCCCAGCCCTTCGCCGCCACGATCCGCCGCCATAGTCCCCGGAAACAGCCACGAAACAGGCGGCGCTGGACAGTTTTTGACAGAACTTCCAAGCGTTCGTTCTCCGTCGTCCGGCCACCAAATCGGACGAGTGAGGTATGGTTTTCTAGCTATTTTTCATGCTCTAGCTGCTGGTTGGGTAGGATTTCAGAAATTTCTAGCGTAAATAGCTCGATTTACGAGTTAGGTTTCAGCCGGTTTTCGAGTCACTGTTCCGGCCATTTCCGGCCACTTTTTGGGGTAGGTCCAAGAACAAAAGTGGTTCCAAATAGGGTGTTTTACCTAGGATAGGAGTCTTGAACCGAGATGTTGATATTTTCCGGCGAGGCGTTATCGCTTTAGGCACCACGCGCTGCCAGCGCGTGTGGCGGCGCGTGGGCAGCAGGGTGGGGACCACAGTCAGTCCTAGAGTGATCTCCTAGTCCTCACGAGCGCGTGGGATTTCGCGGATCTTAATTCGGATAACGTTTGAACCCCGAACGGATCTCGCCTAGTATGCGATTTCCGGGTTCTATACGTTTGAACCGTTGGATCGTAGTCAATTTCAAGTATGTTGATCTAGGTATTTCCAAGATCGTATAGTATTTGACGGATCGTAAAACGGAGTCCCGGATACTCCAGAAATGTCAGCCCTAGAGAATGTTTTACGGATAATTAAACCAGTTACAAAATAACGAACTCGTTGCAGGTCAAGAACAGAGGAAAGAACTACGTGTGGCTTGATCCCTCAGTAAGGGTACGTAGGCAGCTACCGTTACCAGGCGCAGCCACGAGTTAGGGCCTTAGGGTTTGTGTTATTGTTTTTCAGGGCCTTTTGTCCATTTACGACCCACAGTTACCAGATGTCAGTTTTAAACAGGATTCGGCCCGGATTTCAAAGTGGAAATTGGATCGGGTCGTTTCAATGTAGTAAGTCTAGTATTATTCAAAAAATAATTAAGGGTGATTTACCCTTTTCTTGAATAAATAATAAAAAAAAAGCATGGTGACAGAATTATTTATTTATTTGTTTAGTTTTTGGTACAAGGTTGGGCCTAAAAATGAAAGCCTGTCCCTCCAAATATAATGCTGTACCAAACCAAACGGCCCACACTACAAAGGTGGGAGGGTGGGAAGTTGGGTTTCCGAGAAGAAGACGTAGGTCCCACTTATTCAACTTTAATCCTATGGCGATTCAGCCTTTCCTTTTCACTCTTTCGTTCTCACTTTTGTCCTTTTTCAATGGGGGCATTTTTGCTCACCACCCTTAACTAAAGGTGTATCCTTACCACCATCTTCAAAGGGTGACACGTGTCCTATTATTAACCTTAGTTAACTTTTATGTGGAAATCTAAAAAAATAAATAAATAAGGGGCCCACAGCCTTCTCTCCCCTTCCTTCCTCCTTTTCCCCTTCCTTTTTGTTTTCTTTTCTTTCTTTCAGCCTCTCCCGACCCATTCTCTCTTACTTATCTCTCCCTCTCTTACACTATTTGCAAAAATATAAATAACTATTTACTCTCTTTCACCTTTTTTGTTTTTGTTTTTTTTTCTCTTTTCGAATTGCAGTGAATTTCTCGGCAGCCAAACAGAGTGAGAGATTAAAAAAAAGACAGAAAACTGATGGTGAGGGGAGTTGGAGCCGCGAAGTGAAGGGCATGAAGATGAAGGAAGCGAGAGAGAAGCTAAAGGAGGCGATTCGGAAGACGAGGATGAGGTAGTTGAAGCGCCTGAGCTTCCGTAGCGAGACAATGGAGTGGAAGGGATGGTTTGGGATCGGGTACGGCGTCGGGAGAGGGAGAGATATAGAATGAGGAAAGAGAGAATGGGTCGGGAGAGGCTAAAAGAAAGAAAAGAGAAAAAAAGGAAGGGGAGAGAAGGCAGTGGGCCCTTGTTTATTTATTTTTTCAGATTTCCACAAAAAAGTTAACTAAGGTTAATAATAGGACACGTGTCACCCTTTAGAGGTGGTGATGAGAGTACACCTCTAGTTAGGGTGGTGAGCAAAAATGCTCCCTTTTTCAATTCAAGTCACATCCTCTATTGCATTATTGATATTAATTGGCATATGCTTTCCACGACAGATTGATATAGACAGACACGTAGGTTTGCATTTTATACATCCAACATGTATTGAACCTTTTTTACACCGACTGCATGTAGGGTTTGTTTGTATGAAATGCCGTAAAAGAAAGAATTTAGATTTGATAATATATAAAACATTAGATAGATTGTATGCACTTAAAATATATAGGACTATATGTTATATTTTTCTAAATTAAGTGTCTATGATTTTTCACACAACTTGAAATATATAAAAGACATACCTGGTGTCATCTTACTTGAGTACACGATCTTTGAAGACACGAACCACTCAAAACTTCTGCTCTCTCTTAAAAATGGTTTCAGCTCTCTCTTTATGATGAGATTAGGGTTAGAGAACATGTCTGACGAGAACAAGGTTTTAAGCTTATATAGGACTGGGTTAAGTCGTCTCACTCTCGCTATAGCCTTAACTGTAAAGCTATAAATTCGCCAAACTAAAAAGGAGATTCGAACTATATAGCCTTAACTGTAAAGCTGAGTATCCTCACTCTCGCTAGAGCTATAAATTTCCTCGAGGATACGGTTTAGGACATCGTGACTTCGGCCATTTTTTATTTCCCATGTGCATGCATCAGTCATGAGGACACAGTGAAAGTACACAAGACAAGAGCTGCTGCCTTTTGAATATAAATTTGGTATTTTCTCCAAATCCAATTCCGTGAATGTGATTTTGGACAATTGCATTTGTCTTCTTGTTTATATATTCCACCATGTTGCCTTCCTTTTGACCTGCTTTTCCTTGGTGTGTGTCTACTAGGCATAATTTTTTTTAACAAAAGATAAGATATTTACAAAAAGTATAGTTTACAAGCATTGATTTGTACTGGATTAGGTGAATGTTTTTGTTGCTTTGCTTGGATGATTGCCCCAAAATTAAAAACCAGAAGGATAAAGAATAAAGAAAGAAAAGTAGCCAGGCCTAATATATATCAAGTTGCAGTATGTACTAGTCTTGTCAACTTTTGCCTCAGAATTCAAGTCCTATAAATATAAGCACTCACTCCATTACGCTCTCAGCATCTCAGAGTTCACTACAATGGAGCACTTTCGTTTAATTTTCCTTTCTTTTTTCCTCTATGTAAGTTTTCAATGCAATAAGGTCCACAAACAAAATCTTAAATAGTAATTAGTCTCGTGTGTGTTTCTGTGTGTACTTAACCTAAGTTAACGGTTGATGCAGGTCATATTGCTGGTTGGAGTCTTTGCTTCTGAAGATGTATCCTGGGAGACTTACTGGCAGTCAGCTTTGCCAAAAACTCCAATACCCCAAGCTGTGCAGGAACTTTTACACCCTGGTTAGCTTCAAATACACCCCAAAAAAAACCCATTCTCTTTTGTAGCTATATATTTTCGTCACAGTTGGTAAGGATGTAATTTATGGCACAAGTTTGAGCTTCGTAGTTTCATTATTCCAGGCTAGGCTCATTGGTAAACTTTAGCTATTGCAAACAAGTAATAAACCAGAGCTCCTGTCCTCTGTGTGTGTGTGTGGGTGCTTTCTTTTTAATTTTTTGGTTCTTTTTGTTTTTGGGTTTTTAACATATGCTCCTGTATTAAGGAAATCAACCAGAAGTTCTGGTCCAGAACTGATACTGGCTACACAAAATTTATAGACTTCCAGTAGCTTTGAGCAAGCTTTTCTACTAATTGTACCATGTAGTTTACAAGCAAGACTTATAGCAATCAGACAACAGACAGAAGAATCAACTTAAAATTATGTACAACTTTTGTATCTGCATATTTAAACTTTTTAAAATGTTCTTGTTGCTTATACAGAGAACTGGCCAGGGACAGAAGGCAAAAGCACATACACTGGGATCAGCAAGGATGCTTTGAACATCAATACCATTCAATCCGGGTCTGCATTTACAACTGCAGGTCCAGAAAGCTATGCCAAAGCCGCCACAGGAAAAATCCCAGTTGAGCAAGGTGTTACTACTTTCTTCTTTGCAAAAGATCTGCATTTGGGGAAGAAAATGACCTTACACTTCCCCAAAACCACAAACAACGCTAAACTTTTGCCGCTTCGAGTTGCAAAGTCCCTACCCTTTTCAAGCAGCAAGTTACCCGAGATTCTAAACCGCTTTTCGCTGAAACCTGAATCAGCAGAAGCAGAGATAGTGAAACAAACAATCGAAGAATGCGAGGAACCAAGCATAGAAGGGGAAGACAAGTACTGCGCGACGTCCTTAGAATCTTTAGTCGATTTCAGTGTTTCGAAGCTCGGGAAATATGCTGAGGTGTTCTCAACAAAAGTGGACGTAGAAAACAAGCAGGAATATAGGATTGCGAGGAGAGTGGAGAAAATTGGAGAGAGGTCGGTGGTCTGCCATAAGCAGAAGTATGTGTATGCTGTGTTTTACTGCCATGAAATCCGTTCAACAAGGGCTTACAAGGTTTCTTTGGTGGGAGCTGATGGAACAAAAGCAGAAGCGGTTGCTGTTTGCCACAGCGATACAAGAAAATGGAACATTAAGCTTTTGGCTTTCCAGCTTCTCAAAATTAAGCCAGGAACTGTCCCTGTCTGCCATTTCTTGCCTAGTGGGAACCTTCTTTGGGTTCCAAACTAGAAAAGATTAGAACCTCATCTTGTGAAAACAATCATGTTTCTCAATCATGTTTGTGGCAGAAACAAATGTGAGGGAATTATACATATGTATGTGTACTTAACCAAAGTTAACGGTTGATGTAGCTAATTATATATATATATATATATATATGTATGTGTGTGTACTTAAGGTAACGGTTGATGTAGCTAATTATGCTTGGATAATGTGAAATGTGTTGTTGGGCGATTAAAACATGGCCTCAATCACATTTCATGTCTGCCTGCCTACAATAGTGTTAGCTATGTGGAGTTTGATAGTCCATGTGTGTATAAGCAGAAGAAAACATGGCGTCAATCACATTTCATCTCTCTGTCTGTCTTTAGTTTTTTTTTTTTTTTTTTTTTTTTTTTTTTGGCTAAGCCCCCCTGACTGGACGAAAATGGTTACTAAAATCGAAACACTTGAGATAAAAATTTCCAGGCCAAGATAGACTCTTTCAACTCAAATATTCTAGACATAAACTCACCTATTTTTCAACTTCGTCTAAACAAAACCCAAAATTTGAATAGGATGTCATGTAGGATAAAAGTTGTCCTAATATTATCAGATATTTACATTCTTTGCCATCACACCTCAAATGTCAACGTTTTTTCCCTTCCAAATTTTATGGGTTTCAGTCTTTCATCGTGTTGCATTCTCATACAATATATATGTACCTAAATTATGCAATATGAGTAAATTATAGATAATAGGTAGATTATCCACTATGCCAAAAAAGGCCTTTAGCAACGGATAAAATCCGTTGCCTATTACCCATAAATACCGTGGTATTCAAGCCTGTTGCCTATTACTATGTAATAGGCAACGGATATTATCCATGGCCTTTTTATATTTATAACATCGGATATTTGGTAAAATCCGATGCATAAATTATTTTCGTGTGCCAAAAAAATGTTGACTTCTGATGCCGAAACCTGAAACAGCATCAGTAGTTTCAAAAGGGAGGAGGCTAAAGAGGTATTTGTTGGGGTCTTTTTCGTCCGAAGCCTCATCCAGGTTTTGTTGATTCTTGGATTGCCGTAGAGTAATGAATGAAGACTTCGTTGCCCCGTTGTCTAAGTTAGCGAGAACTAGGCCCAAAGTATCCTGAAGGAGAAGCAAGTCCTGGGGGAGTACTTTGTTCTTCTTCTAGCGACTGCGTGTTTTGTGTTGATGTTTCCGGCAGCTCGACGAAGAGTTGAAGATGACTTGTTGATGTTGATATGAGATTATATGGGTTTGGCATGAGAGCTTGGAGTGTGGGAGCTAAAGACCCACAAGTTTAGCAAATGAGAATGCATGTGCTTGGCTTGGTGTTGGATATATTTGAGTTTGGTGTTGATAATTTGTTGTGTGTGGCTATAGCCATGGGGATTTAAGAGTTTCAAGAGAATGAGGATGGAAGGAAAAACTTGAGGTTTGAAGGCTATGATGTCTAAAGCTTGGAAGGAATGAAAAGCTTGGAGTTATGCTTGGTGAGACTTTATGGAGAAGATAATGGATTCCAAGGGTGAGAAAGTAGAAGACATGGTTGTGATGGCTTAGGAATGACTATGAAGGCTACTGGAATACTTGCAACAACTAAGGAAATGTGAGTTCTCACGGTTGCTGAGAAGCTTGCAGCAACCAAGATGGGTTAATGGTTGCTGGGATGCTTGCAGCAGCCGAGTGAGGAGTGTTGGCTGAAGAAAAATTGGTGCCCTTTGCTTGAGCCATGAATGCCAATTTATAGAGGGTAAGGGTTTTCCTTTATTTCCAATAGGTAAAGGGAGGTGCTGGAACCAGCCTATTTCCAGTGGTTAAAAGGGAGCACGGGGCATACTATTTTCCAGCATGTAAATCTAGGTACTATAAACTGATTATTTCCTATGGGTAAAAGGAAGCACTGGAAACTGCTTGTTTCCAGTGGGTAATAGGAAGTGCTGGAAAAGGCTTGTTTCCAATGGGTAAAGCTAGGTATTTGGAAAATAACTATTTCCTATGGGTAAAAGGAAGTGCTTGAAAAATATCTCATTTGCTCACCCACATTGGAGAACTCTAAGTAATGGGCTTGGACTTTGGTGCTCCCAAGTAGCTAGCCCAAAGTCTCCATTATCCGAGAGCTTCCGTGGGCCTTGTGGACCTCCGTAATCTTCCACACCACAATCCCTCATGCAAGCCCCGTAAACCACATAACTTGGGTCATGTGAGCTTGATAGGTGATCGTCATGGAAAAATGTATTATTAGTTTGGCATGGCATTTACGCTATTTCTATATTTATTTAATGAATTAAATCCTAAAATATAGCTTGGATTAACGCATGACCGACATTATATGTTATATTGGGCTTTAAATGTCTTTGGGCTTCTTGTGACTTTTTTGGGCCTCAACAGATGGTAATACACAAAACTTTTTTTTTTGGTCGAAGTATATACGAAACTATGGTCTAACATGAATCTTGCCAATGTGGGGTTGGTTTTTTATTTTTTTGCCAAAGTTAGATAGGGGGAGGGGGAAAACTCACACACATGGATACTACGGGGATTTGAATCCAGTTGGGAGCACACAAAAGGTCTGGGTCAATCCAACTAACACCCCATTGTTCGATATTGGGTTGGTTTAGTGTCAATGAATCTGGTCATGAGAAGAAGTCACTTAATTATAGATTACCTCTCACAAAACCACAAAAAGTCCAAAAATTTAATTCAATCAAGCTATCAAAATATAAACTGCAAAATTCATCATTATTTACCTCAATTTGTCTTCGCCTAAGGGGAATGAATGGTCTAGGGATTTTATTCAACAGCCGCCATTGGCTCTTAATCATACTGAATGGTTTCGAATGTTTACCTTGGCCATACCTTAGTTCTAGTAATGAATTTATTTTTATGTGAATTTAATTTAGCATTGGGATTTTATTTAATTTACCAATTTATAGCAGCATTGTTTGCAATGTGCTCAAGCTTTCCTTGATGGGTGAAGGCTTTTTTCTCCCTTACCTAGGAAACTTATTCTTGTATGTTCAAATTTCAAAACTTTCTCAGGTGCAACCAAAACTTCCTTGATGGCTCACAGAGATCTTTTTGTTTTTGTTGAAGAAAAATGTGAACCTCCCAACATAAGTTCACCACCACTAATTAATTAATGGGGTTTTATTATTTTATGTTCGACCCATTCGAGACGTAGTGTCTCTTGATTACAATCCCTTACTTCAAGGGAACACCCTTTGATTCAATAATAAAGAAACAGAACGTGTGTATTTGGTTTTGCGGCTACCCTTAAGTCGAACCTCAGGGTGCCTACGTATCTCCTGCAAGAATCAAGCCACTCGTAGTTCAAAGAATCGCAATGAATAAATGACTCATTGCGAGGGAAGTTTGATTTGAATTGTATTGAGAAGTGTTTGAATGAATTTAGTTTAAAAAAAGCTAGGGATTCGATATGGAATTGTGTTTTGGACGGTTGCATCTAAATTGAATCTCTAGATTGCCTATGTAACCTTTCAAAGGGATCAAACCAACGTAGTTCGGATTTATGATTTGGAAATTAGCGGGTAAGTGTGGCCCACTAATTAAGAATTTGTGTCTTTGAGACAATTTTGGAGATTTTAAAATTTTCACAGATAAATAACCCAAAGGAAAAATTGGAAATTAATAGGTAAGTGTGGCCCACTAATTGAGAATTTGTGTTTGAGAGATTTGGATATAATTTCATTGAAATTTGCATGGGTAGATGACCCATGAAAAATTGGATGGTTTTGTACCGCTTTTCTTATTGTCAATGTCCAAGAAAAACAATGAGTAATTTTGATTATCCCATTAATTTTTCTAAAAATTGACAATTGCACTTGGGAAAGTGTATTGGCAAAATTTGATTAAGACAAACCATGAATTTAAATTTGGTTGCGGTTGAGTCTATTGGGATGTTAGACTGCCTACGTACTCTTGAAGGAATCAAACCGACGTAGTTCCAAGAAAATTGTTTAATTTGCGTGGTTTTGTACCACTCGGGTCTTTCATGTGATTTTGTACCACTTGGGGTTTTGGCGTAGTTTTGTACAACTTGAGTCTTCATTGAGAATTAATGGGACTTTTTTTATTTGAGCTCATTAATCCATAACTTGTGAATTTAAGACTTTCTACCAATTGTTCGTCAATTGAATTTTTAAAGGCAATTCCATTAAACTTGAGTCCTGCAATAGAATGATCCCGTTGTACAGGGGAGCTGTAGACCATGGGGTCGTGGATTGTGCCGCGGCTTCTAACCAGTCTTATTGGTCCCAATTAATTTTAAATTGGGGTAATGACTTGCAAGTGGCGTGGAACAAAAACTAAGCCTCTTTGGCTTTCACATCATGGTTCCCCACAGCAACGCATTTTTTTGTCATACGCTTCATGTAATGGAATTCGGACATAATTCAAGTTCCTTGCTTTGCTGCATGTAGAGTTGCAACCCATCTTTCTTTCTTTTTTTTTTTTTTTTTTTTTTTTTTTTTTTTTGTTGTTTGGTGGGTAAGAACCCATCTTTTTTTCATAATCTTGGATTCACTTTGGACATGCAAGTCCGTGAAGTCCAAGACTTCTTTTTTCCTTACTCTGCCGCAAGTCAAAGAGGAAGAAGTCCTCTTCCTTTTGAATTCGCAAGCGGTGGGCACACCGCCACACTTACTCTTCATTTTGTTTTGCTTCTTCAGCATGGCTGATTCTTTTCACGTGGTGGGCTCACCCTCGCAGGCTTTTTCCGTTGATGCGCAAACAGCAAATATTTTTTTTTTTCTACTGCAGATATTGTGAAGCTTTCATTTAAAAGACAATTAACTTGTCTTGTTGTCATTGGAGGACAAAAAGCAGTCGGTAAACTTTATGTTCAATTTTAGGAAACTTCCTTGATGGCTCACAGAGATCTTTTTGTTTTGTTTTGAAAATGGCAGTGATAGATAAAGAAGATGATATCATTAGCTAGGCACTTGAAAGCGAAAGATAAACCGTGTGGGCCACCTGGGAAGAGGAAGAGCTTTTCCACCACACTGCGATTTTCCAAGAAGCTCTCCTTTTCTCTTTATTCCATTATTGCCTTTACTAAAACCTCTTCTCCTCCAATAATCCCATAACAGTATTATAGCATCTTCTTGTCATTGTTTTCACTTTGGGCGGGATGGAAATCAGATAATTAAAGAAAGAAAGCAGAGGATCCGTCTTGGAAAGTTCCTTTCTTTTTCTATGTAAATTCCTCCGTTTTCTCAGTAACCAAACAGAGGTATTTATGTCTCAAAGAAAAGCACTTGCTTATTAGCTCTGAAAATTGAGAGAGCAACAACTGGTTTACTGGTTTGCAAATACTTGTCATGGAGATCAATCTTCTTTTGAGCCATCTTTAACACCTACTAGTGACGGATCCAGAAATTTTACCTCATAGGGTCATAGTATAAAAGTTAGTGAATGTGGTGGCTGGTTTTGACGGTGACCGCAATGGAAGAGATGGGGGGTTAAGGGTTTTGGGGGGAGATTGAGGGGTTTAAGGTTGAGGAGAAATAGAAATGGGGTTTGGAGTAGATGGATTTCGTGATTTTATCCGATAATCCTATTATGTTCCGAATTTATTAGAGGAACAAATCTGAATGTGGCTATATCTGATCCGATAATAATCCGATCTGTTTTGATATAATATAGTATTTATTTAATTTTTGTAATAAAATATATTGATAGATTAATTTGTTTAATTTCTTATATTTTAAATCCAATGTTTTAATAGCCCAATTGATCTTCAAATCCATAAACCCAACTTTACCCCTAAGTCTAAAGCCCAACTTCGCAGCCCGAATAAATAACCCTACCTCTCTTCCACTAAATCCTATCATTCTTCTCTCATTTCAGCCGCCTCCATCTTGAAAAAAAAAGACTTCTCTCTCTCAACGTTCCTCTTCTTCATGGTTCTACCTCTTTCTTCTCTATCTTTTTCTTGACAGAGTTTGAAATGAAAGTGAGAGTGAAGGAACACAAGAAGCGTGCTCTTCTTCTTCTTCCTCAGGTGCGCAGAGCTGCTTCTTCTTCCTCTCAGGCAAACCAGTGAGCAGTTGGAGGTCATTCCCGTGTGGTCGTTCAACAGGCTCAGCTCAGGTGGACCTCCAACCCTATTTCCATGGCTTTCATGGGGTCGTTCGACCCCAGTGACCCCACTGTAGATCCGGTCAGTAGTAATCTTTACAGGCCCTCCTTGAGTTTCAGGGACGAGGTCGTACAACTATAATGTCTACGACGAGCCCATAAAGGTAGTGGTCACTCAAAACTTGATCATAACCATATCCATAGCTAGCCTAACAGTTTTTTGTTGTTGCATATATTTCTTGATTGGTATCTTTAATTTTTAATTGAATTTTTAATTAGCTAGTTTCTTTTCTTTTATAGGCTACTTCAGAATCAGCAGAGTGGATGTTTTTAGCCACTAACCTTGGCCTAGAGATGTTGTCAGCTGCTTGTGATTAGGTTCCTCCCCAAGAAAACCCCACTGTGCACTATTTGGTATTCTGTTGGCTATTGCAGCTGTGCTCATTTCCATCTGGGAGCTAACAGCATACCAAATAGTGCATAGTGGGGTTTTTTTGGTACTCTTCCTGACATTTATGGACTAGTTGCTGGCATCTCAGAGTGCATTTGCTGTATATTTCAGTATGTTTACTGCCTTCGGCATGCTGGTAATCCTTTCAAAGCATCCCTTTTGCCTGCCATATTTCTTCTCTGTTTAGGTGGTTCAAAACTAAGTAATAACCGAAGGAACGCCAATACCACTGATAACAACATCTTGAGAAAGCCTTTGGATAGTAATTCCTCTACCTCTACCTCTACAATTACTAGCACTTCACATTCAAGCCCGCTATTTCAGGCTCAACGGGGTCTTCTTCGATCCAGGTGGAGAGCCCCTCGGATGCGCTGGACTACCACTCTACACGCTCGCTTTGTTCATGCTGTTTACCTTTTGGGTGGCCATGAAAGTGAGAACTAGTCCCTGCTTTCTTCTTTAATTATCCTTTGTTTATACGTTGTCTTCAACAACTTACAGGTAAAAAAAAAGAAAATGAAAAAGAAGAGGACTTGTTATGATTTTTTCTCCTGTTAAATCCTTTTCTTTTTCTGTTAAATTAATAATGTTGTGGGTTTATACATTAGGGGCTACACCAGAGTCAGTTCTTGAGCTTATGGCTGTCAAAATTATTAATGTGTGCAGATTTATCGGACGGTTTTCACCGCCAATAGAGCAGCGGCCTTTTCAGGACAATCTACTTTTTCCAGTTTTTTATTTTGTAATTTATTTGAAAAACAATTTATAAATGAAACATGTGCAATACGACACAACGTTATGACTTTATTGTACAGGACAATATGATGTCCATGAAAATCCTTCTTCTGGGGATGCCACTGAAGACATAATTTTTTATCTTCAGAACCAAAGAAAGTCCGGTGATCAGCTCTCATCAGCGCAGACTGTTCATGTTCAAGATAACAAGGACTCCCTTGGAAAATTCTTCAAGGTAAACACAAATTAAACTGCTCATCTGCTGCTTAATTAATTTGCATATTAAGGGCCCGTTCGGTGGCATTTTCGGAGGCTGTTTTCCATTTTCATTCTCAGAAAATGCTTGTAATTTGCTTTCGGTGGTGAGGAAGTGAAAACGCAGGAAATGTTTTCTAAAAACAGATTCAAAGTTTTATTTATAATTATGAAAACGTCAAAATGATGTTCTCATCATTTTCACACAATATGGATTCAACATCTCCAAAGACAGAGCACTACCACCACTGCCAGCACAACCACCACCATTAAACCCAATCACTCGACCATAACCACCACTACAGTCCAGCCACCAGCCACTCGAACCCAATCGACTCCCATCCTTTTTCGTTGCACTCTATTTAGTTAAACCATTACATATGATTTAATTTTATATTTATTTAAAATATAGATTATAAGAATACATAAGATTTTTTAATTTTAATTTTAATTTTATTTCTTTTACATTAGAATTTTATTTTATTTTTTAAAATTATGTGTGTGTATATATATATATATATATATTCTAGATGAGAAATTAATAAAAATGCCTTTTTAATATTGATTACATGATGCAACATTCTTTATTTCTCTTATCCTCAAATTGTACAACCAAACACATTTTCACTGTTTTTGTTTTCTAAAATTGTTTCAAATTAACTTACCAGATTCGTTGTCGAATCTTGAAAATGCTTGTTTTCATTTTATGAAAATATTCTCTGAAATATTTTCTTGAAAATGCAAATTCGTTTTCTCGTTTTCTTGAAAACGTTACCAAACGAACCCTAAATCTTTTCGCAGCTTTTTAGTCTTAGATAATACATTCGGAAGACTTCTTCTTCTTTATTTATTCATTTATTTAGTTTTGGAAGGAGACAAGATGGAAATTTTAAGAAATAATTAAGGGGGATTTTAATGGATATCATGACAGGACCCGACTCGAATTCTCTCTTGGAACTCGTGTCGAATTTTGTTACATATTCTGGCACCTGAACGATGCCGGACCCACTACTAGCTTTACACCTCTTACCCAAACTTTAAGAAAAATGGGTCGAGATTTCTATTGAAATTTCGGCAGTCTCCCTCGTAAAATGGACTTTTCCCAAATTTACACCTACAAATAACGACAATCTAATAATCCCAACTAGCAGCATGCACAAGATAACGCGCACACAAATTTCACGTGGCTTCCGGCCTCAAATTCAGTCCTAAGTGGACAATATCAGAGCAATTACTGGAGTTAGAAAGGGGGAGGGAGAACTCACACACACGGGTACCACGGGGGTTTGAACCTAGGACCACTTGGGAGGACACAAAAGGTCTGGGCCAATCTAACTAACACCCCATTAGTCGATGTTGGGTTGGTTTAGTGTCAATGAATCTTGTCATGAGAAGAAGTCACTTAATTATAGATTGCCTCGCACAAAACCAAAAAAGTCCAAAAATTTAATTCAATCAAGCTATCAAAATATAAACTGCAAAATTCATCATTATTTACCTCAATTTGTCTTTGCCTAAAATGAGAATGAATGGTCTAGGGATTTTCTTCAAGAGCCGCCATTGGCTCTTCTTACTCATACTGAATGGTTTAGAGTGTTTACCTTGGCCATACCTTAATTCTAGTAATGAATTTATTCTTATGTGAATTTAGCGTTGGGATTTTATTTAATTTACCAATTTATAGCAGCATTGTTTGCAATGTGCTCAAGCTTTCCTTGATGGGTGAAGGCTTTTTTCTCCCTTACCTAGGAAACTTGCTTTTGTGTGTTCAAATTTCAAAAATTTCTCGGGTGCAACCAAACCATGCATCTTGTAAACTTTATGTTCAATTTTAGGAAACTTCCTTGATGGCTCACAGAGATCTTTTTGTTTTGTTTTGAAAATGGCAGTGACAGATAAAGAAGATGATATCATTAGCTAGGCACCTGAAAGTGAAAGATAAACCGTGTGGGCCACCTGGGAAGAGCTTGTCCACCACACTGCGATTTTCCAAGAAGCTCTCCTTTTCTCTTTATTCCATTATTGCCTTTACTAAAACCTCTTCTCCACTAATCCCATAACACTATAGCATCTTCTTCTCATTGTTTTCAGTTTGGGCAGGATGGAAATCAGATAATTAAAGAAAGAAAGCAGAGGATCCGTCTTGGAAAGTTCCTTTCTTTTTCTTTGTAAATTGCTCCGTTTTCTCAGTAACCAAACAGAGGTATTTATGTCTCAAAGGAAAGCATTTGCTTATTAGCTGTGGAAATTGAGAGAGCAACAACTGGTTTCCCGGTTTGCAAATACTCGTCATGGAGATCAATCTTCTACTGAGCCATCTTTAACACCTAGTAGTAATCTTTACCGGCCCTCCTTGAGTTTCAGGGATGACGAGCCCATAAAGGTAGTGGTCACTCAAAACTTGATCATAACCATATCCGTAGCTAGCCAGCCAAGCTAGCCTAACAGTTTTTGTTGTTGCATATATTTCTTGATTGGTATCTTTAATTTGTAATTGAATTTTTAATTAGCTAGTTTCTTTTCGTCTATAGGCTACTTCAGAATCAGCAGAGTGGATATTTTTAGCCACTAACCTTGGCCTAGAGATGTTGTCAGCTGCTTGTGATCAGGTTCCTCCCCAAGCCCACTATGCACTATTTGGAATGCTGTTGGCAGCAGCTGTGATAATTTCCATCTGGGAGCTAACAGCATACCAAATAGTGCATAGTGGGGATGGGGAATGCTCCGGCGGTTTTATCATCCACCTCCTCGTAATAAGCTTTTTGGTACTCTTCCTGACATTTATGGACTAGTTGCTGGCATCTCACAGTGCATTTGCTGTATAGTTCAGTATGTTTACTGCCTTCGGCATGCTGATAATCCTTTCAAAGCATCCCTTTTGCCTGCCATATTTCTTCTCTGTTTAGGTGGTTCAAAACTAAGTAATAACCGAAGGAACGTCAACACCACTGATAACAACATTATGAGAAAGCCTTTGGATAGTAATTCCTCTACCTCTCCCTCTACAATTACTAGCATTTCAAGTTCAAGCCCGCTATTTCAGGCTCAACGGGGTCTTCTTCGATCCAGGTGGAGAGCCCCTCAGATGTGCTGGACTACCACTCTACATGCTCGCTTTGTTCATGCTGTTTACCTTTTGGGTGGCCATGAAAGTGAGTACTAGTCCCTGCTTTCTTCTTTAATTATCCTTTGTGTTTTTTTTTGGTCAAATTAAATTAATGTATTCTTTGTTTATACGTTGTCTTCAACAACTTAAGGTAAAAACAAAAACAAAAAGAAAAATAATTTTTTTCTCCTGTTAAATCCTTTTCTTTTTCTGTTAAATTAATAATGTTGTGGGTTTATACGTTAGGGGCTACACCAGAGTCAGTTCTTGGGCTTATGGATGTCAAAGATCTCACCTTGGAACTTGTCAGATCTCATTTACAGGTGAGATCTGACACCATGTCTTTAATTAAATGTGTGTTCTTCTTGTACCTTTGACTATATGGATTATAGCTATCTTGCATGTTTGGCTTTTCTTCTAGCTCCCATCTTTCCTTTTCATCTTAATGTGGCTGTTGAAGTTGAGACACTAATATTACGTACTAAAGAAAGCTCAAGTAAAGATGCAGTGTACGAAATTTGCAATTTCTGGGGTCTTACTGAAATTCTCCCTAGAATATTAGTATAGTACAAAAATTCGATAATTTCGCCGATATTTCGGCGAAATTATCATTTTTTTGGGGGAGCGAAATTTTAGCACAATTTCAGGTATATATCGTCAATTTATCGATATTTTCCTTGATAATTTCGCCGATATTTCGGGTAAGATAATTTCGTTCGATTCTCAGCTTTAAATGGTCATAATATCGCGACTTGAGCATAGCACGGGTGAATCGCCTCGTTGAGAAAGCCGCAGCGCTCTCGGCATGAAGCCACGGCAGGAAGATCGTCAAGCTTGGAGCTTGTGCAGCCCATCAGGCTCGAAAAAGAAGACAACTTTAAGAGTGTATGGGGAAAGAGATGTGTTGGGTTAAGCGAGATCAGCTGAAACATGACGGTGGGATTGGGATTCTCTGATAGTTGTTGGGTTTGCCTGTTTGTTTCTCGGGAAAATTTCAGAGCTTAGGGTTTGTGCGGAGGAAGATAAGAGCAAAAGGAAAAGGAAAAAAGGAGGACAAAGGAGGGGAGAAGGGAATCTTTGCCAGCGCGGAGTTTGTCGTCGGCTTGTAGCAGAGAGACAGAAAGCAAAGAGAGAGAGAGGGTGAACAGTGTGTTTGTGTTTATGTGAGAGAGAGTGAGAGGCTATGTATGGTGGCATTGTGCGTCGGTGTGTATCAGTTTAAGAACTATTATTTTGTATTTTTATATATTTTATGGGTGTACTTTTTAGGCAACTTGTAGTTTAAATTTTTTAATTTGGGTAAAAACCAGATTAGTTGAAGATTGAGACGAGGGTTTCCTAAAGTTTCAGATGGTTTATGGTTGGTTAGAGAAGCACATAATTGGAAATTCCCAGTTCTAATTTGCAGCCACTTCACCACCACGATGCTCATAATTTTGTGATTATAAACTATGAAATTTAGTATATATAATATTTGCGAGTTGCTTTTCAAGTTTCAACTTTTTTCATTAATTACTACATATTTTCTATATTCACGGTGTTTGTTAGCTTGCTATATAATCAACTTAAATTAGTTAAATCCATAATACAATGCATTTCCTTCCAAATTTTTTGTGATAAACTAATAGATAATTAACTAAATACGCATCTTCCAAAGTTTCAATAAAAATTTACAAGTTTTATTTACAATTTTCGTGGTTTTTATTCAATTTTTATCAATATTGATAATATCCCGATATTTCCATCGAAATTACCGTGTTTTTGGACTACCGATATTTCCGATATCACCGATATTTTAGACCTTGAATATTACACATCATTCATATAAAATATTTGAGCTATTTAGTTATAGACTAATTCTTAGCACGAGTGATATAGATAAATCCTTTATCATTTAATTTTTATAAACAAACTCAAAAAATGATAGATGACCCTATTGAATTTAATTTTGATTATTAAATTACTTTGATGCCCTCTTGAGTATTTTGGGGTTAATCTTGTTTTAAAAAATCGATGACAGAGTTGTAATTTATAGGAAGTTCGAAGCCAGTTATGTTGTAAATGAGTTTTGGGTGTGTTCCTAAAATTCATTTCATGTAGTTTTTTCATTTATAATTTAGACCCACATATTGAGTATAATAGTGAATCTCCCTAAATTTTTCTGTATGTACTTGCACTGTATTTCAGACATGCCTAGAAACCAAAAAAATTGTAAATTTTTTGTAATCTCTCCTCTCTCACTCTAATTTTTTTTTTAATGAACTGGGGGAGGGGGGTGTAAACCCCAAGAAAAAACTGGTCAAATTATTATTGTAATGCCAATGCTCTATTATCCATTCTAATATGCATCAAAATTATTGATGTGTGCAGATTTATCGGACGGTTTTCATGGCCAATAGAGCAGCGGCCTTTTCAGGACAATCTACTTTTTCCAGTTTTTTATTTTTTAATTTATTTGAAAAACAATTTATAAACAAAACATGAGCAATACGACAGTGTTATGACTTTATTGTACAGGACAATCTGATGTCCATGAAAATCCTTCATCTTGGGATGCCACTGAAGACATAATTTTTGATCTTCAAAACCCAAGAAAGTCTGGTGATCAGCTCTCATCAGCGCAGACTATTCATGATCAAGGTAACAAGGACTCCTTGGGAAAATTCTTGAAGGTCAACACGAATTAAACTGCTCATTTGCTGCTTAATTAATTTGTATATTAAATCTTTTTGCAGCTTTTTAGTCTTAGATATTCGGAAGGCTTCTTCTTTATTTATTTAGTTTTCTTACGAAACGAGATGGAAATGTGAAGAAATAATTAAGTGGGATTTTAATGGATATCATGACAGGACTTGACTCTAATTCTCTCTTGGAACTCGTGTCGTATCTTGTTGCATATTATTGCACATGAACGATGCCGGATCCACAACTAACTTTACACCTCTCACCCAAACTTTGAGAAAAATGAGTAGAGACTACCGAAATTTCGGCAGTCTCTCTTGTAAAATGGACTTTTCCCAAATTAACACATGCAAATAACAACAATCTAATAATCCCAACTGACGGCATACACAAGATAACGCGCACACAAATTTCACATGGCCTTCGGCCTCAAATTCAGTCCTAAGTGGGAAATATCATAGAAACTACTGGAGTTAAATTTACAAAATTAGTTTCCAAAAAAACAACGAAAAGGGAAAATGAAGTTTCCTACTAGGTAGAACCATAGTATGAAATATCGATATTTCGGTTTTTTTGAATAACGGATATTTCGAAACATATCAATGTACATATCGTATAAATGTCGACAATATCGACGATAATATAGGAAAATATCGATGTCGATAATTTCGGTTACACTTAAGCAATATTTTGTCAAAATATTGGTGTAATATCGCTAAAATATCGAAAATATTGATGAAAAAAAAAAAAAAAAAAAAAAGAAGAAAGAAAAAAAAAAGGAAAAAAAAAAACACAAAGGGGATTGAACCCCTCTCATTTTATTGCTCCAACACCTTAACCACCATATATCACTTATGTTTTAGTGATAATATGCTAAAATATTTATATTTATATGGATGGCATGTTAACAATTACATGCAAAACTATTTTGGGGATTTATCATTTGATGAATACTCTTCACAATACACTTACTATACACATAGAGATGATGAAGAGAATGAAAAATTTGAACCTCATAGGAACTTTATGTGATACTAAGTCACTTATGTATCTTACAATATAATGTATAAAGTGTAAAATATTGTAGTAAATCATTATATATAAATGATTATGGTGTGTTTAATCTTTTTTTCATTAATTACTACATATTTTCTACACTCACAGTGTTTATCAGCTCGCTGTATAATTAACTTAAATTAGTTCAATCCATTATGTACTGCATTTCCTTCTAATTTTTATTTTATTTTATAAACTAATAGATAATTGACTAAATAAACATTATCCAAAGTTTCAATAAAAAATTTCAAGTTTTTCTTACAATTTTCGTGGTTTTTATTCATTTTTTATTGATATCGATAATAACCCGATATTTCCATCAAAATTTCCATGTTTTTGGACTACCGATATTTCCGATATTATCGATATTTTAGACCATGGGTAGAACTGCGAGGACTTCATCGACGCCAGAGAAGCTTACGTGGTTGTCCGAACTCTGAGATATCTACTTCCTAGGGGTGCAAAACAGTAAAAGTCTGAGTGGACAAAAAGAAAGTTTTTCTTGAAACTAATTATACAGAACATACTAACCCCTCTATTTTCTCAAACCTTTGAAAACTTTCTAAAACACAAGCAAATTTACATACATGAACAAAATATAATAAATACACATGTAGGTAAAACAATCTGGTATTTCAAACAACATTTAAATCCAAAATATCTAACTCAAAAATATAATTCAACAAAAATCAAGTTTCAAACCATTCTTTGAATTCAATAAATCAAGCAAGCACAAAATACAATTCATCAGAAATCTAGTCTCAAACTAATTCATACAAAAACTCTCAAACCAAGTATACCTATGGGGAAAACTAGCCAACTCTGTGTAGTATATCAGCAGGGTGGCAGGGGAAAATCCTGGGGAACATCACTGGCCGGACACTCATATTTGTGATACGAGTACAGGCAAGACATTAAGGGCAACCGGGGAATGGGTTTAGGCAAGACGTTGAGGCCAACCCTAAACCCTGAACTGGTTAACTACATGTGTAGACAATCGGGCAGGTGGCAGGGGAAAATCCTAGCCGGACACCCACATAAGCAGGTATAGGCAATTCACTGGCCAAACACCTACAGAATAACCTTACTACAGGTACATGCAAACCACTGGCTGGACACATGCATAGTCAACACAGGTACAAGAGATATACTCTTGCCAGACACCTACAGAGTAGTCTCTAGCTGTTCTTCAACATTGGTCCAAAACAATCCAGCTTGACCACCAATTTTATCTTAGCAAATCTCACCTTTCAAGCTTCAGACATGTCATGCCACTCAAAATAGCGATCCATGTAAGCTAACAAGTCGATGAGTTTTTTAGGATTTATCTCACCATCAAAATAAGAAGCGTCAACTTTCACTAATCTCATCACCCTTTCATCAAGGTCTTGCTCATCGCAATAATGAAAATTGTGTCTCTCCGAGTCTCGATCATTCCTTCTATCATGATGTCTCTCACCGTCTTGATCATTCCTTCTATCATGATGTTGTCAATCATGATTCCTCTCTTCTCCATTCACACTGCTTCGTCATGTTGATTAGCTGCTTCTAAGTCTGCAAGGCGACGTTCCATGAGTCTGAGTCTGACAGGACCCGCCCCGAATTCCTCGGAATCCATGACAAACCCTGTGGCTTTTCCGACATCAAATCGATGCTGGGCCCACTTACTAACAACATCCTCTTCTCCAAAAACAAAGGAAAAGAGGTCGAGACTTTCTACTGAAATTTCAGCAGAGTCTCCCCTGAAAAACAAACTTTTCCCAAAATTTCAACCTGTCAAAACACTGTAATAATAAAATTCTCAACCAGCAACACACACAATACAAAGGCACACAGTTTACAATATAGGCCTCCGGCCTTACATCGAACCCTACATGGGCAATAACAGAGCAATTCTAAGGAATTTCAGTTTACAACCAAAAACAAATGTTCAACAGAAATAAAAACAATTAGAAATTGCCCTACAGAAGTTCAGGCAACAGAAATACGAATCTTGGCTTGGTTGCTCTGCTCAGATCAAGCTATTGCCTGGAGGGCGCAAACCAAAGAATTGTGAGTGGACAAAAATAAAGTTTTATCATAATTGAAAACAACATACTAACCCCACCATTTGGAAAACGATGCTAAAAACATGCAATTGAAACCATTCATACGTAATCAATTTAGAACTGAGGTACTCCCATAATACCGATTTAGTATAATACTACCCAAGTTCAATTCTATTGACTCTAACCAAACCCCTTCCCTAGATATAGGCTTACAAGACGTAATATGTAAAGAAAGCTTTTAAAGTAATTAAGCGTATACATATATATATATAAATCTAATATATGTACAAATATATACCCCAAAGTTCATAAGTACAAATATAATACCTATATACGACAACCTCACACCATCACAAGTACCAAGGGAGAACAATCCAACACAAGGATCATTTGACTAGCCCGCAAGGTTTCAACTTTCTACCCTGCGTCTAGAGATAAGTTGTCCAACCGAGGGACTACCACTCAACAAAACACACGTAGGAAATCCAACGCCATGTGCAGCCAAATCAAACCATGTTTTACGCGGACAGACCACCCTTCAGGGCTTACGGCACACCCGACTAAAGGTGTCTAGATCTTTATCACACGCCTGAAAATCCAACACCATGTGTGATAAAGTACTAACAACCAAATGATCCCACAATCCGAAAAATCCAGCGCCACGTTCGGGTAAAGTAACCAGGGGAGGGTACATATCATGGTACAAATATGAAACTCATAATGTAAATAACTTCTCAAAAGCATATAAACCATACCCGAAATAATCATAAACTTCAAATATAAAAAATAACAGCTAATTTCATAATTAAAACAATATATAAACTCCATAGTCCACTCACAGATAATCCCATGCAGCTTGATCCTAAGAGGGTCCTGCTTGTTGAGCTCATGGGGCTTGAGTACCTATTTTGAAGAACATGATGACCAAGTTCATAAGACGCCTTGAACGAGCACTTTAAAACAAACTCTTAACTTTCCTGGGACTCAAAGTGTGTGTACGATTGACGCGGAGTTTCTAAGGTCCAACTACATTTTTTTAAAAGTGGAATAATCTCGGAAGACTCCCGATCAATCGAGTAGTCAAACCTTCCAAATTTGGTCAATCGGGCCCGCGGGGCCATAACCTCCGATTTCCTATATGAAAGTTCTTACGGGTTCAACAAAGTCCGCTAAACACGTTCTGCAAGTTTGGTCTTGATCGAGCAGTCGGATTGCTCTCAATCGCACAATCAGACGATCAATAGTTTACCTAACTTTAGAATCATTGAATCGGAGTATCCGGGACTCCGTTTCTCGATCCGTGAGTTCCTACACGATCCTAGAGGTATAAAGAACATCATACTTGGAATTGGAGCATACTGTCACCTAATAGGCATAAATCCACTCGACTGTCATACGATAACCAAATTCAAATTCGAGCATACTGTCACGATCGGGACTACATGGGGATCAAAACAGAACACAATCGGCCACCACCCCATGGCCCATGCGGCTCCACAACCCTCGGCAGTGCGTGGGTGGCTTGAGAAATTTTCGACAACGAAAATTTCTCAAATCACCCAACAATACCTATACATTCAGACTAACAAGGGGAGCATTTTTGGTTCTTGGACCAAAAAGTGGCCGGAGTTAGTCGGATCAAAGGCGGAACTGTATGGGTTTGACAGGAACTTCCCGACCTTGAAACGGCAGCGGTAGCCCCTAACGATGTCGCGCAACCTAGGCGAAAGCATGGGGAAGGAGAGAGCTACTTGATCCAAGCGGTGGCGTGACCTGAGGTGGCCGGAAAAGTCACCGACGTTGATGGCAGTTTCTATTGTTTCTGCCAGTTGACACAGTTGCCAAACACTAGGTTTTTTTATTGTAGAAAAGGCGTGGGCTGGGTAGAAGAGAGAGATGATGATTTTGGACGTTGTTTCGTCGGAAACGGTGGCCGGTCGGGGGAGGAGAGGGAAATGATAGAGAGAAATGCGTGGGGAAGCGAAAACAGATCAAGTTTTTAAAATTCCAACTTTGAAAAAATTACGATTGTGCCACTGCGCTTTCGTTAACCACAATTTCTTCGTTAAAACTCCGATTTGGGCTCACTACATGTCTATGAACTCGTATCGATAAGCTCTACACTGTCACTCAAATCCAAAAAATATACGGATCGAAAAGTAATTAACGTGACCCTACCCCAAGGGCAAAATTGTAATTTCACAATTAAATAAATTGAATAAACAATTAATTTAGGTCGGGGGCGTTACAGAGTCAGTTTTCGGATCTAGTGTTTGAATTTGCCATTTGCTTTGATAGGTTTTCCATCATTTGAACAAGACGTTCAATGTCCCTCTCTGGCTCGTCTGTCTTTCCAGGTTTAGTTAGAGCCATCACTTGACACACAACGTGAAGAAGAAACAACTCTAAAATTTTGAACCCAAGGAAAACGAAAACTAGGTTTTGATGCCAAATTTGATGTAGGATATGGGTGAATTGAGTATTTGGGTAATTTAGTGAAAGTGAAAACAATGAAAAAACAAAAAATAGATGGTAAAAGACGCCTTGGCTTCACACCAAGGAACCAATCTAAATAAAATAGGAAACTTAAATCAAATCCTGCTAAAACTTGAAATCTAAAAAACTTAATGAAATCTGAAAAATCTAGAAATCCTAGTGAAATATAGAATCTAGAAAAATTAATTTTCCTATTAAAATCTGGAAATTAAGATTTCACCCAAACCATAACGATAATGTTGGATTGACTGATCGATTCTTCTTTCTTTGATAAAAGGTTTGTCATAGATGTCCTCACGAGAAAGCACCAGACAACCAAATATTCCTTCACATGCCAATTCGACCTTAATGCATTAAATAATGTCAATAAAAGCCGTGACAATTTCCACGGTTGCCGACAAGCATACCTTACGAATATTTAATCAATGCAACGAACAAGAAGGTGGCTGCCACCAATTAAGCCATCCATAAAGCTGATTGATATTGTCAATCACAACAGCAGATAGAGAAGAATTATTGCTGCCAATCAAACACCATTTACATCTTTTCACTCCTGTAGCGATGGATTTCCAACAAATTTGACGAACTGAAAACATGTTTCTCACTCTCAAATGGGAAATAAATATAGTTTGGAGGTTTACATTATTTACAATGTGAATAACATACTCATGAGTAATTTTAACATACTCATGAGTAATTTACCTAGTGAATTTGACATAACTATCCAAGGATCTACCAAAAGATAATTGTAGGCAGCACAGAATCAAATGACGTAATTTACCTGCCCTAACAATGATACCCAACAGCATAGAAAGCCAGATTCGCAAAAAAAAACGTGAATTGGACATAACTATAATCCAAGAATATACTAAAAAAAGGGTTGTAGGTAAATTACTGGTATGAAGCGTTTTATCATTAGTCTGAAGCATTTACATCAAAAACAACATATTAGGCGTAATTTTTTGTTCAGGCATGAAAATACAATTGGTTTGAAATATGCCTGACTAGCTTCAGCATTTGATTAGCCATACTCCTAAATTGGTGCTAAGCATCAAATGACTACGCATGGAAAAAAAGAAAAAAGCATCAAGTAACGCCTTTAGTAGTAACACATATAAAAGAATGATACCCAACATCACATAATTGAAGCTACCTACCCCACAAGCATGACCCCGTCATGTACTCACACTACTACATTTTAGTCTTTGCGCAACGAAGGGGTCTTCGTCGCGCAAAAATGATTTTAGTCGCACATAATTATGTGCGACAGAAGTTTCGTCGCGCACAGTCCGTCGCGCAAAGTTCGTGAAGAAAGGATTTGCGCGACGAATAAATGTCATTCGTCGCGCTGTTTGCGCTACGTATAACAACTTCGTTTAAAAAAACATTTCGGGATGACCTCAATGTCCGTCGCACAAATATTTGCGCGACGAAATAGTGGTCGTCGCAAAAAAAACTGCGCGACGGACTCTTCCGTCGCGCGAGCTACATGAACTTTGCGCGACGAAATCGTATTCGTCGCGCATACACATTTTGCGCAACGAAATTATTCGTCGCGCATGATTAAAATATATTTGTCGATTTGTTATTTAAATGTTTTTGCGCGACGATTTACTTTCGTCGCGCAAAAGCAATATATATTATTAAAAAAATATATTATTATTTGATTTTTAATTTTGTAAAAAAATAAATTTGGTTTTTTTTTATAATTAAAATGAAATTACAATAAAAAGATTAATCGTAAAGAAAACATCTATTATATAAAATAAAAGAAATGTATACAAATTGTAAAAGTAATTATAAAAATAAAAAACTAATCAAATAATGTTCCAAAATCTACTTGGTCATCTGCCACATGCGGCTCGGAGGTATGGGCGTCTGCAGGGGCCGTGGTGTGCTGGGGATGCTCGGGGTGGACGGGCTCGGAGGTCGACGCACCAAAATTCGGGATTGGAATGCCGGACCGCGCGAGGGACTGCAGAATCACCGACATCTGACCCTCAAGCTCGGCAACCCGCGATGTCAAAACAGTCACCTGACTGTTTGCCTGCGACGATGACCGCGGTCGAGGTTCCCTCTGTCGGGCATTCCCCATCCCCCTACAATACGTTCCCGGCCTCCTCCCGAGAGTCTGATCCAACGTCTGCGTCAAAATCTGAAATCCAGCATTATGCGGAGGATCCACAGACTCGATCGGAGTCTCGGGAGGAAGTTGGGAGGCGGACTCTTAAAGAACCAACTGGCTCCTCTCCACCATCGTCGTCTGTTTAACATTACATAAAATATAAATTCAAAAATGCATATAAATTGAAAGTGTAACATAAGAATTAAAAATACATAATACTTACATGAAGGGACTCGGCCAACTCATTCCCAGGTCAAACATAAACGTCACCAAAGACGTCGATCTTTGGGAATTTCGACCCCCCCTTAATTGAACAAGAGAAGGAAAATATTAGTATGAACAAAAGAAATTAATAATAATGACGTATTAAAAATTAAATATAAATTATATTATTCTTACCCGACGCTGTGCATCCATCCTATATGAGAAGGGCCTGGAGCCGGAATGGTGAAGAAGAGTCTTCTTCTTCCTATTGCCCTTATTCACTTGGGCTTTATTCTGTTATACAAAAAATAAAACGTAATAATTGAACTATAAATAAATTAAATAATAATGAGATATAAAAAATAAAATAAACATTAAACAAATAATAATATATAAAAAAATACCACATAATTGGGCGCCTGAAAATGAGCGCAGAGCCACGCCCAACTATCCTCCCGCCCCTCAAGCTCCTTCGGGCAACCCTCCTGAAGAGCGACTTGCGGATCATCAAACGCTTGAAAATGGTGGTGCAAGTCGCTCTTCCACTGCTTGTACCTCTCACCGAAGAGTCTGTTGACGTACGCCAAGGTCTCCTCGTTGATGTCCTCTAAGTCGTAGTTCGTCTGCAATAAATTGATTACATACATTAAGTAATAGAAATATATAAAGTTTGAAAGAAAAATAATTAAAAGATAGGAAACATACCGACAACTGGCCGCGAACTTGCATCTTGATCTCGTCAGGCATGACCTTCCAAGACTTCCATTGCATCGGGCAATGGGTCCGAACGACGTGGCCAATGTCGTGGGCCAAGGAGCTATGCAAGTCCGCCGTCGGTGCAGCCCGATGGCGCTCGTCATATCCGATGCTGATACGACTGTTGGTCACCCGGGTGACCTTCGCCGTCTTCAGCTGCCGACACGGCCCTCGGGTGTTCCTCTTGGCTGCAAAGGGATATGACAATATTGTTACATATACAATCAAATTGAACCATAAAATTCCCAATTAAAAAAATGTTAAAAACAAAAAAATGAAAGTGGAAGGGTATTACCTGGAGGTGCCCCCGAGGCACCAATACAGTCAGTCGATGTGGTGTCGGTGGTGGTAGCGGGCCGGTGTCGCCGCCTAGTGCTAAGAGGCTGCACCACCGAAGAAGATGATGATGCAGCCGCCTGGGATCCCCAGGACCAGCTAGCACGTGGTCCTGCTCCATCAGTGCTGGAGCAGTGGCAGCTGATACCGGCTGAGCCGGGGGCTCCGAACTCGGTGTAGCCGTCACTGCCCTACGACGTCTAATCAAGTCTGACATCTGCACAATTTCATTAATCCAATGTAGCACATACAATGTCATTAAAAAATTGAACTAACTAATTAAAATCATAGTTTGACCTAGGGTTTGCGATTTCGGAGTATCCGGGACTCCGATCCACGATCCGTCGAATCCTAAACGATCCTATAAATACATGGTACCACATACGTGAGTTTCAGCTCGATCCAACGGTCCGAACATATCAAACCCTAAAATCGCACAATAGGTTCGAACCGTTCGAGACTCAAACGATAACCAAATTCCAATCCGAGCACACCTACGCGCTCGTAACAACGAAATGTTTGCACTGGGACAAAATGCCCTATGCCACAGTACCCCACGCGCCACCACACGCGCCGGCAGCGCGTGGGTGCCCTAAGCGATAACAATCACCGGGAAATCCTAAAAATTAAGGGCCAAGGTTCCTACCCTAGGTTGAAAACATCAATTGGAGGCACTTTTGTTCTCGGACCTACCCCGAAAAACGGACGGAAGTGGCCGGAATTTCAATTTCAAAACCGGCCGAAACCTAGGGTTTCAAATTCACTACCCTATGCACACAATCAATCAAATCCTACACAACCATCAGCTAGAGCATGAAAAATAGCCCAGAAAGCATACCTCAATTGCCGGATTTGGTGCCCGGAGGAGAGAGAACAACGGCGGCGAAGATTCGGCCTAAACGGATGAAATCACGGCGGCAGGATGGACGGCGACGGCAGAGAAGCTCCTGGGTTCGACGGTGGTGGCGGCAGGGTCTGAATTGGGGCAGAGTAGGGGCTGAGGTCACGGCGGAGAGAAAGGGAGGTTTAGGGTTCCGTTTGAGAAATTGGGGAAGAAGGAGAAGATCGCGATTTTCAGAAAACTTATTGGACTTTGCGCGACGAATATATAAATCCGTCGCGCAAAATTCATTAAAATAACTTTTGCGCAACGCAAAAATAAACTTTTCGTCGCGCAATATTATAAAAATATGACCTTTGCGCAACTTAAAAACATGATTTCATCGCGCAAAGTTGTGAAAAGATATACTTTGCGCGACGAAAGAACTAGTGTCGTCGTGCAAATTTGTCTAGCCGCCCAAATTTTAGGATTTGATTTTGCGCGGGGAAGATAAATGCAATGAGATTGAGCGACGAATATACGAAAGTTCGTCGCGCAATGTAGCTTTTGCCAAACAAAATTTCACCAAGTGTTGGACAGAGAAGGGCTGCAATTGTTAATTTTGCGCGACGAAGAGACTTATGTTCGTCGCGCAATCTGGCTTTTGCCAAAAAAATTTAACCAAGTGTTGGAGCGGAGAAGGGCAGCGAATTTTTTTAATGATTTTGCGCGACGAAGGGACTTATGTTCGTCGCGCAATCTGGCTTTTGCAAAAAAAAATTTCACCAAGTGTTGGAGCGGAGAAGGGCAGCGATTTTTTTGAATGATTTTGCGCGACGAAGGGACTTATGTTCGTCGCGCAATCTGGCTTTTGCCAAGAAAAATTTAACCAAGTGTTGGAGCGGAGAAGGGCAGCGAATTTTTTGAATGATTTTGCGCGACGAAGGGACTTATGTTCGTCGCGCAATCTGGCTTTTGCCAAGAAAAATTTAACCAAGTGTTGGAGCGGAGAAGGGCAGCGAATTTTTTTAATGATTTTGCGCGACGAAGGGACTTATGTTCGTCGCGCAATCTGGCTTTTGCCAAAAAAAATTTCACTATCTGTTGGAGCGGAGAAGGGCAGCGAATTTTGTTCAGGGTTTTGCGCGACGAAGGTACTTATGTTCGTCGCTGATGTTTTGCGCGACGAGTAAGAGTTGATTTCGTCGCGCAAAACCATACCCTTGTACCATAAACCCTAAAACCTGTACCCTAAGCCCTAAACCCGAACTCCTGAACTAGTTTCAATGATCCAACCGGCAATCTTCTTTTTTCTTAGTTCAAGATCGTATACGTCAAAAATCATAATGAATGAACATTCAGAGAATGAGTAACGGGACAAAACTTTTCGACGGTTCTAAACAAATTGTCCCGATTCAACGGTGATTTTAACTCCGATCTTGAAATTTTTTTACAGCTGCGGTTCTTGACCCTATATGAATACAGAGATGTAATTCGATCTTCAATTTCAGATATTTACAGTACAGGACATCACATAATCTTATGTTAGATTGAATGAATGTATAAAGAAATTATTCATTTTTATGAATATTGTGTTTTTATGGAATACGCATTCTAGGAAACTAGTTTCAGTAATCTAGCCGTCAAATATGTTTGTTTATACTTCGAGATCGTATACGTCGAAAATGAGAAAAAAAAACATTCAGAGATCAAGTAACGGGACAAAACGTTTCGACGGTTATAAACGAAAAGTCATGATTTAACGGTTATTTTGACTCTGATTTTGATGATTTTTTACAGCTATACTGTTTAACCCTATGTGAATACAGTGAACTACTTCGATCGTCAATTTCAACTATATACGTGTGTATATATCAGAAATATATATGTGTATATGTTTGCGCGACGAGGTCTGTTTTTCGTCGCGCAAAAGGCACTTGCGCGACGAAATTATTTGTCGCGCAAATAATAGAGTATGCGCGACGTGTACATTGTCCGTCGCGCAAAATTTGCGCGACAATTATGCCTTCGTCGCCAAGGTTATTTTCATTCACATATTATTAATCTAAATTATTCATCATTACATATAATTAATTGTATGAGAAAGGAAGGATTGTTGATAATCTTATGTTCTTTGTATTCATTTTTTCGGTTATATGGTTTTCATTTTTTAAAAGTTTTTTGTCAAAATAAATTTAAACTTTATGATACAAATTACTTGGATATATTTATTTACCAATGGTTTATAACTACATTTATTTTAATAATGTTTCATTTCTGCACATATATAATGTTTAGATATAACAAGTACATATATGAAAACATTTGCATTACACAAAATATGTCCACTAACATAATAAAATTACAAAAAAAATTAATCATTCATCATCTGAACTATAATAACTTTCGTTATCGTTGCTATCATCACTTTCGGTCTCCCAATCCTCTTCCTCCTCCTCCTCCTCCGCCTCCTCTATAACTACATCATCGTCGTTGCTCGGGCCAACTGCAACATCATATCGCGGAAGATCACCGAGGTCAATTGTAATTGACTGAATCGGTATTTCGATTGAAGACACTCCTTGTATTTGAAATGGCTCTTGTATAACATTAGTATCTCGAAGTGTTTCCGCATCATTTTCCATTGAAGATTCTAAACGTTGGTCAGCCACATTGTTGACGTCGTTGTCAGTTGGGTCTAGTTCTGGTATAGCATACACGTTCCTGTGATCCATCTTTTTAACAACGTTCCAACCGCTTCCGGCTTTAGGGTCATCTAGATACACAATTTGTGTTGCCATGTTTGCCAAAATATAAGGGTTGTCATCATACCAAGTTCTGTTCATGTTCACAGATAGTAAGCCATGATCGATTTTAACACTTCCCGGCCTATTTGGGTTGGTGTCAAACCATCGACACTTAAACATGATCACTTGGTATCGATCTTTGTAAAGCAATTGCACGACAGTTGTGAGTTTGCCATAGAAATCAATGTCCGTACTTTCTCCTCCACCTGGGACATGGACACCGCTGTTTTGTGTACACAACTTGTCATCTCGTGCTTCGGCCAAAAATTTGACGCCGTTGACATTACAACCCGAGAACAATTCAGCGCGAATCGGGCCGAACGCCAAGTTATATAACTCATCACTGTAAGTTGGGGAATTCGATGATTTCAACTTATTCACCTTATATTATACAAAACCATTCATATGTTAGTCTGACAAAATTAAAAAAAATAATTTATATTTCTCAAATAACAAACACTGATAACTTACAGAATCCAAAAACCATTGTGGAAACAATTCACGGTGTTTCTGGGCAACCAAATGTGATGGATGTTCTTGCTTCATCATCTCTTCATGCTCATATAAGTATCCCATGATCTCATCACAATTGTTCAGTACGAACCAATGCGCTACCTCCATGTCATTTCTAGAAAACGACTCTCCGCGTCCAGGATCTCCGAAGGGTCGTGCGCTTTGGGCAAAAACAGAAAGTTTTTCATTTCTCATACCTCCATCATGATTGCGCTAAGGACGATTGAAAACCGTCTCCACATCTTTTAAATACATTCCGCAGAAAGTAAGCGACTCATATTGAACCCAAGCCTCTACGATTGATCCTTCGGGCTTCGCCCTGTTGCGTACACTTTTTTCAGCTCTCCGAGAAGCCTGCCAAAATAAAACGATATGATTGAAATTAGCAAGCATGTGATAATGATGCATACACAAACGATAAGGATTATATACCTTTCTATTGGATACATCCAGCGATAGTTGACAGGACCAGCAAGTAATGCCTCTTCTGGCAAGTGAACCATCACGTGCATCATACTTGTGAAGAAAGCTGGAGGAAATATCATCTCAAACTTGCATAGGACTTGGACAATGTCATGGCGCAACTGAAACATGTCCGTTTTTCGCAAAGTTTTTGCCGTCAGTTGGGAAAAAAATCTGGACAACAAAATGATTGGCTTCACTACATCTTTCGGCAATAGGTGTCGAATACCAACAGGAAGTAGGCGTTGCATAAACACATGGCAGTCATGGCTTTTAAGTCCAGTAAATTTACCCCCGTCAACATTCACACAACGTGCGATATTAGAAGCATACCCATCGGAAAACTTTACTGACGATACAAACTTTAGAAACTCTTTCTTGTCATTCGGTTTCATAGAAAAGAATGCAAGATCCCTTCTAGCTTTATCATTGTCCCTATTCATCCATAAACCCCTTCGTATGCCCATTCTTTCCAAATCAAGACGAGCTTTGATCGTGTCCTTTGTCTTCCCCTCGATATCTAGAATCGTGCCCACCAATGTGTCGAATACATTTTTCTCAACATGCATCACATCTAGATTGTGCCTCAATTTTAGTTTCGACCAATATGGGAGCTCAAAAAACATAGGCTTGTGCGTCCAGTTCATATGTGTAGAAGGTCTGATACGACTAACTGTTTTCCCGAAGGGAGCAAAATCCAACCGGTTAAGCTGGTCCAATATCTCATCACCGGACCATTCTCTGGGTCTAAGGCGACGCTCTGTGTTCCCGTCGAACTCTTTATCTTTTTCCCTCCACTCATGGTCCCATGGCAACCATCTCCGATGACCAAGGTAACAAACTTTTCCAGCATGCCAACCAGAAGTTACATCTTCCTTACATACAGGACATGCCATATAACCTTTTGTGCTCCACCCAGAAACCATTGCATATGCTGGGAAATCATTCACAGTCCACATAATTGCTGCCCGCAAAGTGAACATCTTCCCAGTTGATTTATCGTACGTGCGAACACCGTTTGTCCATAAATCCTTCAGCTCATCAACCAGCGGCCTTAAGTAAACATCGATTGACCTCCCAGGATCCTCAGTTATCAAAACAGTCATCATCCTGTATTCTTTTTTCATGCATTTCCAAGGCGGCAAATTATATGGGAATACGAAAATCGGCCAAGTGCTGTGGTGTTGGTTTAGAACCCCATACGGATTGAATCCGTCAGTGGCAAGTCCCAATCTAACATTTCGGGGATCAGCAGCAAACTCGGGGAACGTTCGATCGAACTCTTTCCATGCCTCCCCATCTGCAGGATGCCGCATCACATCATCGTCTACCCGTTTTTCCTTATGCCATCTCATGTCTGTGGCAGTATGCGTCGACATATACAATCGCTGCAACCTAGGTTTCAGGGGCAAATAACGCATGACTTTTTGTGGGATCTTAGTCGTCCTATTCTGAGATGTCATCTTGAACCTCGACTCATTGCATATAGGACATGTATCCAACGATTCATGCTCTTTGTAGAATAACATGCAATTGTTTTTGCAAGCATGGATTTTTTCATAACCCAATCCAAGACCATTCAACACCTTCTGCGCCTGTTTATGGTCTTTCGGCAAACAATTGTCCGTCGGAAGCATTCTCTTGAAAACCCCCAAAAAGTAATCGAAACACAGGTTCGACATACGATACTTTATTTTTCCGTGCATTAGCTCCACAATGGCCGTGAGAACGGAAAAGCTCTCGCACCCCGGGTATAACTCTTGGTTGGCATTTTTTAACAATTTCTCATATTGTTCAAACTCCGCACTGTCTATTGGTGTAGGCACATCATCTTGCTCTTCTTGATTCATGTTGGTCGATGCAAATGGAAAAACATCCTGTATAATATCCATGACTTGATCATTAGCATCCACAATAGGTTGAACATTGTCCACTCTTGTGGCATTTGAAGACGAAGCATGCTCTAATTGTTCCCCGTGAAGGTTCCAAATGCTATATGTCTCAATCATTCCATTCCTTACTAAATGAAATCCAACATTTTCAATTGTCTCCCATAACGTGTTGTTGCACCTCCTACAAGGACAACGGATTCTAGTTGCACCCGGGTTGTGTCTACGTGCAAACTCAATAAAATCGTCAATTCCATCCAAGTATTCGTCTGCGCATCTGTTCGGGTTCTGTATCCACCTTCTGTCCATAATTCCTGAAACCAGAATCACAACACAACAATCACAACAACTTCATACGAAGTTATAATGTCACCTTATGCCTCCGGTAAGGGTCCTATCCCATTTGGGAATGCATACTCCTGCCACGTAACCTACGACTACATGAGATTAGATTTCAACGTGGATGAATTTCGCCAGCATCTCGCTACAGTTCTTAAGGTGGCCATAGGTATAAATACCTACATACCACCCGAAGAACGTACCGAGATGACAACGAAATATCCACAATCGAAACCTAATCCTGTAGCCATAGATTACGTGACAACACTATGCATTACCAAACTGTCCAAATAATGGGACAATTCAAGAATTAATTGGACCGCAGTCATGCATTACGCATCCATGCACGAAATCCAACTAATCTCGAACGGGAAACTAAGTGTTACTAAACATAAAAAGAAAAGCACGAAGTTAATTTCAATTAACTTCGTACATCACAACAGATTGTACTACGTTACACACAACATAATATAAATATAACTTCACAAGAACATTTTAAACATAACAAATTAACATTATTAATATATAAAACGAATAAAATACCTTCTCAATCGTTCTCCACCAATCGCTAATTACAAATATCCCTAACGAAAACAAATTAAAAAACCTTAGTACGAACTTAAATTAATACTTTTAAACTAATGACGAAAAATACTTACCCAATCAATGTATTGAAATCCCAACAGCGGCAGAGAGGTTGAGAGAGAGGCAGAGGCAGAATGCTTTGTTTTTGCATTCTGCCTCTGCAATGGCAGAATTCTAATATGAAGAAGAAGGACTTTGCGCGACGAACATATTTATTCGTTGCGCAAACTTCCGTCGCAAAAAACCAAATCATCCGTCACACAAACCCTTTTTTTCGTTGCGCAAACACCTGTCGACATCTAACTTTTGCGCGACGCTGGTACTTTCCGTCGCGCAACCTTTTGTCGCGCAATATTGTCGCGCAAAAACAAAATTCCGTTGCACAAAAGAAGATATTCGTCGCGCAAACGTGGAACTTTACGCGACGAACAGTACTTACGTTGCGCAAAAAAAAATATCCCAACCAGGTCATTTTGGCGCCAAAAATAAAATATCTCTCGTTCTCTTACGCGACGAAACATCTTCCCGTTGCGCTAAATAAGGGGACCCACTGGGTACTGTCCTTTTTGCACGACGGAACATTGATTCGTCGCGCAATGTTGCCTTTAGCGATGATATTTCTCGTCGCGCAAATGTTTCGCGCCAAAAAAATTCCCCCTGCTTTTTTTAACTCTGTTTGCGCGACGAAAAATTGTTTTGTCGTGCATATACATTTTGTGCGACGAAAAATTTTGGTGGCGCAAATTTTCAGTGGATTGCGCGACGAATAGTTTCTTTCGTCGCGCCTGTATGGTTTGCGCGACGACTTATTCTTCGTCGCGCAAATGGTGAAACGTAGTAGTGTCACCCGTACCCATTTGTAGAAACTACTGGGACCTTATCTACTTACATCTGCTCTATATATGGAAAAACAACATCAAAATTCATTTGTGCGCTCATAACTCATATTGGAATTTCGTCAAGCACTTGATGTGCACAACTTAAAATAGACCCGACTTTTTGCTGGAAAAACAACCGACTATGCAAGATAGAAAACAACATTTAGCAATGTGAAAACGAAAACATAACTAGAAAAAAAAATATTGAAACTGATTGCTATACAAATTTATACCAATCTAGATAATGAATGGTACTGATAAGAACATATGATTTGGGGTAGATGAAAATGCATAATTTGGGATAGATAGATGAAAAGTTGATAAGAAAAGAACAATAACACATAAATTACATGTGTTATGCAGGCATACCACTCGAAGTTTAAGACATCAACACTGGAATCGTTCACAGTCAGTGTCGTCTTCGCTTTGTCACTAATTTGAAAAATTGAATGTACCTGTGGACCGTAATTTTGAATGGTAGAGACATTGGAGGGAATCTAACCTTAGCGAATATGTGGTTTTCAATGATGAACATGAAGCAGGGCTTAAATGGAGGTAAACTGTTTTGAAGAGAATGTAATAGTTGGATTGAGTGATCTTTTGTAACGATGTAAAAACATAGGAATATTATGACCTCTTATATCCTACGGGGCATTTAAGTGTGAAATTGGGTTTAACATAGATTTATAAAGTGATAGGTATATAGGTGTATATATAGGAAATAGAAAATGTAAGAACTTATATTGGACAAGCCCTTGATTCAATTCCAATTCCTTAGTTCCCGTCCTGTTAGGGGACTTACTTATGGTAGCCCTACTCTTTTAAAGACGCAATACAAAGACAAAATAATTAGGTCTGTCTACCGTAGAAATTGTTGTGAGGAGCTCTATTCAATAATAAATAAGTGTCGACTTTCCTAACCAGTTTTTTTGGCACACATTAATTAGACGGAAATATTCCTTAGATTATTAATAGATACTAGGTTGCAGAGACAGGAATAAAACATTTAAGGACCTAAAAACAAAGAGAAGGATTCGTAAGAGGGCCAACATAATATACTCCCTGTTTTGGTGAAAGGTAACTGGAGAAATCAAAGTTATTGGAGGTGGAGTGAAGCATAATGGAGTTTAGGGAGGAAGGAGGAGAGCCAGTGAGCCCCACTGGCCAATACTTCAACAGTTCTATCTTATCTGTTGCAATTCTTGCAGTTTTGGAATTTGAGGTTCCAATCAATGATTCCCAAGCTCTCTCTTTGCTTCAAGATGTCTTCCTCCCTATCAACCCTCGCTTCTCTTCTATCATGGTTTGTCCTCTCTCTCTCTCTCTAGATCTCTTCCTTTCTCCCTCTTGTCATTTGATTGGAAACCGAAACGATTTTCGCACTCTTATTTTGTTCATTAATTTTTCACTTCTCCTCTTGTTTTTATACTCTCGTTACCATTTGACATGCTCAAATACTAGCAGACCGATAAAATGAGAGTGAAAACCACCACCTTACTGCAAAAAGAAAAAGAAAAAAAGAACTAAAACTGAAAACTAAAGATTTGGTATTAATTATCTGAAATTATTGAACAGGTACGTGACAACCCAGATCAAAAGAAACAATGGAAGAGGGTTGAAGTGAAGCTTGAAGACCATGTTCATGTCCCCATTTTCCCTTCTAAAATGTCACCAGAATCCTATGATGAGTATTTTGATGACTACATATCAAATATAGCAGCAGAAAAACTCCCACAAAACAGGCCATTATGGGAAATTCACATTCTCAAGTACCCAACAAGCCATGCAGCTAGTACCCTGATTTTCAAGCTTCACCATGCCCTAGGTGATGGCTACTCTCTAATGGGTGCTCTTCTTTCTTGTCTGCAAACTGCTCAAAACCCTTCTGTTCCTCTAACATTTCCTTCCCTGAAGAGCTCATCAGGACCAAAAATTACTCACATGACTAAAATTGTCTCTCAGTTTTTCTCTTCAGTTATCCAAACTGTATCGGATTTCAGTTGGAGCATTTTGAAGAGCAGTTTTGTAGAAGATGATCGAACTCCGATTAGGTCTGGGGAAGATGGAGTTGAGTTTCGGCCAATAACACTATCAACATTGACGTTCTCCATTGATGAAATCAAACTGATCAAGAACAAACTTGGAGTGGTAAGATTATGCGCCAATTTTTATTTATTTATTATAATGATTTCTGTTTATATTAAACATACTACGACAAAAAAACTGCTATGAATTATGAAATTATTTACCAGAAACAAGGATTACACAAATACGCAATACAAATAACTAAAAGTTTCATAACTTACATTATATATATCAAAAGAAGTTTCAAAACTTTCATTATTATGAAAAGATAAAAGAAGCTCTCCCCTTAGGTTGTGGCCATAGCGCTCATTAGGCTTATGTGTTATATTAGAATTTCAGTTATTTTGGGTAATTTTGTGAACTTGACTTCAGATCATGCTTAATTTTGGTAATGTGGGTTTGTGCGGCTTTTCGCCCATTTTATTTTGGATGTTTGGGGCGGTGTACTTTGTTGCCCTTTTGTAGACATGGGTTGCCCTGTCAGAATTTCTCTAATGAAATTTGTTCTGATCAAAATTGGATTATTATTTGCATTCAAAACATTTATTTCCACACCCAATTGAGCTTTCTAGTTGTGCCCCAGCATAAATTCAAAATTCCCGACACAATTATTATTAATTTTAAAATAAAACAAGTCTTTTTCGGGGCAAAAATTACACATAATTAATCACATCCAACTTAACTTTACGGGCTAGCAATAGGTCGTATCGTGTCAGATTCATGTCTTGTTAGTATCATATATGTGTCAAGAATGTTCAACCCAAACCCGACTCATTTAATAAAAGTGTCGTGTTGAGTTGATCCTCTATTTTTTTGTGCAGATTTCGCGTCCTGTATTGAGTTGATACGCTAAATGGTAGCAATTAAAAGATATTAAAAATAAAAAAAAAGAAGAGAAAAAAAAGAATAAACAAAGAAAAGGGTTAGCTGGTCACATGGGTATTTTAGCTGGTTGGTGGGTTGATCAGCCATGACCCGTTTTGTTAAATTGGTTAGGCCCCGTTCGGTAATGTTTTAAGGGGTTGTTTTCATTTTCAGAAAATAAAAATGAGGCAAAAACACGTTCGGTAGCCCAAAACAGAAAACACTGAGAATGTTTTCATAAAATGAAAACAAATTCATGTGTACTTGTAGAAAACAGAAAAAAGTTGTTTTCATTCTCATGGGAAACATTTTCATAAAAAGAACTCACATATTATTATTTCAAATTGTACTACCATACACATTTTCATTTCCTGAAAATGCAAATTCGTTTTCTTGTTTTCATTCTCTGAAAATATTCTAAAAAAACTTTCTCCGAAAACGTTACCAGACGGGCCCTTACATAAGTATTTTAGCAAGTTGGCAGTTTGACCCAAAACCCACCTGTTTATTACACGGGTCATGACAGGTTGACCCGAAAATGAGTTGAAAATTTAATTGTGTGGGTTGAGTCATGTATTGGGTGTTGTCGAAAATTTCCACCCACCCCCTTCGATGTCATTCATGATCCTACTATTTGGGCCTAATAGGATTAGACATAATCCAATCCATGTGGTTTTTTTTAGGACATCAAACATTTGCCTAGGTTTATAACAAGTCCTATACAAGCCCTTTCTTTTCTTAGTTTCTTTTTAGGGTTAATTACAGTTTAGTACCTTGTGGTTACACCCTTAAGACATATTAATCTCTATTTTCTCAATTTTTACAATCACATATCTTTTAAATTTGTTACAATGTGGTTCCGCAGTTATGGTTTCCATCAGATCTCTCTGTTAGCTGCCTACTTGGCACTATGGGTCCCACATTTTTAAAAATTTTTAAATTGATTAAAATATGAATAAAATTAAAAACCAAAAAAATGTAGATAATTTTTTTTTAAACTCTCTTTTTCTCCCCTCTACGCTCTCCCTCTCCCCCATTCCCCCACAACCCACTACCTTTCTCCCTACCCCGCATGGGTGGTGGTGTGGTGGCGCTCCAAGCCCACCATCGCTGCCCTATATATATATAATTTTTTTGTGTGCTGTGATGGTGGATGTGGCTGAGAATGGTGGTTAGGGAAGAGAAGGGGACCTTGGGTTTGATCCGGAAGAAGGGAGAAAGAGGTTCCGAGAGAGAAAAAAGAAAAGGTTTTTGTTTGTTTTTTAATCATTTATTAATATTTTATTCAATTTAAGAAGATAATGTGGGTCCTACATGTGCCATGTCATCACTTAACAGATTTTCTAACAGCCAATCTAACGGCATAGTCACGTTGCAAAACATTTACAAAATAAGGGTATGTAATTGTTAAAATTGAGAATGCGGGGACATACATGCCTTAAGGTAGGGTACCAAACTGAAATTAACCCTTCTTTTAATAGTGATTATATTATTTGAATGAAATTGGCATGAACAATTGCAGACGATAAATGATGTGATTGCTGGAATAATCTTCTTGGGCACCAGAATATACATGCAAGAGGTTACCCAAAAATCAAGCAATGAACATTGTACGGCATTGGTGCTTCTCAGAACCAGAAACATCGAGGGTTACACGTCAACTAAAGAGATGATCGAACACAATAATGCTAATATGTCATGGGGAAACCAATTTGCCTTCTTACACTTGCCAGTGCCCAAGTCAACTGAAACTTCAAATCCACTCGACTTTGTTTGGGAAGCACAAAAAATGATCAAGAAAAAAAGAAGTTCTGCGACTAGCTACCTCACTAGTTGGCTATTGGATATTTTGAAGAAATTTAGAGGCCCTGAGGTACGTAATTAACAAGGAAAATTGACATAAACATAATTTTTATTAATAAGCACTTAAACTTTATAAAGTATAAGAATTTACCAACTTCTCCTTTTTTATTATTATAAGTATTAGTGCCAAATATCTAATATGTTATGTTGCTAAAATCTCATTTTATACTAAAATGTACGTACTCTCACAAGATATAGAATGTTTTGTAGGAAATATAATTTGGGCATAATGACCTCATAAGTCAAGTTTGTGTAATCCATTCAAAACACTTTAAATGTACTTATCAACAAACTAGTTCTTAACAGGGCAGCTTTGAAATTTTAGGGTACCACAGGGGTTTGAACCCAAAACCACTTGGGAGTACACAAAAGGTCAGGGCCAATCCAACTACACTGTTGGCCAATGTTAGATTGATTTAGTGTCAATGAATCTTGTCATGAGAAAAAGTCACTTAATTATAGATTGTCTCTCACAAAACAACAAAAAGTCGAAAATTTTAATTCAATCAAGCTATCAAAATATAAACTACAAAATTCATCATTATTTATCTCAATTTGTCTTCGCCTAATGAGAATGAATGATCTAGGGGTTTTCTTCAAGAGCCGCCATTTGCTCTTAGTAAATTGGTATCTATCTTTTTAACGTTGGAAGAAATCCTAATTTCTAAATTCGAATCTAACCCGTTAATATACTAAAAATTTGTAAGTCTTTCGTAGAACTTTAGAATATTATTTTTGAAAAAGAAAAACTTTAGAGTGTTTTATAAGGTGTTGTGTTTGCAGGGAGCAGCTAGATACATTCATGGCACGCTCAAGAACTCAAGCATGACAATCTCGAATATGATTGGGCCAGTTGAAAAAATGGCTTTGGACAATCAGCCCGTCGGTGGCTTATACTTCATGGTGGTTGGTCCACCTCAGGTACCTTTTTTTATTTTATTGAGCCCTCACGTACTTAATTATGCAGTTACTTTATTTCTTATAATTAATATTGAGACCTCAGGTATAATAACTTTTCGGAGTGCTAATAATATATATATATATATATATATGTATGTATGTATAATGAGATGGTGTTTCATACATGCAGTGTCTTACTGTGACTGCACTTAGTTATATGGGAAAGCTGAGGGTTGCCTTCGGAGCTGAAAAAGGCTTCATAGATTCCCAGAAATTGAAGGCGTCCATGCAAAATGCCTTTGGAGTAATACTCGAAGCCTCCAACCCAATTCCTCCTGCAAAGGCATCGTAGAAAACCAAAGAAAAAGCCACTTGTTTCAACAATTAAAAAATAAAAATATGAGGGTGAACGAATCTTGATCCCCAATGGCTGTGGCAGCTAGAGTTCTTGGTTAGGGTTTTGTTTACCCTTTTTATATTTGAGCCTGTTGTAAGCTAAGTAAAATTCCTCATTGACTTCTTTGTTGGAAAATTTGGTTAAAGATGCTCCTTTTCCTGCAAAACATCATATGAAATAATTATTAGAAATTTGTAATTTTTATTGATAGAGTAGATTAAATAAAACCAATGAAATTACTGCAAGATACTTATATTTTGGGATGTATAAAGTTGGTCTCCATTGATACTTGAGTAGAATAATAGTTTTAGGTTGAGGCATGTAGTCACTATCCTTAAGAGTAGATTTCGTTTATCGGAGAAAATTTATCAGTGTAGCAAGGTTGTATACTGTCCTACCCTCCAGGATACAACAACGAACACTCAAAAACAAAAAAACAAAAAAAATGGCAATAGTCACCAAATAATAATGACTGTGGCTTTTTTTTTTTTTTTTTTTTTTTTGTGGTAGTCACACAATTGGAACACAAACTCAAAAATGTGAAGGAGAAAATAATGAAGAAAGGTGCCAATGTTGCTCTAACGTTTTTCTCATACTCCAAAATAAGGCTTTTTAAAGTCGGTTGGTTCTCAAAGGCATTAAACCAATTGTAATAAAACACATTAAAAGTTCTGCCCATTTTTCAGAAATTAATAGCTATAAAATTCTAACAGTAGTTGGCAAAACCAATATAGCAAATGCAAAATAGAAATTGGTCAACCAAAATAGGCTCAAATAATTTTTTGACTCAAATTTTTTATTTTTTATTTATATTAAAAGTGATAGTAATTTTATTGATAACACAGAAAGAAAAAAAAAAGTACAGAGTAGCCGCAATGCCAAATATGAGTACAACATCTCCAGTAACCAAACACAAAATTAAATTTTGATCTAGAAAGAATTACGCATTCCAAAAAAACCTAAAACCTCCAATTCGGCAGACAAAAGAACCTATACTCAGACCTACAATACAGATCCACAGCGCAATGACAGTAACAACAAATCCGCATTGAAAAGTCGAACACTAAATACAAACATCAGCAAACTCCTATTGAGTTTCTAAGAATTATTAGTTTAAAATAAATACAGAAATAAGGACACTGCACCGCATTCTCACCAGCAAACCAAAGAGACTTGTAGCACCAACATGGCTAAACCTCTTATTTTACACAGGTAAAACTCGATCCCACACAAACTGGCAATAATAACTTTTCCAACTTCAAACACTGAACTAGAACAAAATCCATGTGAGCGGACCAAAAGCTGCAACAAAATCATGGCGTCTACGGTGGATTGCAGTACTTGCTTCAAAAACACAATGAAAATCAAAGAAAAAAGTTGGGTTGATAATACCACACTGCAACCACTCGAGCGACAACAAGACACATCCAAGAACAAAAAAAGTCACCAAGGACCTACAATAGCAAACACACAAACAAACAAAAAAAGATAAGATCCAGATAGATCTAGGCAAGATGACCCAAAATCTAAACGAATTTGGGGAAATAATAGGAGAGGGGAAGAAAACTAAGAAAGGAGAAAGGGAGAAGATGAGAGAAAGATGGAGATGGGGAAGCCACCCATGTCACAACCCGATTCGAAAATAAGGAATATTCCCGAATCATGGTGTGAGTCATACCATAGTCATAAAAATAAAATCCTACAACCATGATATGATGAGAAATAGAGCGACAAAAAATACAAATTTACTTAACAATACAAAATCAGAGTCACAGTAGCTCATAATTAAATACACACTAGGATCTTTATCAAACGGTTGACTACTTACAAACATTAATTACACAAACCAACAACAAAAGCCTAGCAGCTTAGTTGAAACCCGCTTCTTCAAACTTCGTTTTTCATCAAACAGCACAAGATATATAAAATTTTCAATCATACCAAATAAATAAATTTGCATATGCGATGATTCCATGAACTCACTCCCTTCTAGTCCCACTAATTCATATCTTAGGGCAACAAGCATGCATGTCCCATATCATGCGTTTTACCACTGTGGCTCAGAATACCCTAAAATATAAACCAGCGCCCATCCATCCCTTAACCAATTTTCCTTTTGTTTAAGAATTTCTCAACTTTCACTTTTCAATAGAGGCCCTGCTCCCATCACCTCAATATATTCAAACCCTGCTCCTGTCACCTCAATATATTCCAGATATATCTAAGGCATTCTCTCACCCCTTAGATATACCTCAAACGACACACACACCCCAAACACCACTATATTTATGATGCATATGTAATGCAGCGCAAACATCATTTATCTCTGCTGAATAATAATACAGATAATAACAATAATATTTCATATTTAATCAAATGAATAATAATATTCACCCAACGTCAAATAATATCCACAAAGAAACATCAATAATAATATTCACATAACATCAAATAATATTCACCGAGTAAAGAAACAATAAAATTCATATCTATAGTACTATATATAAGCACCAAGATTAAAAGTGGCATAGCCTAATCATCGGAAAATCAAGAAACCCTACCTCATGCCCAGCTAACTAAAGTACCAAATTTACCCTTCGGAAGTTTTCGGAGTTGTTGAATCTACACTTTTGATCCAATTCTTGAACAAATTCAAATCCAACTTATTATTGAGTAGTCTTCACTCTATTTCACCTAAGACCAGTAAACCTCACCCTTAACCTTATGCATTTCAAAGATTTTGTGGGAAAATGACGAAAATGCCAATAGGACCAACCCGGGGTCCAAAGCGGCCAAATCTCGTCCTAAATAATCTAAAACATTGTCCTATGCCATGTTAACACCAAAACATGGCCAATGACACCGTTATCCAAAAGTTACCATTTGGTTCCTGTGGGCCGCATAACAACCGATACTTTGCACATTCTCAAATTGACTCAAAACATATACTATCGGACGCGGATCAAGAAATCGAGTTGAATTGACTAAAATATGGCGTAAGAGGTTGTCAGAACAGCCGCCATATGTCGAAGATGTGAGTGGGCTTGGCTACGGTTACTGTTCATCATCTTCTCAAAAAAATATGCAAATTTCCCGTTTTTCCAGACTAAAACTCAAATTTTGTGAGACCTTTTGACCAACCTAAATTTGACGAAAGTGGGCAAACATGCATTGATTTTGAAGCTTATTCCCTCTAGTTTCTAACCCAACAAACCACACTCAAAACGGAGCTAAAATGAATGAGAAAACTAGCTCCAAAGTTGGACTCGTGGCTGGTTTTCTGCAAAAAACATATTTTTGTCCAAACTTTGCACGTGTGTTTGATGTATCAAAATTCAATAAAACCAATTATCTTTTGTTCCTTGACAAGTCTAGTTTAAAACCCATCAAATGACTTCCTCAAATACGCAAAAGATTGGGAGGAAAAGAGAGTCAAAGTGAGGCTCTCGAACTGTAAATTCCCAGAAAATGAAATTTCCCAGTTTTGGTTCTAAGTCGTTTTCAATCGATCTATCACTCCCAGATTGTTCCTGAGGCTTTTAAAACTCTTCTAAACTTCATACATATAATTAGAACTCATCAAAAACTCCAAATGGAACCAAAATCATAAACACCCACACTTAAAAAATTGCTCTATCCACCCAACCCGAAAATTAAAATGCAAACTCTTCCAATTCAATTTCCTTATAACTCAAGTGACTCAAAATACTCTTTAAGGGACTAGAATCACACAAACACAAAAATAAAAAATCACAAATTCGAAAATTGACTCACCCTTAGAGATTTCTCATTTCTTCCTCCTATTCTTCCTTCTCCTCCTCACCCTACTTTCATCTCCTTCTACCCACAATATTATCTTAGATTAAACAATCATTACACTTAGCCTAGCCTAGGTGATTCATCACTAATAGGTGAACAACTCACCTCTAATTGAAGATCACAATCCGATTTTGGAAGAGAAAAATAAGGGTCTCACCTCTATTTCTTAAACGTCCTTTGAAAAAATTCACAAAATGTTACGTAAGGGCATTTTTGTCAAACTTGAAATTAAACATGCTTAATCTAATAGTATCGATCCAAAATCACTTGATAAAATACCCATATTTATTCTTCACCATAATAATATTTATTTATTTTTTCACTGAAATATGAAAGTCCACTTTTTTTTTTTGGGGGTATTACATCCCACCCCCAGAGAGGGGGCAACGGCTGCAGTGCAAGCTCACAGTTTCTCCTTCAGAGAGAGTTTAGGGTTTATTTAGAAAAAAATCTAAGGCGTGTCCCTAGAAGAAATTTTAAAAATGGGAGGGAGAGCGAGAGGGCATTATTACTCTTTTCCAAAAATTCTTAAATGAGATCAATTATGGGTAATGTCCTAGTTAAACTGTACTCAAATCTTTAAATGCCAACGTCGTGGAAATGATATTGAAAGCAATTATAAGACCACAACAATAATACGAAATTAAAACCCAATCAAATGGATATTAACAATTATATATTATAATTAATTCTTAAATGTAGAATTCATATATATATAATAAATACACAAAATAATTACAAGTTAAACCATACAATCTGGAAAATTGAATTCAACATAATTAAATTATGAAATTTATTTTTACATTGAAATGCTCACAGTCCAGTCGAGGAACACATGAGACATTTACCTAAGATGTTGGTCTCTAACTAGAAAAGTAAATGCTTGAGCTTGAGTGGGTTTTATTAACGTTGTTTGGAAAAGAGAGACAAATCGGGTTTACTTGTTTGGGTTGAACTGGATCAAGTTGGATATCGTAAACAAGTTACATAAGTCCAAATAATTATAGCTATTATCCCGAACATTAAGTGAACTTGCATTTACCTCAAAAGAATAGTAAATTTATGCTTTTTATGTAGAAGCAATGATTAGTGCAGAATTGTATATAACTTTGTACCCTTATAACTTATGATTTCGT